ACCCTTACACATACAACACACACACACACACAGCACCCCCCCCCCACACACACAGCACCCCCACACACACACAGCACCCCCACCTCAATGCAGTATGTGTGTACTCAGCAGTCTGTGTGTGTGTACTCAGCAGACTGTGTGTTTATTCATTAGTCTCTGTATTCAGCAGTCTTGTGTGTGTGTGTGTGTATTCAGCAGTCTGTGTATGTATGTATTGCATTTGTTGGAGATACTAATAAATATAAGCTTAATTTTATCTATTTATATCATTATTTAAAATTTGTATCATTGAACTCTCTGTTCTTTTAAAACTTTTTGTTGGCACTTTAAGGAGAAAAAAAGTTGGCATGTATTGCGGTTTGGGCACTCTGGCTCAAAAAGGTTCGTCATCACTGGCATGGGGACACATTCAGCCTCAGTTGGCCACTAAGGCTACAGTATGCACACATTCAGCATCTCCAGGCTGTGTGTTGGCGTTGAACTTTCCCCATAGAGATGCATTGATTCACTGCATCTCTTGGAGATGCTGATTGGCCAGAGTGGTGCTATTCTTGCATTTAGTCTAGAACTGGTGACAAAAATGGTTTCCTGGCCACATTACGGATTTCCCAAACCACCATTTTCCATAAATTTTTAATGTCCAACCAAAAAAATGACGTGACAATCGTAGAATGCAAAGAAAGCGCAGTAAAATAATCTATATCAAACACTTGATCCAAATTGTAAGATGAAGGAAATGGTAAAAACCTTGTGTTAACCTCTTTTGGGAGCAGGAAGAGTTTTTTTTTCATTCAATTTTCATCCTTCCCTATTGTGTAAACAGATTTACTGCTGATTTATCCAGCAGAGGGCAGCATTGCACTTCTGAAATATTTAGAACACTGCTTACCTTAGATTGTACCATAAGAGTTTGAATTATTTTTTTAACAAAGGCGAACGTAGAGCAATAGAACTGGCTTTTGTTTTGACACTGTAACCTGAGAGGAAAATCAGATGTCTTTAGAAATTATGGCCACAAATTTATAGAATGGCCTGTGTCCTGATGGAGTTTAAAAAAATCATGGTGCACAGTAATTCAACTGACCAGTCTGTCCGTGTGAATCATGTATGTTGCAGCTTAACAGAACAATTACATGTTGGCCACCCCTGATCTATAATAAATATAATTTGCTTTCTGTAAAATGCAATCGGTAAGAGATGCAGGGATAGCCTTAAAGGCCAACATTCATTTCTTTGGCATTTACTCCATTGAAGAAAACCCTGAATCCTCTAACTTGTGTTAAATTTATTTTTATATTTTGTGAACGTCTTCTTTAAATTTGTATCAATCCTTTGGCAAATTGCATCATAATCCATTTCAGAGGAGGTAAAGCCAGGGCATACATCACAAACTAAGAAGAGAAATAGAAACCTTGTTTAATTTTTTTTCCTTTCTCAATGTCGACCGACAGGTGGAAAACCAGACATTGTAACAATAATTGACAGGGAGCTGAGGTGAGCAGTTGCCGGATAAACGGTGTGGATTATCTACATTTAATTTTTTCCCACACCTAACAAATTTAGATTTGTTAAATATAGGGAAAAGTAAGCATACTACTAAAAATCAATGAAAGTAATATGCTGCCTTTAACCCCTTAAGGGCACATGATTCCATTTTATTCCAGAAGTTTGGTCCTTAAGGGGTTAAATAGAAGAACAGAATGACTAGAATCTAAATGTTTCTAGGCATGTTCTCCTTATCAGGATGTCAGATCTATTGCCTCAGTGTGAAACCAGAATCCCAGTGACAGTCCTTCTTTTACCTTCTAAACTGCTCTGAAACACTAGTTTCTGTCTGGGAGCTTGAGTGTACAAACCTGACTGCTCATTTGGGTGCCCTGCTCCTAAGTTATCAGAAAAGTACCTTCCAGTCCTCTCAATAAAAAATTGTGGTTGCATACTCCATTTTGCCTAATAAGATTTTAGAGACTCTATACTTTTATTCTCCTCGTGTTAACTATTACACCTTAAACTATCTTCCAATTCTGCTAAATGCAGCAATGAATGGTGTATGCAGCAACCTTAAAATATGGCCATTGTCTTTTAATGTCTGTAACCGCATCCCATAACTAAAATTAAAGATTACTATTCAAAATCCCTATGCACATTTAAATAACACTTTTAGTATCACTCAAATGGCCATTAAAGTGTAAGCTCACCTGCCACATCAAGACAAAACCTCTTGGTGCTAAGTCATACACAAACAAGACACCTTGCTGTTATCGGCTAGAATAGGCTTTTTCAAACTCCGGCCCTCCAGATGTTGCTGAACTACAATCATAGAATCATGGGAGTTGTAGTTCAGCAACAGGGCCGGAGTTTGAGAAGGCCTGGGCTAGAATGAAAACTCTGAGACCGAAAGAGGCGTTTCTCTAAACCTCTACATACTAAAACCTCCATATACTTAAATATACACAATTCCCTCTTCGCTCCCCCTTCCCTCGCCACATTTTATTGTGTTTTGGGGCCAATGTGTACAAAAGTCATTGCTGCCGCCAGGAGTAGTGAGTTTAATTTTGTCTATTCATAACTAAAATTGTTGACATTCTCAGGGTTATTCGCTAATTTCTGATATATTTGTGGATTAATCTGAATAGTAAAACAAAGGCAAAATAGCTGTGACTTTTCAGTTGGACTTTTTTTTTTTTTTTTTTTATATATATATTTTTTTTTTTTTAGATCGGCTATTTTTGCTTCAGTTTTTCTTTTCAGATTTAATTTTAGAGTTTAGTGTAGAACACTGGTTGTATTGGTTTTCTTGTAATTTTTGATTGTAAGCACTTTACTATAGATGGACAGAACAGCTTTTTGTACATTGCAGAAGTAATCACAAATATTTGCTTTTCCTTTAAAAATTCCGGACATTTGGCTACGTGAACATCTGCCATATTAATTTATATGGACTCTAGAGATCATATATGTAATGGACCATTTTGCACACAATGGGTAAAAACCGTTTAGGCGATCGTCCCCCTTTCCAGAGATGCAGGCACAGCTATTGTAGAACACCAAACTCACGAACCGCCAATAAGGGAATGCTCCACTCTCCCGAACGGCATACACTATAGCACTCCAAACACACGAACTGGAACCATACGAATCGCTGCTAGCAGGCGAATAGGAAAAGCATCCAAGCGGCTTACAGTCCTAGCAATCAGTCTCTATCAGCGTTCAGTAAATCCCCTCTCCCCCCTCCCCGCCCCCCCCAAAGACGAGGGTCAAGCAGTGGTCTGTTTAATGAGGGCAACCTGCCCAGTATTTATGCAGGTCTCCCACCTGGTGGACACTCCCCTAGGGGACCAAATGGGAGACTGTGACAAGACAGACAAGTAGACAAATAGGACACAGTCACATTATATTCCCACAATGCATCCTGGCTTCCTCACCTCTGCCTTGGAGATAATTGAGAAGTAATTCAATTATCTCCCAAGACAAAGGCAAATCGCCATTATGCACGTGGGGATACTAAAACATGAATTAGTTAATACACCATGTAGGACATGTTACATTAAAACCATACATTTAACATATCCCCAGATAGCTCAGGTCTGAGCGCACATTATTAAGCGAATGGCGCTCAGACCACACGAATACAGTTCAATCGCCATGGAGCCAAAGTCTTTACAAAGTCAGTTCTCATACGAATGGGCTCCATGGGATTCCTATCTGGGGTATAACATAGTCAGGTAAAACTCCCAAACACCGGCCGTTCGTGCACTCCCGCCGAACAAGAAGGGAGGTCGGCGGCTTCAGCGGTGTTCGCGCAAAACTGTGTCCGATTTTAGTTCCATGAATTAAGCATCGAACACCGCTGTGTGTTTGCATGTTTAAAATGGCTGCGACCTCGTGTTCGTGATACGAATGGCGGCCACCCAGCATTCGTCAATTAAGCTGCGGTTAACCGCAGCTTCAGGGAGGCTAATTGCCGGCACACTCCAGCTCCCAGGTGGTCCAGTCATTCGTGCGGTTGTTCGGTAGATTGAATCTACCGAACACCAGGCAGAAAAGCACAAATAAATCTTTTCTGCAGGTAAAAAAGATGTCTTTTAACATGGGACCATAGTCTAAAGGCAACAGGCGAGCAACCAGGCTTCTCCAATGCAATGTGGCGAGATTGGTCTCGTCACAATATATAATTGTTTTGAAATGTTATAATTAGTGACACTTTGTGCCAATATCTGTAAAGGGGGGAGGGGACAGTTACTTTTTTATTTTTTTTATTTTTACATTGGAAATAAACTTCAAAATCTGAATTAAGTTTTAGCAGGTGGTCTTTAGACCTTCATAATGGAAAGGCCCTTTCTTTCATTTTGTGGTATCTTGCTCACTCCCCTCTCGCTACAATAGCCATCAGAAATGGGTTCATTCAATTCCCCTCTCTGCATTGCATAATGTTATAGCTATTGTATTACTATTCACTTTAAGTTTTGAAAATAATTTTAACAAACTTGTCTTACTTAACCCAGTCTCACTGCGAAGATGGGGTGAAGAACTAGTGTCCATGAACATGCTAAGTAGTGTTTTGAAAATAAATGCTCAAAATAGCGCTGTCTGAATCTGTATCAGTAAACGTGATTAATATCAACCTGTTGGACTGCATGTATGAACAGGGCTCTTGTCAATTCCAGTTAATGAACTTGTGGAAAATTATACTGTAAAAATGTTGGTTCTCTGCGGTATAAACAAGTTTTCACCGCACCCCTCTTTGGCATGTGACTTCCTGAATACTTTTTTTCTTATCGTTATTTTTTTTTTTTAATTTCTGCGAATTTGAAGAAAGGATGCCTGTGATGGAAAACATTTTATTTTTTTTTAATTTTATTTTAAGAAAGTGAAATGTGTTTAATATCTTCTGTTATTCTGTTGGTTATATGGATAAAATGGCTTTACAAATTCCTTTTTATTGTTTATTTGTTAGGAAATGACATTTTCTTTAGCCCTGTGTAGTAAATCTTCCTAAAGCTTTCTTGTTAGTTTGCCGGCATTGAAGAACTTGTATAATTAGATTAGGTTAATTCCTGTAAGTAGCTTACTCCCAATGGTCAGTGTGGGTGTCATAGAGCATTAAAGAAGTGCTTTTGTCTGGGGCAGTTACACTAAAGGCAGGACTGAAACTTTAATTCCTTTTAATCTCCCTACAGCTTTTTAGGGATGTATGGCATTAAATTAAAGGATTAGAGCTACGTAAATTGGGGAAACTTGCATATGTTTTCCATCATACTAAACTTTCTAAGATTTGGTTTAAGAACGTATATTACATGTTTAAAAATAAATAAATAAATATACAATTTTTTTTAAAATTTATTTTTGTGGGACAAAACCGTTCTTAAAGAAATGTCTTTATTGCAACTGTTTTTGCATCACCGCACAAGAAAAGCAGATGCATCCATATCTCCATCTCCCAAAGTGTTTTTTATTTAAGGATGCATGAAATGAAGCAAATATTGGAGTCTGCCGTAATAAAAGCGTGCTTGTAGGTCCTGGTACTAATTTATAAATATATGTTAAAGTGGGCAACATTCCGGAAGACACTAGCTGCTCATTTTCTGTTGCTATGGGACAATTCCTCTCCATTCTACACTTTTCAGTGACTGCACCAAACTAATTTGAGTCAATTTGTCTACATCATTTCAACAGTAGTCGTGTTTATTTTCTTTTTGTCTTGTGTACATTTCGAATCCTATGCAGCTCAGCCTGATAAAAGCACGGAGGAGATAGTAACTGCTCATGCTGCCTGGTGTTCAGTCGTTCCTTTCCATGGTTTCCCCATATCTTAGTGACCATGTTGATTTTTTTATTTTTATTTTTTTTTTCTTGATGGTTTCAAGTATGTCTGCTGTAGTGTTTACCCATGAAGGGTCATATATCAGACTTGGACATTGGAGTACTGTACTATAATGCTGACTTGCATTTTGGGAATAATTTTTTTTTTTTTACTAAAGATTTATTGATATAAATTTTTACTTGTTGTCAAAGGTATTTTTGTTTTCTCCCCAATTCATTATGTAAGGAAAAAGGACAAACTGAGAAACACATATATATTTTGTGTAGCGTTTCATCTGTTTCGATTCCCCTTTTTGTTTTGATGAAACTGCAGCACAAGTGACTCCTTAAATGGACACTCCAGACTCGTAAAGCACTTTAGCTTGCTAAAAAGCTGTGTGAAGTATCCTTTTTTTTTTTCTTTGCGAAAAGTGCAGATTTCAATAGAAACGACTTTATTTAATTTATTTATTTATTATTATTATTATTATTATACTGTTTACACTCCCTGGCTTTTCAAGCAGACACAATGTCTGGTTACTTCTTGGTTTGGTTAGCTTATTTGCACTGAACTAGGCAGTACTCACTGAGCTGCATTGGGAGTCAGACTTGGCTACTGTATAACAAGAAATTCTGTGGCTGTCCAATATCTGACTTAAGATTGAGTATAATAAAATGTAAACTAAAAACCAGGTTTAAATCCTTTAAACCTGAGCTCTGTAGTGAAGATATGTAAAGTCAAAATACTTTATACCAAAATCTAGTTAACATAGTTAACATGGGGCTAGTGGAAAATCATCATCAACCTTTAAAAGATGTAACATGTGAGTCAGGCTTAGTCAGCCAGAACACATGATTTATTTATTTATTTATTTTGGGGGGGGTTGTGCTATACAGAATTGTATATCTAAAAGTACCCAGTGGAAAAATATCTAAAGTGCCTATTTTTATTTTTTAGGCTTACAGTCCTGCCTAACATCTGATTTTACACCTCTTCTGACATCAATGAGTGTGGTGGGGAAGTCGAGGAAGGGGAACTCTGTTTTGAGTATCCCCTCAAAGTCTTGTTTGGGAGGTAAGGTTTTCAGCAGATTACCAATGTCTGAGGGAACCACTTCATTGTCTGGAGTCCCTGTACCTATGTGGAAGCTGGTCAAGGGCACAACCTTTTTTGATGGCTGAATGATGAGTTTAGAATGTGAGATATACATAGGATTATTTTTTTTTGGGTAATATTGTGAATGTTTTAAAGAGTATCGTGATGAGTAGGTTAGGCTATTTCAGTCTAGTCACAATGCATGCTAAAATATGCTTGTGTCAGTGTTTGTTTCTCTCAAATTAAGGTTTAATATTCATAGTGATATGCATTGAAATACTTGACATTTAAAGCCTATATCTATATATCTCTCTAACTTATAAACCGTCATGGGGGGAAAGTACCACTCTCTTTGAATCATATGGACTTGCATATCACGACATAATAATCAGCTGTTCCTTAGGTCTTAAAACTAGATAAACACAACCTCATATTAACACATTACATATTACACAGTGTAATGATTTATTTAACAAAAATGAAGCCATGTAAGAAAAATAAAGTACAAATTATGATTCAGTAGCTCGCAGAACCACCTTTAGCAGCAATAACTTGTAGCTGGAACACTTTGGAATACTGAGGAGTTCATAGTCCACTCAATGACTGCAAGGTTTCCAAGTTCTGTGACCGCAAAACAAGCCCAAATGATCAACCCCCTCCACTACTGTGCCTGACAGTTGGTATGAGGGGTTTGTGATCATATGCTTTTTGGTTTTCGCTATGCATTATGGCCAAACATCTCCACTCTTGTCTTGTCTGTCCAAAGGAAAAAAGTCTTGTGGTTTGTTCAGATGCAACTTTGCAAATCTAAGCCATCCTGCCATGGTTTTTTTTTTTTTAGCGAGAAGAGGCTTTCTTCTGGCAGTACTTCCAAACAAACCATACTTGTTCGGTCTTTTTCCAGTTGTACGGTCAAGAACTTAAACATTTTGATTTCTAAGGCCTGTAGAGTCTGAGATTAAATTTTTTTGTCTTTTGCAATTATCTGAACACGACACAGTCTGACCTTGCAATGAGATGTCCACTGCTGGGAAGATTGGCAACTGCCTTGAATGTTTTTCATTTTTGAATTGTTTAACTTGTTTGGAAATGGCCTTATAACCCTTCCCAGTTTGAACCGCAACAATTGCTCCTCTAAGATCATTGCTGATGTCTTTCCTCCTTGGCATTGTGTTAAAGGGATCCTGTAGTGCCAGGAAAACAAAGCAGTGCCCCCACCCCTCCCTCACTCCCCCTCACACTGTGCTGAAGGGGTTAAAACCCCTTCAGTCCCTTACCTGAATACACCGCTGATGTCACTCTGTGCTGGGTCAGGCTCCGCCCACGCAATTGCGGTGCTTGCACTAAGATTTCTCCAAAGAAAAGCATTATTCAATGAAAAAATCTGATGCTGGTGGTCCTCATCCAGAGCGTGATGATGTCCAGTGTCAGATAATGGACCAAAGGTCCGCTTCGATTCCGGAAGCAGTCTAGTGGCTGCCTAATAGACAGCCACTGAGGGCAGACTTGGAACTGCAATGTAAACATTGCAGTTTCTCTGGAACTGCAATGTTTTAAATTTCTGCACTAGGTGCAAAAGGGACATGGCACCCAGACCACGTCAATAAGCTGAAGTGGTCTGGGTGCCTGCAGTGTCCCTTTAACACACACCTGAATGCTCCAGACCAGTAAACTGCTAAAACTTCTAAAGAGGTTGTTACACTTTCTGGTGATTAATAAATGACACTTGATTATCAGCACCTGTCTGCTACTTAACCTCTTGATTCCAGTGGAAGCAGTAAGGGTGTATTTGGGTTTTCACACATGACTTCTCCATTTTGGATTTATTTTTGTTTAATAAACCATGGCATGGTGTAATATGCCATGTATTGTTCATTTGAGGTTGTATTTACTTAATTCTTGCTAAGGAAAATGTCCTCATATCTAAAACCGTAGAATTCAACCAGGGTGTCCTCCCCCCCACCCCCCCAATGACTGTAATTTTAGTTTCCATAGATAGGGTTTTTTATTTTTTTTTTTTAATAGTTCACCCAAAAGGAAGTATCAAATATTTTTTTTTATTCATTTTTTTTTTTAAATTTTATATTTTCAATAGCTCAGAAAATAAAATGATAGTAATTACAAAAAGTATTTGGGTACTTTGAATCTGCATTTTGTTTTGCTCCCCAAATTTTTTTGATTGTTTTATTAAGGAAGAGAAGTGCTTGCATTGAAAGCACATATACTAAAATTAGGGGGGTCCCCTCTTACTATAAAATATATATTTTTAAAGTGGTGCATTTATTTTTTGCTTTTTCCCACATACAGGTGTATATGGTATATACAGTTCTGTATGTATAATATTGATGTGCTTCCCAATTCCATTTGTTGACTTGCCACTCTCCCTCCTTCTCCCCCACCTAAAAGAAAAGATCTACAGCTGTGTCCTTTATTAGCATAGCTATTCTCCACACTACAAGGGGAACAAACAAAATATATTGGCTATTAGTCCTGTCAAATTGGGACGATCCTAAAACAGTTTAGCTTTGACTGGGAAAATTTCTATACAGACAAAGGGAGATTTGACAGTGGGTGTATCCGTTTTACTTCTAAAGGATTTAACATTAGGTGGTTTGGTCTTACAGTAATTTGGAATTGGGGGTGTACAGTGTTAAACATGGCACTTGTATTATTTCTCTTAATCTACAGTCTATTTGAAAAGTGACACAATCTCATACTTCAGTGCACCAGATAAGTGTAACCCACAATTAAAAACCTACAGTGCTGTTTACTTAAACTTTGACGATATGAATAAAAAGTATATTCAAGGGACACTATAGTCACCAGAACTACAGCTTATTGAATTTGTTCTGGTGAGTAGAATCATTACCTTCATGATTTTTGCTGTAAACACTGCTTGTTTCAGAGAAAATGCAGTGTTTACATTAGAGCCTAGGGATACCTCCACTGGCCACTCCTTAGCTGGCTGCTAGACGTGCTTCGTTGGGCAGTGCTGCAGAGTAAGCAGGACTGTCATTCATTGTCTCCATCCTCTGCATGCAGACACTGAACTTTCCTCATAGAGATGTATTGATTACATTTTTCTCTGAGGAGATGCTGATTGGCCAGGGCTGTGTTTGACTTGTGCTGGCTCTCCCCCTGATCTGCCTCCTTGAGTCTCAGCCAATCCTATGGGGAAGCACTGTGATTGGCTCAGACCACCACTTCTGGTGATGTCAGCAGAGGCAGTTAACAGGCAAACAGGGGCAGAGCCAGGAGCTGCAGACTTGAATACATGTAACATTTTACTATAATTAGGGAGGCAAGTTGGGAGGGGGGCTAGATGGTGGTTTTAACACTATAGGGTTAGAAGTAAATGTTTGTGTTCCTGACTCTAAAGTGCTCCTTTAATCAATAGTTGCTCTGCTTAGGGAGCCATAAGGTGCTGGATAATTGAAGTCTTGGCAGTCACATGTATAATGACTGCAAATTCTCTGAATGTTTGCAGTCTAGTATCAACTCATAAATGTCTCATTTTTTTTCTGGCGATGCTGTAGAAGGCCTGACATGTATAGTTTTATTACCAGTATTTGTTGGAGGGTTTCTTTCTGGCCCTGAATTCCCCCATCTGTGACCGTGCTAAAAGACTGCTTTAGAGGCTATATTTATGGGCTGTAGTGTTGGATGTGACTATGAAAAAAAACATAATTTCCCCAGGTTGTCACTGGCCATTGCTTCTTGGTTTGTCGTTAAACTGCATAAGACTGCCAGAACGTCAACATCTTCTATTCTAGTCTCACTGGACAGGGGTATTAAAATCTCCTCTGTCCAGTTGCTTGAACTTCACATGGTGTGTAGGATTTTATGTGATGGTTGTGACCTTTAACCCATTAAGGACACATGACATGTGACATGTCATGATTCCCTTTTATTCCAGAAGTTTGGTCCTTAAGGGGTTAAATATTGAATGTGGGATGTAAAGACCACGTAAGAATCTGGATCATAGATGGCAAGTTTTACTTTTTGGACTCAAGCCCGTAGATAGGACTTGTTCTATACGAATGCATGGAAACTACAGAATAAAGCTTAATTTAATAACAGGTCTGTAATTGCTACGCTGCTCACTTATCATGATTCTAATACTTTTGTGTTCTGCCAGCAGTCTCCACTAAGATTTTATTTTTCCCCATTTTCAGTGTTTGTGTTTCAGGGCTTCTCTAAAGCAGAAGGTAACCAGAGATTTAATAATTAAAGCAGGGTGGTACTAGACTTCAATCAATTAATCTGTTCCTTTGCTTGCAACCTTGCCATTTTTAAGTGCTGTTATAGATAAAATGTGCTAAGTATGTGAATAAATTCATTTAAGGAGCAGAAAATAAGCAACATAATTACAGGAAGGAAAATATATCTCAACAAGTCGTGAAAGTGGAGGTCATGCTCTGAAGAATGCATGCATAGAATGAGATGTTTTACAATGTGCGTTTGAGGGGGCATGGCTTGGACATCAAGGTGGCAGCCTGATTTCATGGCTCAGAGCACCCGTTATCTGCACCCATACACAAGTATCACCACGCGTCAGAGCACCAAACTCGCTACCCAGTGTACATCAAACTCGGCTAAAAGCGCAGCCACATGATATAAAAATTCTGTGGGTACACGATTTTGGAACTAAGATGGCAGCCCTTCCTGAGGAGAGCCTGGAATACGCAACTGAAACGCCAAGGCTGTATGATCCAGCTCTTCCCAAACATCTGCCCCATGACCCTTCTAAGACGCAGAGAATGGAAGCCACTGGCGGACCTGCCATGAAACCACCGGGTCTAGTGTGCACCTCTTCAGTATTATGGCTTTCCACAAGGGGAAAACTATTTTGCTGCCCTCCACATCATCTCTCTTTCTGCTGGAAGTGGAGTTTGAACCACCAGAGAGTTTCCAGCTGCCAGAGCGTGCAACATCCAACACCTGCCTAGAGTATGGCACAGAGCGGGTAGAGCTGGCGGTGAACTCCTGACTCTACAATATCATGAGCAAAGTGTTTCCTTTTGCCTTTACCAGTTGGGTCATGTTGCTGGTTTGGGTGTGGGGGGGCACCACGGGACCCAACATGGCATCTTATGGGTTAGCAGGCCTTACTCCCCCTTTCTCCTGTGCCACCAGTTTTCCGCCTCACTGCCCCATCTGCTCCCACTGGGGAACTAGAAGAACTGCACTGAAGAGTGACAAGGGAGAGCTCTGTGGGACTTTGACAATATATGGGACTGGCGCTTCATGGAGCCTGACCGAGATTCGGGATCTTAGCCATCTGAGGTGAGCCACAGAGGAGTAGGGACAAATGGTCCATTTAGTTTGCTACTTCACTCAAGTCACCCATAGCATATTTGAATTTTCAGAACAAAAAAAGGAAGATAAATTAATTAAAAAAAAAAAAAGAAAACGGAGAAAAACAACCAAAAGAAAAGGAAATAGTACTAAAAAACAAAAAAAATTAACTAAAGTGTACCACAATAAAAGCACGGTTACTAGTAACCTGACCAAGGACAGGTATCCGATCTTGGATGTAATCGGTGACCCATGAAGGTCGACGGGGCTATTAGTTTAATTTAGTTTGCGTGGATTTATTTGATTCCATGGACTCCAGCTTATCTTATAACCGGTGGGAGGCGGGACTCCTTCTCTTGTCCTTTCCCTTGGGCCATATCTCTACAGCTTGCTGGAAAACTGGGGGGTTCCTTAAGGGTTTACAAGGGCCCTTGGTGCGCTATACACTGCGTGTAGGGTGCAGATTCTAATGCCTGGCGCTGACGCATTCCAATTTAAACGATCTAATTGGATGCAGCAGGGATGCCCACTATCCCCCTTATTTGACTTATTCTTAGAACCTCTATTTCACCTTATCAGGGAGCACCCTGGTATCAAGACTTCCACCTCGAGTCGTTCGGGCAGGTGTCCAGTTAGTTTTAACCTTGATAAATCCTGTGTCATGCCCTTCCACATGGGGTCCCAGGAAGTGGTGCTGCTGCAGTCTTGATATAGATTGAAGTGCCAAACATTCTTTCCACTACTTGGGAATTCAGCTCCCCTGCAACCCTTCCCTGCTAAGGCAGGTCAATTACGATTCTATCATCCGTATGCTCAGATTTGATTTAGACAATTGGAACTCCAAACCCATTGAATTGGCAGAATCCATGTTGTTAAAATGAATATTCTACCTCGCATCCTTTATTTTCAAGCCCTAAAGGTATTACTCTGAGACCTAGCAGGACTGGAGTCAGCAGTAGACTATCTTGTGTGGTGGTGGGAAGAGACACAGAATCTCAAGACAGGTGCTATACTGCCAGTGATCTCTGGGGGATTGAGTTTTCCCAGCCTCTCTCTAGCAGCACAGCTGGCCCAGGATGTCCTGTGGCATGCCCATCTGGACTCTGGCCTCATGAGTTCAGAACTTCCTCCATTTTATATATGGATGGACAAACCGTACAGGGCCCTTCTCAGGATGGATTGCTTGGCAATGTTGTCCTCAATCAATTTATGGGACAGAATCAAAAAGAAATTGTCTCTCACATCCAGCCTGTCCTCAGTTACCCCTTTTCTCTGCAACAGGGATTTCCACCCAGGCATGCAGGGTATTGTTGAATGATAGCAGTGCAGTTAGTCTTGGTGGAATATATCTTGCTGACTGGCTGTGGTAAGAGTTGGTTTGCTACAAATTGGATGAAAACCTTTAATTTGAGTATCAAATTGATCAATAGGTTCACATCTGGATAACCCTTTAGACATGAGAAGAACCTAAGAAAATGTAAAAAGCCACAACAGAACCAACTGCCCATCTAATAAGGCCCCAAAAAGACCAGCACCTCTTGTGCAGAGAGGTCATGTGTTGTGTACTGGACTTGTGGGTGAGATGATCAGTCGAATATGCAATGGATATAGTTTCACCTTGTAGTGGCAGTGACCTAGAACATGTTTGACAGAAGTCTAAAATGAACCCTTTCATTAAATGTTTATTGGCAATGTTATATTTTATTTTAATTTTATTCTATTGCAGTTCTTAATGTGGAACCTGTTTCTTCCACCAATCCAGCTCTAAAAACTGCCACAGAATGTGTTGGGGGACACACAACAGGAATACAAACTTTGGCCAAACATTCAGCTTCCAATACAAGCAGACTTAAACCGGAACTTACCAAGCGATTTATCCCCAAGAAGAAAACAGAACTTTTGGCAAAAAACAATGAACTTTCAGTCAATGATAAGCAAGATCAAAGGTGAGCTCCCAAAATCTTGAACGTAAAAAAATAAAAAAAAATTCTATTTTAATTATTTTTTAATTCCTAATTTATTTTTAATTTTTTTTTCACCATTTAGGAAAAGTGAAAAAATTGAAAAAAGTAAGCACTCAACTGTTAAACTAACGAAAAAAGTTCCTGAAGAGAAATTAAATCAATCTACCATAAAATATAGGGATATGTCAGATATTGCAGACCTTATTTTGAAGAATCGCTGTAGGAAAATTATAGTAATTACTGGAGCTGGCATAAGTACACCAAGTGGAATACCAGATTTTAGGTAAGAAACTTTACAGTTAAAATCTGCACACACCCTATGCGTGCACACATTGCATACACATAACTTTACAGTTAAAATCAGCACATACCCTACGCGTGCACACTCTACATGCAGCCAGCACGTGCCATGTACAGTTGACACGCACCCCATGCATACCCTCATTATGCCTAGCTTATCACATGCCCCACAAATATAAATTAAATGGCAAAACTGTGGAGATGGCTATTATAGACAAATGGCTAATTGGCAAATTTTCCAGATCAACTGTTTCTCAGGTTTTCCATTTGTTGGAGCATGTAATTATTGCTCCTAATATCTTAAAATGCCAAGTCCTGTCAGTTCCACACCTTCTTCCAAGTCATGCCACACTATTTGTTTTCCGATCCATGGTCAAATCAAATGCTTTATAGAGCAGCATTGTTGGACATGTGTGCTGACTCAATACTTCCCTTTAAAGAAGAATCATATTGGCACATGCTAAGGGCCAACAAAGCTATCAGAAGCATTGAATGTTACACTACGAATGTGCGTGGTGTGAGCATTCATAAACACTGAGGAGTGACTGTTCATCTTGCTTTTAAATCCCACCCACCAGGCAATTCTGTACATACTCCCAACACAGTGTTAGAAAAGAGAAGTTAGAGGGAGCAAAAAAAATTGAAAAACTGGCCAGGTTGGCGGGTGTGCTGGCAGTGCTCCCATTAAAAAGGGAGGGGACCAAATGAAAGTTCATTAAGGGAGGCAGTGAGGGCTCGCATGAAAGATGGGGAAAAACTTTAATGTGCATAGTTACATGGCTTCTGTTGCAGTTGCGCTCACAGCACTGCTTGCAAGTGAAGGTGATTACATACGTTGCCAGCGCTCGGTGAATGCTGATGACCAATGTGATTTAGGTAATTTGAAAACCGTTCTGTGCAAAAATAAGTACAGATATCTTTTTATAGACTGGATTTTATGCTGAAACGCTGCACATACAGGTTGCCTGACCACTTGGAATTTTCCCAAATGACTTTTTGCTTTTACAAGTGTACAATTATTTATATATCGCCTAGATATTCTGGAGTGCTGTACAACAGGAAACAAGATAAACCTTTAATTCGAACACACTACTATCTGGTGTAGGTGAACAAACGTTTAAAGGGATGAAGGTTAAATACACAAATGGAAGTAAGGGATTAAAGTGATTTGAATATACCAGAGGATGGGAGGAATGTTTGGGAGGAGTGTGCACAGTAGATGGGAGACGGTAGAGGAAGGTTTTAAGGCATAAGAAGTTAAGGGGAAAGCTGATGTGCTTCTCTGAAGTAGTGTGATTTAGGGATTCTTTTGACTGACTGCAGAGTCTGACTGGGAGAGTCATATGTCCCTTAGAAGGGCATTCTGCAAACTGTCAAAACTGGAGACGTCCTCCAGCAAACAGTCTGGGTTGTGAGAACAGGACAGTAAGTCCTTCTCTTGCATAACTGTCCCATCTTTGACTAAAATCATTATTTTATTTTTTTTACTCTATTTTCCCCTGGTTCGTCAAACACGCATTGGTCACTCTCATCGTAAATACGCCTTCTCTTGACACTGATTGCCTAGCTATCGTACCATCTCTCAAGGTCCTTGAAGGCAAAGGGAAGGAGAAATACTTAATACTGAGCTGATCAGACTCTAATTTTCATAAGTGGAGGAGGCTGGCTAGTGGGTCGCACAGTTGATGAGAGAAGCGAGCAAGATCATTTCTTTTCGCATCTTAATCATTTCTACTGTAAATTAAAGAATGTATTCCTTTACAGTGGGAGTATGATTTAAAAGCGCTTTTAAAAAACAGATTAAATTGTATATAATAACAAGCAGTTCTAAAAACACTCCAGTAGGGATGCTTTCGTTCCCACACCAGTTGTAAAGTAATCAAAAATAGGAGTGAAAAAACTAATAATGGAGCGCTTAAACCCGTATAACAATATATGGGTAAGTAGAGATTTCACCAAGGTACCATGTAAAACATAAATCGTGGAAAAAAACATTGGGTAAATGGTTTCTTTAAGATGGTAAGTGCAAATAATGGTTAGAACCACTCATATTGATTGGAGCCTAAATATATGGCTCAATCTGTTGCACAGTTGTGCTCTTTAGGCAGCACCATACCTTGGTTCAGGGAGTTTCCAGCCTCCAAAGGAATAGAAGGGAGGACAAAATTGTGCAATATTTAGGAAAAAAGCATGCTGGTGAGAATATATTAAACTCTCCTTATTTAGAGCCTAATGTATCCCTGACTCTGAGACTGAAAAATCTGGTGTCAATTTGTGGGGTGACACTTCCACAAACAGCTACCTGAAATCAGTGGATATGGACCACCGGTGCACTAAACAGATTGTTTAATTTAAATGCTTAATAAATTAAATATACGGATTAAAAAGTTGTAATGAACAAACAAGTCTAATTGTAAAAGTAATCTTGCCAGTTGACATTGTGTCGCAGGGGTGCTCAGACTGGCTAAAGGTATTGGGTTGATTTGGCATGCCAGGGCTGGTGTTTAACAGGCAGGGTGGACAGTGATCAAACAAAGAATATTGATATGTGTTTTGGAACTAAAACAGGGGGGGATCAAACAAATTACCAGTATATGGATAAGAGTAAATCAAGATTTAATTTAGAAAAAGCTTTAATAAAAGAGATGAAGATAAAATGGGAGATAGCAACCCTTAAAAAATATGTTCGTGATCAGATCACTCCCAGAGGGTTGAGATTCTATAAAGACCCTAGTTTTGATAGAGATCCTCACTTTATGGGTGGATGGAATAAGTTATTAGATGGCTTCTCTTTCAGCATGATGGGCTATATAGTAGCTAGAAGAGAAGAAACTCTCCCTAAACTGGATGAAGAAATTATGAAGTGGCAAAATAATCTTGCTGAAACCACAAACCCAGAAATATATAGTACCATTTTAAAAGAAATTAAAATAAAAGTGGAAAAAATAGAAACAGATGTAATTGAAATTAAAAAGAAAAAATATCTTAGGGATACGACTGATTATCAATCAGGGAATGTAAGACCTATTCGGAAGAATAACAAACAGGTCGATAGAAACTCCTATGATAGAAAAACTACTCAAGAACAACTTGAAAATAGATATAGAAAAAGGCCATACTCTAAAAGAGATCAAATATGGGAGAATCATAGGAGACCCATATATAGAGAAAAGTACCCGAGAAATAGGAATCTTGAATTTCAATCTTCAAAGGGAGTTTATTCACCCGAAATAGTACATAACCCTAGATCCAAACCATCACAATATCACCATTCACCTATACATAAAAAACAATATTCAACTACAAACCATTTGACTAGACAATATAGTGATGTAGTTAGAGAAGGGAGACCTTCAAGTGACTATCCGACAGTAGACCTAAATAAAAGCTTAAATAGATTAGAGAATCGAAATAGAAGTGCCTCCCCACCTCCAGACACCCCACCTTCCCCTTCTTTTTTTCGGAAGGACCTGATCCAAAACAGAAGAAAACCGATAGAGAACTCTCAATTTTGGGAACCTTTAGGAAAAAGGCAGCGGTCACTGGAAGAAGAAGGAGAAAGAGAAGAAAGAAGGAGACAACACCAAGAGAAGAGGGGGAAGACCTCAATTTAGGGGGCATTTTTAACCTTACAGGTTTTAAGTAAAGAACATAATAATATTTTTTTAAAAGGTCTTAAGTTCGCACCAACAGCTGATTTTAATCTTTTTGATTTTTATGTTATTAACCATTTTATAAGGAAATTATGTTTGAAAAAGTTTTTTAATAATAAGGATAAAATAGAAGAAAAAGAGGGAGAAGATGAGTATCTCCACACGTCCTTAAAAGAAAAATCTAATTTCTTTCCGAGACACCTAATCTCCAATGAAATCAAGTCATTCGAGATTATGGTAATGAAAGATGTGGAAAAACTTAAAAAAACAAATACCAACAGAATTTATCATTCGGAGAAAAGAGAGCCCTTAAGGAAATTAGAAACGATAAAAATTTAATAATAAAACCAGCTGATAAAGGCGGTGGAATAGTGATTCAAAATAAAGAAAAATACATTATAGAAGCAGAAAAGATACTTTCAGACCAATTGACTTATCAAAAACTCCCAGACAATCCTACTCAGAGCATTATGGCGATTTTTAAAGAATACATTGCTAAAGGGAAAGAGTTGGGTATTTTAAACGAAAAGGAGGCAGCATATATGCTAAAAGATAACCCTAAAATCCCAGTTTTCTATAATCTACCTAAAGTACATAAAGATTTAGAAAACCCACCGGGAAGACCTATTATATCGGGTATAGACTCAATTTCTACAAGAGTCTCTGAGTATATTGATACTCTACTTCAGCCGATAGTAGTGAAGAATCGCTCCTATTTAAAAGATACCATTCATTTTTTACAAATTTTAGAGGAGACAAAATGGATAGAAGGTTATCATATGGTTACATGTGATGTAACCTCACTATATAGCATTATCCCGCATGACAAAGGAATAGTAGCGGTGCAACATTTTTTAGAAAAATCGAATTTTAAAAAAGAACAAGTTGATTTTATTTTAGAAGGCATTTTACTTATTTTAACCAATAATTATTTTTGGTTTGATAACACTTTCTACCTCCAGATCTGTGGGACGGCGATGGGCACCAAGTTCGCCCCCAGTTACGCTAATCTCTTCATGGCATTTTGGGAAGAGTCTTTCGTTCTTCAAGGGAATCGTTGGGGGGAGAGCTTGGTGTCCTATTGCCGCTTCATAGATGACATATTTTTTATATGGTCAGACACTACAGAAGAACTTCACAATTTTATTTCATATTTAAATTATAATGATTATGGGATAAATTTAACCAGTCAGAACAGTACCCAACAGATAGAATTTCTAGACATACAAGTTACTATTCATGATTGAACTATTATTACAAAAAATTATTTTAAACCAGTTGACGCCAATAGTTACATTGAGAAAAACAGTTGTCACCACAATCCATGGCTGAATAATGCCCCTAGAAGTCAATTTTTAAGGATTCGACGGAACTGTAAATTGGATCCAGATTATTTCCAACAGTCAGATTATATTAAAAAACTGTTTATTGAAAAAGGTTACAATAAAGTAATTTTGGAAAAGGAAATAGAAGAAATAGGACAGGTACCAAGAAAAGACCTTTTGAGATATAAGCAAAAGACTCATTTAAATCAAAAGGATGAGATTCCTTTTATTTGTAATTACAATAGGCGCAACAGACAAATTCATAATATAATTAAAAAACATTGGCACTTACTTAGGGATGACTCAATTTTAAATCAGATTCTCCCTGCATATCCTAAAATAATATATAGAGGAGCAAAAAACTTTAAAAATATTTTAGTAAAGAGCCATTTATCCCCTCAGAGACTCAATACTCATATTCAGAATTTAAAGGGATTCTATGGTTGTGGAACATGCCTCCCTTGTAAGACAACTGGAAGTAAAAGAAGACACATAAGACATAAAAGAATATACAGATAAATCATATCTTATAAACGACCACCTTACTTGCCATTCAAAAGGAATATATATGTTGAAGTGCCCGTGCAATCTATTATATATAGGTAGAACTATTAGACCCTTGAAAGTAAGGATTGCAGAACATATCAGAAATATAAAAAATGGTCTAGAAACTCATAATGTTTCATTACACTATAAACAGGTGCATAATCAAGATCCCACAAACCTAATTTTCTGTGCCATTAAAGAAGTTAAAAGGAATTGGAGGGGGGGGAAACTACATTAAAACACTTGGAAAAGAAGAAATGAATTTAATATTTCAGTTTAAAACTCTTACCCCCTATGGTTTAAATGTAGATTTTGAAGTGTCACTTTTGATATCATTATCGTGTGTGTGTGTGTGTGTGTGTGTGTGTGTATATATATGTATGTATATATGTATATATGTATATATGTATGTATATATGTATGTATGTATATATGTATATATGTGTATATATATATATATATATCTTTATTGATAATGTTTTATACCAAAAGGATAGAATGCAAAATTTTTGTTGGTTTTATTAATAACTTTTATAGATTTTTTTATTATGCTCTTCTTTTTTCTGATGGTTTATATATGAGGTTTTTTAACATTTATTTTATATGATGCTGTTGGTTTTCTGCCTTTGATGGATTATAGAGACCTATTTGCCATGTGTCTATTGAAGGGACATATTATACATGTGAAGGATGCCTATTTGGAAAATATTCTCTGTTTGCTTTTTGCTACCCCATTATTTGGGAGGGAGATCGAGGGGCTGATCTTGAGACTGGCGTTAAAATACTTTGAAGCGCACCACGTGACACGGACGCATCACGTGACGTGCGCGTCATATGACGTTTGCGTTCCACGGATGAAACGCATCAGCTGAAACCGGAAGCGGAAGTCCAATTCAACCCACAGCCAGCATAAAGCCGAAAAAGACCGCCAAGGGAAAAATATAAAACAAGCACTACACTTGGAAATATAAATAGCAACTGAGGAAGCCTCTGATTAGAGGTGAAACGCGTTTTGCACCTTATATAAGGACTACACCTTCTAAACTGTAAGGTTTTTATTTTTGTTTTATGTACTTTATATCTTGTTGTGCATTTTTATAATAAAGCACTTTAATTCACCAAATTTTGGGAGGATATCAAATCTTTGAGCACTACAAGCAATAAAAAGAAGGAAGTGGGTCCCTCTAGTACCCACAAAGCTCCTCCCTTTGAGCCTTCATATTGGCTCCATGTTTGTGAGTGTTCTACCTTCCACATATATTACATTATCTTATTGTGAACTGGCTATATTGCACTATCTTTTTGTATCTATGTTTATGTTTTAGAATATACTCTTAAAAGGACCAATTTATTATTATCGCTATTGGAAGAACCCCCCTTCCATAAGGACCAGTTCGCTACAGCAACTTTTGGCGATTTTATGTTGTGCATATACTCCACCTTATACCGTATGTATTAGTGATCCGGTATAGTTTGTCTTGTATACTTTAGAGAATAGTTGTAGTGGGCTGATGCCACACGGCAACAGGTTGTCTATATGTGAGATGAGATTAGATGTCAATCCAAAGCTTCTGCATGTCAAGGGACTTGAGGATTCTGCAGAATCTAAGTGTGGCTTGATTGGGAGCAAGTTAAGATTGCAGTTTAGGATGCAGTGATCAGAAAGGGAGATACGTGAGTTTAGAGCTATGTTTCCAAGCTCTATTTCTAATGCTAAAGTGTTGCCAGCTTTAAGGGTAGGGGTAGAGGCAGTGGGTGCATTTATAGAGCAATTAAAATCTACAAGGATAACATGTTAATGTGAATGTCACACCTCCCCACTAACTCCTTTGCACATCCCCATGGAAGGCACACCTAACGGTTTTAAAAGGACTCTAGGCACCCAGGCCAATTCATCTCATTGCAGTGTCCCTGGTCCCTTAACCCTGCAAAGATTATTGCAGTTTTTAAGAAACTGCAATAATTACCTTTTAGGGTTAACTCCACCTCTAGTGGCTGTCTACCAGATTGCCACTAGAGGGATTTCCAGGCTTAGTTGCCCATCTGACACTGGACGATCTCCCGCTATGCATGGGGACATCAAGCATTACCCAGTACCCCATATGAAATGCATTGTATAATTGCAAGCGTGCCCATTGCTGAATCCATGACTGTAATAGTCTCGCGTTCCTTGCATTATGGTTTTACTGTGCCCTCCTCTGTAAAGATTTTTTTTTTTCTCTTTCTCAACAGTAATTGTTTTAAGACTTAAACGTATTTATTTTTTCCTCTTTGCATCAGAACACCTGGCTCTGGACTCTATGATAATTTGAAGAAATACAACATACCGTACCCTGAAGCAATTTTTGAAATTGACTACTTTTCGTATAACCCACGGCCTTTCTTTGCTCTTGCTAAAGAACTCTACCCTGGAAAGTACAAACCCAACATTGTACATTATTTTGTAAAACTGCTGTACGACAAAGGGCTGCTATTGAGGTGCTACACTCAAAACATTGATGGCTTAGAAAGGCGTAAGTTCCTTAAGTTTGGTATGTCCAGTACTGGTAATGAGCTGTTACTTTGTAACTTCATCAGAAATAGCTTTCAATATTACTACCTTTCTAAACCTTTTCTAAAGGGTGAACACTCTTGTTATACAAATAGATTTTAGTCAACATGTAATTTTTCTATAAAACTGATACTGCACGATAGGAAGGGATTTGATTTGTAACAAAAGTTGACCTTTTATTCTGTACTCACACTATAGTTTCATGACAAGTCTGTGTATTCTGGCAATGTTCAGTTGTTCAGGAGACCAAAGATCAAGTGGTCTATGAAACACTTGAATGGCATTTTCCCACAAATGATTATTCACCATTTTGTGTACATGCACGCCAGGGCTTGCAATTTGAAGTCCTGTGCTACTAGCCAGATCTTTAAAGGCGTGTGCATTATTCATCATAACTGAACATTCGCAATGCAGTGTGGGTTTGAAATGATATGTATACTACTGGTGATCTGCAGTTTGTGGCTGTTAATACCTCCTCTGAAACTTGCACTGGGAGAGGAAGCGGAATGACCAGAACAGTGCAATTCTCTCACTATTGCTCCCTATATCTCTACAAGGTGATGGTCTGAACGAGTAATTCCTACCAATCCCTTGTAAACGTTTGTGGTCCTGCATGAATGAGCATGAACACTAATTTAAACAAGAAAAATTACCCTGGAATGAGATATAGAATCACACTTTGGAGTTAAAGCGACACTGTCATGCTGAACTTACCTTTCCTCAATCTCTTCCTCTTCTCCCCCTCTCTCAGGATCTGTTCTTCCTTTCTTCCTGTCTTCTTTAGTTTTCTTTAAAATCATAAGACAAAGTAGGGACTCTTTGCCTTATGGAGGTTTCCTCCGCTTGACCAGCGTGAACCAGCTATACCACGAGTAGGGCCATGTCTAGTAAACAGTGAGCAGCCTGCTCACTGTAAAAAAACAAAGAAAAACAATCAAATTCCACCCTCCCCCATCAAAGGTGACTAGGGGTCCCCGAGCCCCAAGTCACCCACCCCCCACCCAAATAAAAAGGCCACTACCTACCCCCCTCACCCTAAAAAATAGTGATGGGGGAATAAAATTACTAACCTGTAAAATGAAACTTACCATTCGACGTCTTCTTTTTTCTAAAATCTTCATTTTTCAGCCCCAAAAAAGGCCAAATAAAAAAAACCATCATACCCGTCGAACTTAAAATAAAATAAACCTTTTTGTCAGTTTATATCATATGTTCTCCCTTAACTGTACAGCCCTGTTGAATTTGTTGGCGCTTTATAAATACCAGAAGTAAATAAGGTAAGTGTATCTGTGAATGTATGCCTCTGTGTGGGAGGGCAATTTCTGCATAAGTGCCCACTGCCCAGGATTCTTGCAGGGGGCCCTGATATGGCATCCTGCATAGGGCACTGGTTAAACTTAATCTGGCTGTGGCCCAACCGTGTACTAGTTTGTGAAATGTATTCACTTTTCAGCTAGGTATTGCTTTAATATTCAATTTGCCTTATTTTCCATGTAACTAAATTATTTTTATTTGCAAGTTGCTGGAATTCCACCAAGAAAGCTAGTAGAAGCTCATGGGACATTTTCTTCTGCGTCTTGCCATCTGTGTTACAGTCCATTTCCTTCAAATGAGGCAAAGGTAACTTATCTTTTATATTGTCTTTTTATTGTTTTGGGGTGTTTTTTTTTTATTTATTTATTTTTTTTATTTGGCCGTGCGAGTTGTTGGGATTTGGGTCATTTTATTTAATACTTCCCCATTCATTTTTATCAAGGACTGCATTATGAATGGAAGGTCTCCCCGATGCAAGACATGTTATGGAGTTGTTAAACCAGACATTGTTTTCTTTGGAGAAGATCTACCAAAAAGGTTCAGAAAGTTTACCAAGGACTTTCCCATGGCAGATCTGCTCATTATCATGGGGACTTCTTTGAAGGTAATTTATTTATTTTAACCTTGTAGCCAAATACTTTTATAACTGTCATCTTGTGCTATAAGCACTAGAAACAAAACTAATTACTTGACTTTGGTTTGTTGACAGATTGAGCCATTTGCCAAAATAGTTGATGCTGTACAACCAAACGTACCTCGTCTGCTCCTTAACAGAGATTTAGTTGGACCCTTTAAGACCAAACATCCGAAGAGCACAGATGTTGCAGCTTTAGGGGAGTTGTGTGATTTGACCAGAAGATTTGTCCGTTCTCTCCATTGGCAAGATGAAATGAAAGACATTCTAAAATCACAAAAGTCAAAGGTATTCACACTCATGTCTCTATTTCTACAGCATTGTTTGTATATATAGATTGCTTTATTTTGTCCTACCTTTTACCAGCACTGTGTCTGTTCCATCACTGTCATCACTGCAATTTTATTAACGGTCAATGACCTTGACAGATAGATTTGGAAAGAATTTGATTCATACATTTGACTATCTGGTTTCATATTGCAAGGCAAGAAAATAAATTCTACATCATATCAAAAGCAACAATTTTTCTCAATAGGTAGCATTCCAATTCAGTTTAAGGTTTTCTGTAGCTCCTAAATTTATATTTGAATGACTTTAGTTCCCTCAACAAATTCCATCCCAACACGATAATTAAAAACACTGGTGTGCATAAACAAAATAGAGCACCACTTAACAAAGTCAACTGGATTCCAGAGAAGAAAATAAAATTGGCTACACAAAGTGCAGAACAGCACGACTGAGGGCCATTTCGTATTGGTGAGGTCAGAACATGGGAAGTGAACCAGAATGGCTACTTGATGTACTGTTTTTTTTTTTTTTTTTTTTTTTTTCAAACTTGTGTTTTATAATCTAAATACATCAAGCGCTACAGTCAGTTTCACGTATTGACTTAAAGCATAGTATCCATCCAAGAAATATTAGAGGTTACAACATAGGTTGATTTGTAGTGTTGGAAAAGTTTGGTCTAAGCCTTATTCAGTTCCATTGTGATTTAGATTTGGTTTAAAGGAACACTATAGTCACCTAAATTACTTTAGCTAAATAAAGCCGTTTTAGTGTATAGATCATTCCCCTGCAATTTCACTACTCAATTCACTGTCATTTAGGAGTTCAATCACTTTGTTTCTGTTTATGCAGCCCTAGCCACACCTCCCCTGGCTATGATTGACAGTCTGCATGAAAAAAAAAATGGTTTCACTTTCAAACAGATGTAATTTACCTTAAATAATTGTATCTCAATCTCTAAATTGAACTTTAATCACATATATGAGGCTCTTGCAGGGTCTAGCAAGCTATTAACATAGGGGATAAGAAAATCTTAAACAGAACTTGCAATAAAGGAAGCCTAAATAGGGCTCTCTTTACAGGAAGCGTTTATGGAAGGCTGTGCAAGTCACATGCAGGGAGGTGTGACTTGGGTTCATAAACAAAGGGATTTAACTCCTAAATGGCAGAGGATTGAGCAGTGAGGCTGCAGGGGCATGTTCTATACACCAAAACTGCTTCACTAAGTTGTTCAGGTGACTATAGTGTCCCTTTAAAATGTATACATTTTACAGTCAAACCTTGTTCAAGAAGAATAAACCGAATAGATTGCTACAATTGAAATGAAAGAATAGGGATAAACATTGGCCATCAAGAAGTTAAACTTATTGGCCAATATGGACCTAGTCCCAAGGTGGTTAAGAGATGGAATGGAGTGAATTACTGGCCTGATGATTCTACCTTTGGCAACCCCGGATGCACCGAAGGGTCTTACATAGTGTGAAATTTTTTTATTGTATTTTTTAATTTCACTGGAGGGCATGTCCACCAAAAGGGAGCAGCATTCTCACTTCGGAGCTACATTTCCAGCATATTTTACCAACATCTGGATAAATATGCGCAAGTCTTATTGGCACAAGATACCCACAGTACAGTAATTTCCAGGTGAGATGTGCAAGAAGAGGCCTCAGGTGGCATTTTCCTCCCCACATCCTCATTCCATTCTTGTATGAGCTTCCATTTCGTTTCCGTACATTTGCGTTTACGGATTTGTAACACATTGACAGTCTTTTTGCATGGTAGCAAATGTCATTAAGCAGGTGTTCCCTCCTTGATCCAATGTTGTGCAAGTGACAGAAGCTGGTGTATAAGTTGTATTTATGAAAATAATGTGCTCGGAGGTAGGTGGTATGCTGCCTGTAATTCTGGGAACGTTAAATTATTGCCAGTGTATAATTCATAAAAGTATTTCCATACTTTATAATTAGATGTTGGGATAGATTGCAGTGGTGTAGCCAGCGACCATTGGCTGTGATTATAGTTTGTCTGTTATGGGCTCAGATCATGAGCAGGAGTTTCATTGTGGGAAGCTCAGTTTGATATATTTGGATGGAATTGGTATTTGTGAGGACTGGAAAAAAGTCTTTAGGTAAGATCACCATTTCTATGGCTGCAATCCTCCTCCGCTAAGTCGGGTATCTACCCTCCCAAATATTTTATGTATTTTCAATTTCTTTGAATAATTTTTGGTAATTAAGTTTGTGTTCTTGGGCATAAAAGTATCTTACAACCTCAACAATTTAAAGTATCTCTAGTTGAATTTGAAAGACTCAAGTTTCTCTCACACGCTTACCGATCCCATTACCTGGGATTCAATTTGTAACACTACTGCTTGCTGTAGTCCAGAATTTCTCAGTGTAAGTTGGGAAGGGAAATTAAAGGTTGCGATTGCGTAAGAAGAGTATCAGCAAACTAAACTTCTTCTGTCTCCCACTTTTACCCTATTCTGTCTTATTACTGATTTTAAAGCTAGGACATATAGCAGTGGTGACAGTGGACATCCCTGCTGGGTGTCATTCGCAATGAGAAATGGTTTGGACAGAAGTTCTGCATTGAGGACTGTAGCCGATGGGGAACTATATAGAGCTTTAGTGGCTCTAATAATAAAACCTTTGTGGGAACACACATATGCAGTTTCCTCAAGGAACTGCAGTTTTGAGTACAAAGGCACTTTATGAACTGGTATCACGCTGCTCCTCCTGACAACTTGCCTTTTAGTCACATCTATCCAAATTCACACACATTGTGAACAAATGTAAAAGATGGACAATGGCTATGTGCTTGTGACAGACCTGATATATATTGTCGTATTGCTCCCATAGATCCCACACCTTATTGATAGTAGGTTTTGTGGTCCTCAGGATAGCTTGTTGGGTTCTAGCTACTCATATGTAGAACTGGGAGATCCGTCCCTGTGTAGCCTGGTGGTTTTAACCCTGTAATTGCAATGTTTGTTCTGCTGGAGAAAGCGCCTCTAGTGGCTGTCGTATTTAATCCTGCAAAGTAGAGTGAAAGCATAGCCGCATTTGAATTTGGCCTCACATGCTCATCTCTCAGAAGTACTGGATTGGTCGAAATTGCAGATGACAATCATTCTTTGTAAGAGTAGGTTCCTGCAGCAGAGGAGTCTAGACACAGGAAGCATAACGAGTAGGGGCGGACTTGACCACTCATGCACATCGGTCATGGTCAGAAGACCTGTGGCAGTCAGGTGCCCAGAGCAGCTATGGCCAGGCTGGGGAGATCAGAGGATCTCCAACTGGCCTAGTATAAAAAAAGCAGCAATGTGAGACCTGCTGGAAGCTATCCTTGCCTGGTCTGCTCACATATGCCATTTTTCAGTCTGCCATCGGCAGCGCTCTGTGTTGGAGAAGAGTGGGGTATAGGGAGTGGCATCACATCCCCTCATTACACAAATGCAGACTGCATGTGCAAAACTGTTTGGAGAAGGAAGGGCTGGGATTATAGAAAACTGTTTGAAATGGAAGGTAAGATGGGACAGAGAGAAATAGAAGCATGAAAGGGAGAGGTTGGCTAGTTTAACTCAGTGTGGCACACTAACAGGGAACTGGATGAAGTTGTGCCCAGCTTGAAAGCAGTATGCTGTGGCCACATACAATGCACTGTTTAGGTAATGCAAGTCCAGAACACATGATAGATGATACAGGTGAAGTTATTTTCCCTCTGAATCTAATCATCTCTTTGTATTGGCAGAATATCTTAAACTCTGCACATATAGGCTCCGTGCACCAGAACCACAGAAAGCTGTAGTAGTCATGGCGCTTGGAGTGCACTTTTAATACACACATTGTATTTGTGTGAATCCTGGTATGTATTTGCTTAGTGCCAAATGTTCATGCACACACACTGACACACTACCCAGTCACCCCTGTGTTCACAATCACTCAAACACACAGACATGCCGTAGAAATCTAGCCTTATTCAAACACTTTTCAAACCAGCATTTACACATACAAACATATCCTCTATTAGGATCCAGGGGGTGACCACGTTGTGATGGATTGTGTACTACTAGTACTATCCATCAAAGAACCATTACCTTCTTAATTTTTTTTGCATCTATCAGAATATCCTTGGCTGCTGCTGCCCCCATTTCCTCCTCCTGCAGTGGTTTAACCCCACGTTGTTGGCTTTTCAGACCAGCTGTAGAAGCCAAAGCATAAGCTTCAACCAGCTGACCATGTTGACAGGAACAGCCTGGATGGGGGGAGGGGGGGACCACCTTCCAGTGATTGTGAGCTAGTGACCTCCTGTCAGTGAGCTGTGAGGTTTGTGCAGTTTGCTGTGTATTTTGTTAAATTTATTTTTTCCTTTAGTGACATTGTGTGCAGATCAGTGAGCTTGTGCTGTCAGCTGTGCGTATTGTCTTTGTGCGTGTATGTGCAAGACCAGAGGTGGCTCTCTAATTAATTAGGCGACTTAGGCGGCCGCTTCAGTCCTTGCGCTTGCTTATTTATATAATCTATGTAACAAAATACACTTAGAATGACATTCTATATCTGTCTATATATAAAATACAAATAACCGCAAGTATGTGTGTGTGTGTGTGTGTGTGTGTGTGTTTGCTGATTAGCACCAGGCCAGCAGTGGAATACGCAGGGAGTGCAACAAAATTTGTGTGTGTGTGTGTATATTCTGCGTTTTAGTGGGGGCCTCATGTTTGAGTTTCACAAAGTCTAGGGCCAAGACCCAACATTTTCAAACTTTAAAAAATATATTTCTATTACATACACTGTAAATAATCATCCATTTGCCCTACATTCACAAATATAGGCCCTCTATGCACACTGCTACCCATCCATTTTTATGCACTGCTTGTGTATGTCTAATTCAGAACGATCCTTTTAACCCCTTAATGTAGTTACGCCGTAACTGCTTTGAGCCCTGGAGCGCCCAGTATACTCACCTTCCCGGTGCTCCACTTCGGGAGGACTGCCTGACAGCCCAGGCAGCCCTCCGCTGGCAAAAGAAGCCCCTGGGGGCCATGTGATCGCTCTCAAAGAGCGATCACATGGCCCCCTATAGCTGGCTGTGGATCTGCCAGCAGGTGGACTGTCTAAAATGTCAGTCCCCCTGCTGGTGGGGGCTGTAAAAAAAAAATAAAAAAAAATATATAAATATTTTTTAAACATGTTTAAAATTAAAATAGAAATTTATGTGTGTGTGTATATAATATATGTACATATTATATATGTAACGTCATACAAAGTGTATTTTAATAGTAATATAAGTACATATATTAGTATTAAAATACACTTAGAATGACGTTACATATATATGTGTATATATGTATAATTACAATAATAAATAAAATATTGAAACCATTTAATATAAATTATATATTCATATGTAATTTCATTCTAACTGTATTTTGTTATTTATATAATATATGTAACAAAATACACTTAGAATGACATTCTATATTTATCTATATATAAAATACAAATAACCGCAAATATCCCTCTCTCTCTCCCCCTCTCTCCCCCTCTCTCTCCCTCTCTCTCCCTCTCTCTCCCTCTCTCTCCCTCTCTCTCCCTCTCTCCCTCTCTCTCCCTCTCTCCCCCTCTCTCCCCTCTCTCCCCTCTCTCCCCCCTCTCTCCCCCCTCTCTCCCTCTCTCCCCTCTCTCCCCCCCTCTCTCCCCCCTCTCTCCCCCTCTCTCTCCTCTCCTCTCCCTCTCTCTCCCTCCCCCCTCTTCCCCCTCTTCCCCCTCTTCCCCCCTCTTTCCCCCCCTCTTTCCCCCCTCTTTCCCCTCTTTCCCCCCCTCTTTCCCCCTCTTTCCCCCCCTCTTTCCCCCTCTTTCCCCCCTTTCCCCTTTCCCCCCTCTTTTCCCCCCTTTCCCCCCCCTCTTTTCCCCCCCTCTTCCCCCTCTTTTCCCCACTCTTTTCCCCCTCTTTTCCCCCCCTCTTTCCCCCCCTCTTTTTCCCCCCCTCTTTCCCCACCTCTTTCCCCCTCTTTCCTCCCCCCTCTTCCTCCCCTCCCTACAGGCTTCTTAGACATAGCATTTCATGTACAAACCAACGAACCACTGCATTTTCGCCTACACACTGTGGCTACTAAAAAAGACAAAACAAAAAGACTAAACATACCCCACTTTCAATACCTTGGGTTGTCTACTTTTTCAAATGGTATGCCATTATGAGGGTAATTCTCATTCCTGGGCTCCACACAGTCTCAAAGGTAACATTACTAATCTGGCAAATTTCAATGTGAAAATGGAACGTTCTATATTTGACCCTGTAACTTTCCAAAACACCATAAAACCTGTTAATGGGGGGTACTGTTGTACTCGTGAGACATCGCTGATTACAAATATGTGCATTTTTTTTTTTTTTTTTGCAGTAAAACTGAACAGTATTATGACATTCACAGCTAAAATGTCAGACGGAAAAAAATCTTCTTTTCTCACTTTTTTTTTAAATTTTATTCATAATAAATTATGTTCCATATATGAATAGTTAATGATAAATTAAAGCCATGTTTCTCCTGAACAAAATGATATATAATAAGTGTGGGTGCACTTAATGTGACAGCGGTAAATTACGGTTGAACAGACATATAGTCAAATTACAGTTTTTGTATAGATCAGAACGTGCACTATTGACTTTGTCCTGAAGGGGTTAATATGTGACTTAACTCTTCTCTTTGTATTAATGAAGTATAAACAAGTATACAATCTTATTAACCACAATTTCACCCTGGCAATTATGCACACATCAACATTCCAACATTCCTGTATTTACACATACGCTAACAAACCAAACACATCCCTGCATTCACTGACATTCGAGTCCAATACACTGTGTTGAAAGTTGGTGTAAATGCCGCAGAAGAACATATTTACTGAATTCTGAATTTTAGCAAATTAAAATCAGAATTACAACATTTGGCCTCATAGGTGATCTGGTAAAATTGCCCAATTTCACTATAGCCCCCTCGCCATTAACCCTTCAGTAAATTACAATACAAATTCCAAAACTGAATTCAGAGTTAAGTGAATCAACCTCCACACGTTAACACGACTTGCAAACGAACAAAATCTGCTTTTTAAATTTACTCTAATTACATACAAATATTCATTCATATTGGCAGTAAGTATATACAAAAACAAATGCATTAACATAAACAAAGTGCAACTGTGTATGTAGCCCGTTCATACGAGTGTTAAAATCATTGTGAACACATACCCTCACACTATATAAAAGTAAAAGAAAGCACAGTTATTAGAAACATTTACTTAAAGCACCACTATAGTGCCCTGAGGGTGCCCCCACCCTCAGGGTCCCCCTCCCGCCCGGCTCTGGAAGGGGGAAAGGGGTTAAAACTTACCTTTTTCCAGCGCTGGGCGGGGAGCTCTCCTTCTCCTCCCATGCGGCTGAATGCGCACGCGCGGCATTGATAATGCTTTCCTATGGACGCTTGCGTGCTCTCACTTTGATTTTCACAGTGAGGAGCATGCAAGCGCCTCTAGCGGCTGTCAATGAGACAGCCTCTAGAGGCTTTGGGGGAAGGCTTAACCCATTCATAAACATAGCAGTTTCTCTGAAACTGCTATGTTTATAAAAAAAAATGGGTTAACCCTAGCTGGACCTGGCACCCAGACCACTTCATTAAGCTGAAGTGGTCTGGGTGCCTAGAGTGGTCCTTTAATACTAGTATATGGGGCCCCAAGACATAATTTTGCCCAGAATGCTGTTTGTTTTTTAGGTTTCAAACCAAGGAAGGGTTGGCAGGCCTCACATAGAAAGGGAACTTATAGGACTGTAGGTTCCGTGTAAACTTCTTACCATTTTTGGTGTTTCTGCATAATCTACCTTTACTTTGTATTGAAAGACACTTAAAGTGTAAAAACAAAGTCTCTTTATTGCGGAAAGATCTTTGTACATATTGCGTGGGGTGGGGAAGGAAAATTATGACCTGCCTACTTCTGGATTACTAATGTTTCTCCAAAGCTTTCCAAGACACCATTTTGTAGAAGATTGGCTCTAGGGAATTGGGGTCTAAAGGAGACTACTTTCCTGGAGAAATGCTTGGTTTTAGTAGCATCCTTAAAATAATTTTTTTACATTTCAGACTTGTAAATGTGTGATGCAATTTGTTCTCTTTCCTTAGGGTGGTTCCTGAGACTATTCTGCTGAATTGTAGGGGAAATGCTGTCCTGCCTGGTGGTTAATGAAGTGTCCTGGAATGGATTGAATACACCATCTAAAATAAAAGTCCAGTTGAGATCAGTGAATTTATCTGCTTTATCAATTCATTTAAGTTTTTTGAGCAATTATTTTATTCAAAAGAGAATTTGTAGCGGTTTTAGCTTTTACGAATAAAAAAAAAAATCCTTAACCTTTATACTGGCAGGCTATTAATGACTTATCCATTAGTCAATAAAGGAATGCTCTATTGCCGCCTACCCCCTTCCCAAAACTAAAAAATCTAGCGGATCCAGCCTCAATGAAAACATGTTTGCATTTTTATTTTGGTTTTTTTCATTGAGGTAAAAGCTGAAAACTTATCTGCAGCCTTTGAAAGCCTTTCCCTTTTCCCCCCTGCAACGACTTGAGAAAGCTCCGTGCTGAAGCCGTAAGTGCACATGCTCGTAGCATTCCCATTGGGCTAATGGAAGAGTAAGAAAACGTCCCTGGCTTTCTGATTTGCTGCCATGGATATGTTTCTGCCCCCAATATGACTGTTTGGATCCTGTCACATTTGAAAACACAAAGCTCTCATCCAATCTGAAGTGCTTTATAGAGTTCCTTTTAGTCCATATTTCTGTGTTTTTGTTTGGTTTTTCTTTAACTCTAGTAAAAATATATATACTTAAAACAACTCCTAATGTCTGAACATTGAAAATGTTTGTGTAGGTAATGTATTCTATGGTTTTGAAGGACTGGAAACGGTCTATTGCTTGCTTACACAAGATTCTAGATTCCCAAGACCTAGTTAACAGCATGAGGTTGTTTATTCACACTTTTAACTTTGCCTTTGAAAATTTGTATTGAACTTTTTAAAATTTATTGTACACAGTCTTTTATTTGTTCAGTGGATAACCAATGGATATATTGGATATTGATTTTTATATAAATTTGAATAAAATATTTGAAACTGAGATTTATGGGTTTTTTATTCTGTTTCAATGGGGAAACCATGCATGCTTCCTGACTCTAGGGAAACTATATTCTGTTTTAAGAAGCATAAGGTTAGCCCCCACGTTAGTCACTTGGCCAATTCACACCCTTTGCAGGGATGGCATCTAGGCACCAGGACAGGTCAGTGCAATTAGCAGCTTTCAGTACAGTGAGACAATTGTAAGCACTGTTTGTGAGAAGTGGATTGATCAAATGTATGTCATGTGCCTCTAGCAGGGATAAGCAACCTTCGGCACCCCAGATGCTGTGGACTACATCTCCCACAATGCTCTTACAGCCATAATGCTGGCAAAGCATCATGGGAGGTGTAGTCCAAAACATCTGTAGTGCCAAAGGTTGCCTGTCCCTTCTCTAGTGGCTGTTAATAGAGATTGTTACAGCGCACACATAAAAATAAATTTCTAAATTCTATAAGGCTACTTAAAATCTCCTATCTCTGCAAACAAATATGGGGATTCAGTTCCACCATATGGCCATATTGTGTTAAGCCCACCACTACTTCAATATCTGTAATCAAAATGGCCATATGGTGGAACTGAATGCCTATATTTCTTTGCAGAGATAGGAGATTTTTAGATAGCCTTGTAAGATTTAAAAATGTATATTTGTGTGTGCTGTAACTTAATCTGTATTATGTATGAATTTTGGTCACTACGGCTGCACCATTCCTACAAAATGCACTTCCAAACATACGACAGCCTCCGCACACGTGCGCAACACATTTTTTACTGTTCCACTTGTGGGGACAAACAGTACTAAATGCATTAAAGGACTATGCCAAGCACAATGGTTTGGAGGTGAGCACATGGAAGCATACATTTAAAGTCAATGGTAGTTAACCAGAAAATGGCATGTTTCTCTGAAACAAAATTCATGGACTAAACTAAAGCTAGGCTTATACTACCTGGTGATATGTTGATACTTTCATTGAATTTGGTACAATCTACTAGATACGAATATGTACAGTATAAATAAGTGTCAAGTGAAACAAATATCCTGCTCTAAAGGAATTATATAGTTGTTGGCAAAGGGTTAAAAAATCTTTTATTCACTTAGCCAGTTCCATCGCTGATGTCGTGCTCCACCCTCTGATGCCATGGACACACATGTGCAGCGAGTGCTGTAAACGCATTGGACCTTCCACCTATAAAAAGCATTACCGCAATGCTTTCCTCTGGGGTTTTTACTGATGCTGGATTCTCTCATGAACGTTAGGACTTCCAGCATTGTTTAAGGGACTCGGAGTCCATTAGTATCCCAAACGTGCCTCTAGTGGCCATCTGATAGACAGCCACTGGAGGCAGTCTTGGTCCTGCAAAGTAATCATTGCAGTTTCTCACAAACTGCATTGTTTTACATTGCAGGACTAAGTGCAATAAGGACACTGCAGCCAGACCACTTAAATGAGATTAACTGGTCTGGGTGTCTATAGTGTCCCTTTAAGTTAGAGAAACTAAATAGCAGTGTGTAAAGTGTTATAATGTAATAGTATAGTATAAACCATTCTCTGACTTTAATAACCAACTGCCCCAAGTGGCCATCCATTGTAAATGTATACAAATGTAATTCAACACACTATTGAAAAGCTGACCAGAAAAAATTAGAGAGGTGGAGACAAGGTGGTTGGCTAAAGAAATAAAATAAATAAATGTCAGTCCTACAGATAATCACTGCATTTTAGATGTATATCTACATATAATTTGGTGGAACACACATCTGATGGTTCTAGAAAATAGAACAGAGCGACATAGTATAATACTGTATGATTAAAATGTATTACAATAGAGTAGAGCAATAGTACTCACAAGCCTGGAGCCAAATTTGCATATGGCTCTCATGGAAAACGTAGAGGGACTCTTAATCCCCATCCTTCTTGTTGCTCCTTAAATAATCTGGGTAATTTCTTAGTAAAGATGAGATGTTAAAGTATTTTTCCAAGGAAAAAAAAACTTTATTGGTAAGGTGAATAAAAGTGCAAATAGCAAAGTAACAAAGTTCCAATAAAAATAGTAATTAAAAGTCCTGTGTTTACAGTCTGATCCAAAATGCGTTTCGCCCTGTGGTGGGGGCTTCCTCAGTTGGTCAGTTGATGTCTTCTGGGGGGGGGGGCGTCCTTTTATGTCTCCTCATTTCACTTCCGGGTTTCCGGCTGTCCGCACTTGGAACGCATAATGCGTTCCACAGCCAGCTACATGCGCCCCACTTCTGGGTCGTGTATTGTGTGTCGATAGATGCCACTGGAATGCATGATTACCGGTATATGCGTTCCACTTCAGTATAATTGAGTGTTTTCTTCAACATCGATCATACCTATTTGTCTTTAAAAAATTTGTATATGGTACATTGCTTAATTACAATAATATTATGTACACATGTTACTCATACACTTCCTACTGTATTTATATTAAGGTCTAAAATTAGCTCCAATATTTATATATCTCTAGGTGAGAACATGTAAACAATTATAGTCCTTAACAAAAATGTGTGATTTATACATATAAACAGACCTATTATTTGTCCTATATAACATCTAAAAGTTAAAAAAATATAATAAATACATTTTAATTTTTTTTTTGTTTTCTCCAAAAGTGAGAAGTAATTATAACTAGAATAGTGTATATGGCTGAAATGTATTAATATTAGTAACTAAAAACAGTGTAAAAATCTTAAGATGAATTAAAAAAAGAAAATTTTATTAAATGAAGTGACAAATCTCGAAATCCGAATTAAGACCATAAGGAATGAGTTAAAATTGAAGATAAATTTCATCTCTTCTGAGCCTATCTTCTTGGAATAGTTTCCCCCTCTCCAATCCTTTTTAACTATTTTTAGGGGGCAGAAGAAGAGATGATCTGGATTGAGGCTGTGGTGTGTTTTAAAGTGGTTTGAGACACTATGGGTCTCCAAACCCTTTTTGATGATTCTAACATATTCGGATAGCCGAACATGTAGACACCTGATCGTCCTGCCAATATATAATAAATTGCAGGGGCATTTCAATAAATAGATAACTCCTTTTGAAAAACAAGTTAATTGGTCTTTAATAATATGTATATCTACCTGTGGAAATTGGAGTAGAGTATAGCTCTTTTGCCTATAAGGTATAATGATGTACAGAAGGAAACTTTAAGGTGAGCAGTGCGTAGTGAATACAAATGTACGAAGCAATTAGCTAACGCACTATTAAATGCTGCTGATGCACCTTTATCCGCATGTTTACATGTGAGTGTAGGACCCACTGATATTGTGACGTAGTGGTCAGCTGAACACAATATGGCCGTTTTGTGTAACTAAATATTCATATCTTGGCAAAGGTGACACTTTTTTTTACCTTTTTTTTTTTTTTTAAATGGCCTTGTAAGATTTAAAACGTGTTTTTTATTATGTTTGTGTGTGCTATTCCTGTTATATGTATTTTGTTTATATTTTGGTCACTACGAAGAAATGCATGTTTTGCGTGTGCCTACCTATTTATTTATTCTCCTTCTTGATGGCTCTCTATTGTAGTTTGAAAATTAACAAAAGCCCATATATATTCATTCCAACAAAAAGATGTACGCACTCTCTGGTTTCCCAAATAACAAATTGTGCTTTATAAGTTGCAAAAAATAAATAAATCAATGTTTCGATCTCACTGTCTTTATCAAGATAGCATACAGTGCATTACAATTTCTTTTATAATAAACATAAGTGCTGTAAAAATCCATAATTAACTTACCCAGTGCAGGTGAAAAACTGCTATCCCAGTCCCATGGCCTGAAGTGTCCCGTGTGTACATGGTTATTAACCCCTTAAGGACGGAGCCAAATGTACACATTGTGAACAAAACAAAATGTAAACAAAACCTGGCATTTGCGCTACATGTCTGTCCAACCGTAATACACCTCTTTCATAGTAAATGCACCCACCCTTATTATATATCATTTTATTCAGGGGAAACAGGGCTTTCATTTAATATCAAATATTTAGCTATGAAACATAATTTAATATGAAAAAAATGGGAGAAAATACGTTTTTTTTGGATTTTTTTAGTTCTACATTATATTTTAACGGTCAGTGTCATAATACTGTTTGCTTTTACTGCAATAAAATACACATATTTATATTCAGTAAAGTCTCACGTGTAAGACAGTACCTCCTATGTACAGGTTTTATGGCGTTTTGGGAAGTTACAGGGTCAAATATAGAACGTTACATTTGAAATTGAAATTCGCCAGATTGGTTACGTTGCCTTTGAGACTGTATAGTAGCCGGGAATGAAATTTACACCCATAATGGCATACCATTTGCAATAGTAGACAACCCAAGGTATTGCAAATGGGGTATGTCCAGTCTTTTTTAGTAGCCATTTGGTCACAAACACTAGCCAAAGTTAGCGTTAGTATTTGTTTGTGTGTGAAAAATGCAAAAAACGCCAATTTTGGCCAGTGTTTGTGACTAAGTGGCTACTAAAAAAGACTGGACATACCCTGTTTGCAATACCTTGGGTTGTCTACTATTGCAAATGGTATGCCATCATAGGGGTAATTTTCATTCTTGGGCTACCATAGGGTCTCAAAGGCAACGTAACCAATCTGGCGAATTTTAATGTGAAAAAATGAAACGCAAGCCTTATATTTGACGCTGTAACTTTTGAAAACACCATAAAACCTGTACATGAGGGGTACTGTTGTACTCGGGAGACTTCACTGAACACAAATATTTGTGTTTCAAAACAGTAAAAAGTATCATAGCAATAATATTGTCCGTTTAATGCTGTTTGTGCGTGAAAAATGCAAAAAACGTCACTTTTACTGGCGATATCATCGTTGTAATACATTTTAATGTTTTGAAACACTAATATTTGTGTTCAGCGAAGTCTCCCGAGTAGAACAGTACCCCCCATGTACAGGTTTTATGGTGTCTCGGAAAGTTATAGGGTTAAATATAGTGCTAGCAAATTAAATTCCCTTTACTTTCGGCATGGGTTGTCATGCAGGTCCTGCTAATTGTAATTAATTAAGATACCTAATTATGTAAAAATATTACATAAATATATATGTCGAATTAATATATGTATATATATACGTATGTGTATATATATGTATATATCTATATAATTTTTTTTAAATATTTTTATTTATATATAGGTATATATATAGTGATATATACGTATATATTTATGTGTATAGATATATATATTATTTCGTTCTACGTGTATTTTGATATATATATATATATATTAATTTCACAATACAGTTAGAACGAAATAACACACATCTATATATTTTTTAATTATTTATTTTTAGTTATTTTTTTAATTTTATTTTTTAACGTATTTACATTTTTATTTTTTTTATATTATATATAAATATATATATAACAATAATTATATATATATTTAATCAGTATCAGTCTACGTGTAATTTGATATTTATATATATAATTATATATATATTAATAGTAAAATACACCTAGACGGTGTACATGTGTGTATGTATATGTGTATATATATACTTAGATCATATATATATAATATATATATATGATCTAAGTATATATAATTATTTTTTTTTACACCATTAACTTATTTTATTTTTATTTCCAGCCAGCAGGGGGACCACCTGTAATTACAGGCAGCCCCCCTGCCGGCAATACAGAAGCCAGCTATACCCGGCCATGTGATTGTGGGGTCCTCGCTAGGACCCCACTCTCACATGGCCGGGGGGCTTCCAGGAGGACGGAGGTGCCGCGACCGGGTAAGTTAACAAAAACCGGAGGGCGTACAATTACGCCCGGCGGCGTTTAGAGCCGCCTATTAGAGGGCGTAATTGTACGTCCTCCGGTTTTAAGGGGTTAACATGCAGATGTGTGTCAAGTGTCGTGTTCCGTTGTTGTAGAATTATTAGGCCTCTATAAATCTGTAAGGCCCCTTTAAATCCTCTTGCTATACCTCTAAGAGGCCCCCATAGTTTTACAAGAAAGCTTTGTCCATAGAACATAGAATTTGCATGTCAGCAAGAAATAGCTTTGATAAAATGTGTATTTACTAAAAGCCTTGAAACCTAACCTTGAGAAACTAACAGTGCCAGCTACACTCTAAATGGATAGCTGCCAAAAGGCCCCTCCCGTCGAGTGAGCTCCTCATGTTAGCAAAATGGCGCTAAAACCTGGAGGAGATGATCATGACGAGGATAGTGACTTAAGATGGTACACCCCATAGGGAGGGCATTTTACTAACATCTTAGCACCTAAGCCAATTAACAATGTCTATTTGTCTATATCTTGATTTTCTTCAATGATGTAATAATGCCTTTAAAAGGGCCTGTGAGCCTGCTTTTTGATCAGAAGCCATTAAACTTCTCCGAAGTTCTTTCATTAACCTGAACTCTGTGTCTCAGTGTGAATTTACTTCTGCGTGCACGCAACTTTATTATCTTTAATTTGGACAGGAACAGATAGTCATTCAAACTAATTGGTTTGCAGTAAATCAACTACAACACCGTAACTGACAACGAAATAGGCATTTTTAAAATCCTGTGCACAAACCACCCAAGGACTACAATAACCATAAATTGATGTTAAAAATCAGCAGGGAGGACCACAAACATAAGGAAGAGTAAAGTAATATGCTTGTAAGAAATGTCAGACCTGAATAATCATCAGATAAGCTAGAGATGCTGGAAAAATAAAGATCTGTTTAAGCCAGTGAAGTGACTCTCCCATGAACGCAAACGACCATTTCACACATTTAACTCTCTTCTTCGGCCTATTGTTCCTCCTCCACATCCTACCTTGACCGCCTCAGACTGTGCAACTCCCTTCACTGACAAGATCTCTACAATCGGGGAAGAGATCTCTCATCTTTCTTTTTCCCCTTACAATACTTACCCTAACCTCACTCCCTTTGCTGTTCTATATTCATTGGCACCCACTACAGCGGAAGAGTTTTCTGCTCTGCTCCAGTCCTCCCGCCCCACCACCTGCTCCCTAGATCCATTTCCCTCGCATCTCATCCGTACTGTCTTCTCTTTCTCTATCTCTCCTCTGGCTTATTTCCATCGCCCTTCAAACATGCAAATATATCCCCAATTCTAACGAAGCCCAACCTTGACCCTAACTCCCCGTCCAACTACCGTCCTCTCTCGCTACTGCCTTTTGCATCCAAGATCCTTGAAAGAGTTGTGTGTGTGTGAGATTGACAGACTTCCTTTAGTCCAGCTCTCTGCTAGACCCCCTTCAGTCTGGTTTCCGCGCTAAGCACCTGGTGGAAACGGCACTGACCAAAGTATTCAATGATCTACTCACTGCAAAATCTCGTCACTACTCTATCCTAATTCTTCTTGACCTTTCTGTGGCTTTTGACACTGTTTATCATCAACAGCTTCTTCTCATCCTCCGCAATATCAGTCTACAAGATATTTCTCTCTCCTGGTGCTCCTCCTACCTCCCAGCGCTCTTTCAGTGTTTCTTTTTCTGGCTCTACTTCTCCCCAACTCCCCTCTGTTGGTGTCCCCTACTGTTCTCCATCTATACTGCCTCCCTTGGTAAACTAATTAGCTCCTTTGGCTTCCAATATCATTTCTATGCGGATGACACCCAAATCTATCTGTCCTCTCTTGATCTCTCCCCGTCCCTCTTGACTAGTGTCTCTGACTGCCTCTCTGCTATTTCTAACTGGATGGCTGCCCACTTCCTTAAACGCAACTTGACCAAAACTGAAATTCTGGTCCTTCCTCCCTAAAATGTTGCTACTCCAGTGTCTGTCTCCCTCCAAGTCAACGGTGCTAACATCAGCTCCACCACGTAGGCTTGCTGCTTAGGTGTTCTCTTTAACTCGACCTCTCCTTCACGCCTCATGTTTAGTCTATGGCCAAATCCTGCCACTTCCACCTCAAAAACATTGCGCGCATCAGACCCTACTTAACGCCAGATGAGACTTAGGTGCTGGTCCATTCCACTGTTCTTTCTCGCCTTGACTACTGTAATCCGCTTCTCAGTGGTCTTACGTGCTCCCAACTTGCACCGTTACAGTCCATAATGAATGCGGCGTTGAGGCTTATCTTCCTGTCCACCTGCACCACCCACACCTCACCCTTCTTTCAGTCCCTACATTGGCCTCCTGTAAGATATAGGGCTCAATTTAAAATTCTTGTTTATTGCTTTCAAATCTCTACATAATGCTGCACCCACCCATCTATCCTCCCTAATACACAAGTATGTCCCATCTAGGCCCTTACGCTCTGCTGAAGACTTACGTCTATCTTCTGTCCATACTCCCACCTCTGATGCTCTCTTTCAAGACTTCTCGAGGGCTGCACCGTTCCTGTGGAACTCACTTCCCTCCTCCGTTAGATGCTCACTCAGTATCCACTCCTTCAAAATACCCACTTCTTCATAAAAGCATATCAATTAAACTGTTAATAGCTCCCGACAGACTCCTCTCTTGCAACTGTCACTAGTCTAAAACTATCATTGCATTTTGTGTTACTTTACCCCACTCCCTCTACCATGTAAACTCATTGAGCAGGACCCTCAACCCCTCTGTTCATGTGTGTCAAACTTGTCTGGTTACAACTACATGTGTGTTCGTCCACCCACTGTAAAGTGCTGTGAAATTGAGAGGGAGAGTATAACATAATAATGCAGATGTGTGGTGAAGTAGAAAGTGATAAAGGAGAAAAATCCTGAGGGAAGATAAAGTGTAAGTGTATATGTGAAGTGACATGCAAAAAGTGGGAGACCAAAACTAAATAGTGAAATAAGAACCTGTGAAAAACGTGTATATGTGACAATTGAGAACATAATGTCAAATATGTATACACAGATATAAGTCTTCATAATAAATATAGAACATGAATAATATATAATACATCCATTTCTGTATTAACAATATGCATACAATAACTTATTGTGGAAAAATTAAACGTTAAGTGTGGCAGAATGGTCTCTTAATATGGGACTGAGCATCACAAAAAATTAATGAAGAAATTTCACAAACTAAAGACTACCATTAATGAAACACTAGGCATAACGCCATATGTATATACAATTTTGGTCAATTTTTTTTTTATTATAAAGAATAGGAACTAAAGGATAGACCTAGATAAACTACACAGTGATATTATCCCATGATAACCAGTCAAAAAAGAAATTATATGACCTGTCATGACAACTAGGAAGGCGGAGCTTGGAGTTGTGGGAGGGGATGATCCGGCCTATATAAGCTCAAACTTGCCTCCACACCAGGCCGAGGTCGAGTGGTCACTTCCGGTTTTCCGCCAGAAAGTTCACAAGCCCAGTTACAGTCAAGTACCAACACGGCCAGCTACGGAAATGGCTAAATACATATTATGACCAAATCATGTTTAGCATTACGCTTAAGTTATACATCGGTTTGTCTCTGGTCACATAGGGCCAAACAACCCTAACGGTCGGAAATACAAATTGGCGTGAATGCAATGGTATAAGCCGGAATGGTTTGGAGCATACCAAAATATACACTCGCATTGTCCTTATTGTACTCACAGAATACTGTTCAATACCTACCACTCGTCAACTAGTCCCGTTCTATTCTCTTAGGTACACGGTATGTCAAAGCTTGGGCATCAATTAGGGGGGAGGAGGGAGGGAAAGGTCAAGTCATAATCTGGACAGTTGACTAAAATTACGTATTAAAACACAGTCCTAGCTCCAAGTATCAATACGGGCGTCCTAGGGGTTAACGTCAGTATAAGGGTACTAGGCTTCCCAGCAAATAGGCTCGACATGTCAAAAATACGATTTAATTACAATAGGAACTACTACCGGTCTATGGCACCGGCTCAGAGGATACGCGATATGTACCTCAAATATACAATCTACCAGGTACAAAACAATTTACATAACATGAGCACACCTAAAGATTCGAAATTAAGCTAAGCCTAATTTTAATACGCAGGAAAATAATTCCTTACAGTTGTACTTTTCGTTAAACACATATATTAACGCCTCACTCCACCTGTTATGTTAACACACCAGGCTTATTTAAGCATCGCAGCGGGCCCACGTTAGGACTATATATACGTTTATGTACATGTAGTACTTCTGTGGTACTATCTGCCTTCCATCTTTTACAATTACTCCGCTAGGCCACTGACAATTCATTTAAGTAGGTTTTACTATTCACTAATTTGGTGACCCTTGAGGTGAGATTAAAGTACATCCAATGCTAATTATACCATGCAGGGATTAATACCAGCTCTTAAATATCGTATCTTCCAGGTTATCCGTTCAGGTGTACCCTTTCATTAGTTTCGGTATCAATTCAGGTTATAACACTATTCAGTCACAGTAATACCATGTCTCAAACATCAGGCCAGGTAACTCACATTAGGCACGTTCCATATACATTGGCTACCAACCACCAGGGCACAGCACCCCTCACACACACACACCCAGCACCCCTGACACAAAGCACCCCTGACACACATACACAGCACCCATCACAAACTGCACCCCTCACACACAGCACCCCTAAACAAAAACACACTATACAAGAAGCACTGACTGTCCCAGGATATTATACACACACACACACAGACCTGTATTATACAATCAGTGCTCCCTGTATAGTGCTGCTCTCTGTATAATACAGGTGATTGTGTATATTATATCCCAGGACAGTCAGTGCTCCCTGTATAGTGCAGGTCTGTGTGTATAATATCGTGGGACAGTCAGTGCTCCCTGTATAGTGCTTCTCTCTTTATAATACAGGTCTGTGTGTATAATATCCTGGGACAGTGCTCCCTGTATAGTGCTGCTCTCTGTATAGTACAGGTATGTGTGTATAATATTGTGGGACAGTCAGTGCTCCCTGCATAGTGCTGCTCTCTGTAGATTACAGGTCTATGGGTGTATAATATCCAGTGAGAGTCAGTGCTCCCTGTATAGTGCTGCTCTATACTACAGGTTTGTGTGTATAAAAAAGTGGAGCTTTGAGGCGCGGGTGTGGTAAATTTTCAAGGTAGTAATTGATAGCTGTGCTGCAAAGTGTCCCTGGAATTTTTTTTCAAATGTTGGCAACTATACCTCCACCCAATCTAATACACTGCCCCTCCTCCTTCCACTCTAATTTAATACACTGCCCCTCTCCCTGCCCCAGATTAATACACAGGCCCCCTCTCTTCCTCAAACTAAAACACTGCCCCCTCCGTGCCCAATTTAACACACTACACAGGAAGGTTCCCCAAACCCCCCTTCTTCCTTAAGATGAGCTGCCTGTCCAGTTCCAGCTGCTCTTCTCGGCAAGCAGGCCAGACAGACAGCCACTCTGCGCTCTTGTGGCCATGGGAGGGAAGGCAAGAATCAGACCGGAAATATCTCTCCTGGCCTGCGGCTGTTCACAGACACAGCACAAAGCGGCCCCACGGCAGGTGGGCCGCACATATATTCATTGTGGGCCACAGGTTTGACATGCTTGCTCTAAGTCCAATTGCAATATTTCCAAAAAGAAAAGTAAAATTATTCCTCTACTCCTCCTCCATACCAAATGAAACAAAATATGCTAATAAACCGCATCAAAAGCTGAAATATTAATCCACAGGCCTGTCAGTGCTATTTTAGAACTCAAATCATATTAAAATTAGACACGTGTGATCCCATAAATAATAATTTATTTATTTTTTACAATTAAGGAATGCAGACAAGACTGTTTCTACCTTTCTAGGCCACATATCCAATATTTAATAAATTAAATGACACCCAAATGACCTTGTGAATAGTTTAATGTAGATAATTAATTGCCATGACAAAATTGTGATCTTATATAGTACTTTTCAAAAGATAAAACCGTTTGATCAAGAGTATAAATAGCAACAGATATCACTGTAGGAAAGAAAAAAAACAAAACAAAAAAAAAAACAACAATGATTATTTTAATCTGAATCTGAACTGTTTTCGTCAGCTTTGTGGGAACTGTGAATCATTTCTTCCAAAGGCGCCATTGTTCCATCTGCTCTTACTCCCATTGGTTTAATAAGATCTTCTCTGGAAAGAGGGAAAAAGAAAGAGGTATTCACTACTTTATAATAAATCAGCATCCTTTTTATATTATCTAGAATGCCACGCAAATGCATTTATTTATATATTTTCCCTGCAACGGCTCGGTGTTTAGCAAATAAAAGATGAAAGAAAACAAAAGTAATGAAAAAAACATTTAAAAAAGAGAAAAAAAACAACCTGGTTGAACAAAGATGTAGGAAGCCAATTAAAAGTGATGTGGAGATGGGAAGTCAAGGCTTAATGAGCACTAGACAAGGTGAACAACTTGAGTTGTTTATACAAAGTTCCCTTTGTTAGTTCCTTATTTATTCTTTTTATTTATATAAAAAGATGGTTCTTTGGCGGGTTCCTGCCCAATTAAAGGAGTAGTTTATTTAGAAGACAGAATGAAATAAAAATGTATCGGTTATAAAACATTCTACACATACATCCTCTAGAGGTGCTTGAAACCCAGACAATTCTCTTGGAATTAGTCAACCTTTGTGTAGTTTTTGTCAGCAGCAGTTTAATTACAGAGCTGACAATCATTCTAATCCTTTTTAAAGCTTCCAACAGCTCTCCAACATTAATCCAATTATATCTACTCCACAAGCTACTGCCTCATTTTAGAATCATTAATTATTGATTTAAGCTAATAAATAAGTACATTAAATTCATTTTTTTTCTGCACATATCTCTTCCTGGAACTCCAACCCATGCTTGTATCTGTATGGCACAGATTAGCTTTTATAAGAGTGCGAATAAGGCATGTAATAATAATAAAAAATTAAAAATATTTGGTGGTTAAAGAGGCAAAGCCAAGTAATGTTTTCCATGCAGATTATGGAGTAAAATGGTACTCTGACAAGGATTATCCCACTCTCCACTAATCAACAGGTGCTGTAAAAAAAAAGAAAGTGCTGATTCTTCACATGCACATAATATATAACTATTCACCCATCTCTTTATAGAATTATTTTTTTTTTAAATCTGTTTTACATAATTAATTTATCTGTCTCATTAGGTATATCTTTATATAGAAAAAAGATTGACCACTAAGTGCTGTCAATGGCAGAGTTGTCTACAAATATTTGATTAAGAATTATCGAAAGGCTCATAAAGCAGGCTTATGGTGCAGCGTTTTACAAAAAACATTTAAATATTTTTTGTAAAAAAAAAAATTACAAATTTGAGCTTGCAAGAAAATGCAGCATATGAATGAGGCCCAAACCTATAAAATGCACTAAAGTTGTTCCTCCCTGTACAACAATGTTCTGACCCAGAACAAGGCAGTTAGAGAATAGTTTTTTTAGGTGCCTGTGTACTTGTAACTGACAAGTTGCCAAATGTATGAGGAATACACTGCTGCTACAGAATCCCAAAAGGCTTCCATGTGTCAAGTGCAGACAGTACCACTAGGTTAGTCTACTGCCATGATTCACAGGGGAAACCTCAAATAATGACTTTATAAGAGCCATCAGACTTCTTTAATATAAGCAAATGTTAAAACTTGATGGCACCTAGTGACACATGTCAATTTATTCTATGCAGGACACCTCCATCATTCAAGGTAAAGCATCTCAGCCTCCTAGGATATCTTCAGTCACTCACTGCTATTTAGAGTGAATGACAGAACTAGGTTCCCTGTATTTATTTCATATGATATGAAGGAAACACCACAAAAACATGCGTTTAACAGCCCAAGCAGCACTTCTGAGTGGCTAGTCCAGCACCATCAGCTGTCTGACAGCAGTGAACAGGAGGGTATATGAAACTGTGTGCACCAGTTCAAATACACACTGGTTTTAGCATACTCAGAAAATAAAAAATTTCTAATCAATGAGTAGTCTTTAAGGCAGATGCTCTGAGCAACTTCCTGCCTCTTGAGTTTAGCTCCACTGAGCTAACCAAACCAGGAAGTAACAGGACTGGTTGTGTAATTGACAGCCAAGGGGTGTAACCTGGTTCATTTTTTTTAAAGTGCTAATTTCTGTTGAAATATGCACATTTTATAAAATCGCAGAAATAAAAAAAAGTGAACATTCTCTTCACAGAAAGCATGTCAGTAAGCTAAAGTGCTTTAGGTGTTTGGAGTGTTCCTTTAAACATACTATTAAAAATGCTGGGAAATGACCATTCCACTTTACTTATCCATGTATTTATCACATATGTATATTTAAAAAGTGTGAAAAATAAATTTATTGTAGAAATCCACAGCTAGTGGACACCTCCATTTTAACTCCCTAACTATCATTATTATAAACTTAATCCTATGCACCTGGCAGCCAGAAAACAGAAAGATGTGTACAAAGTAAACATGTTTACATTTCTCCTTCACGTTTGCAATGAATGCTGTGGCTTTACCTGATTGATTTATTTTTTTATATCAAAGATTACCAACTAAGCGTTTCATGAACAGTTTAGGTTGCCGTCACCCTTTTGGCTACGGTAAAAAGGTATTTACTGACCTTATTCCAGCACTGTGCGGAACTGGTCGTGGCTGCCCCCACCCACACTCTGCCCCCTTGGGATCATAGGAAAGCATTGGATGGCTATCGATCATGCCGGCTGTTATGGACATGAAAAATGACTAACATTTTAACACAATATTTGGACTTTTATGCCCAAAGTTATTAGTCTATGGGTTTCACCATTTAACAGACATTCCCTGCATAAATGTCAGTTACAGCATTGAAATGGTTAATCATTTCCTTTCCATTGTTGAAATGAGCATAGCTTTAATAAAACTAGTTGACCAGTTCAGAGTCAGGAGGAAGGTTGATGGGCAGGGAATAGCTTAGAAGGAGGGACATGTTACTATGATTATTGTGGAAGCTGTTTTGTGGAGGATTTGGGAGTTGGTTTTTGTAGTTCTTTGGGGTAGCATTTAGATGGCAAAGTGCTCTACACATGACTCTTCTGGCAGCCATACAAATTTTCTCAGGCTGCAAGTGTGTGCTCTAGGTCCAAATGTTTCAAACAGGACATTGAGTTTGATCTATCCAGAGCAGCACAAACCTTTTCCTTCATTTCATCTAAGATCCTGGGATGTTAAGTATAAAACTATAAATAAATTTCTTTCTTTATTTTTTTTATTCTTGTGTTTAGATTAAATTGCTTGGATAGAATTTGATATGTTTTAACACTGATCATTGAACATATACTATTAGTACTACAAAAGATAATGGTCTAGTTAGTATTACAAATGCTTAGCTAAGATGCGTTATATTTTCTCTAACATCTTTTTAGTAAACATTATCTTTTGCTGCACTCTGAGTGATTGTCATTTGGGAGCTAACTGCTAGGATATATCTCTGCAAAAATACCTGGTGCGGCTAATAATCTAAATTATAACTGTACAAAGTTAGGGTTGGTTTTGAATGCTTGCAAATATATGTGGGCTTCCAGTAACTCTTGTTCATGTAACTAGGTGATGTATATTGTTAGTTTAACTAGATTATACCAGGACACATGGCTGGTGGCTATCTTGATGCTCTTTGAAGCAGATAGCTGGAAGCCATCTTGATGCTCCTGAAAGTTTAACACAGCAGTTATTGTGAAACCCTTTGAACATATTCATTTAAAACCACAACACCGGCAAAACACTGTGATACATCAAATCAGAATCTCCTCATAGAGATGCATTGACTCAATGTTTCTCTATGGGGAGCACATTATGCAGCACTGACCCAGGAAGCCCCTCTAGTGGCCTGAAAAGGCAGTGTTTACATTGAAATGCCTGCAGGGACTGACTATACTCACCAAAATAACTAAATTAAGCTATAGCTGTTTTGGTAACTATAGTGTCCCTTTAAGTTATTATGGCAGCTTTTAGCCCTGATAGGGTTTATTTGTAGACACTGTGAAGCCAGAAAGAAACTAAGGGTTAGGGTATGAATAGGAGTTCTTCATGCACTCATCCGCTATATGCTATCAATGCAGACATATTTCACCTGTTTCTCACTGGATAGTAAATCTAAGTATTCCAGCAGCATTTCTATGATAAACTCTGCAAAGAACTGCATAGAGTTTGAGCAGTAGAGCTTTGCTGACAAATCAATAAATAATATGGTTTATGGTTCCTTTAAGACATTTCTACCCTTTAATCTATTGTATTATTTCAAACTGTATAAACTCTATTGGCAGTAGAAAATACAGTACTCGTATCACATTCTTTCCTCTCATTATTGGTTTCCTAAGAAGACGCAGCTATTCACCCATAGATTAGCTGTATGACTAGCTAAATCATTTCCTTCTTTCAATAAATCTTCATTCCTGCATACACTGTGTCATGTATTTACGCGTGGAATTAATGATTGTGTCTGCTGTGCAATGACAGCCATTCAGTCCTCAACCTGCAGCTCTTATTCCACTGCATTTTGTTTGGGGCCCTATTAATTTTTGTACTAATTGAATGCCATATAATATTTTCTATAGCATCGTTTTTATTCCACAGGCTACAAAGACAGTGAAAGAAACAGCATCACGTTTAGCAATTACCTGATAATTATGTGTTTTTAATGAGGATTCAAACATGAAAACACAATCTGTTATGTATTCAACAGAGTGAAGAGTATATAACAGAACTGTAGCTGTGGTAATTGGCTCCAGGATACTGAAAGTCAATTACAAGGCTGGCCAGGAAGACCATCCCTTACCTTATTTTATGAAACCTGTTTGGCACAGTGTTTCTGGTTACTGCACTCAGGATGGGGCACTTTTGGGTTTTCTGATTTCAAATATATATACACACACACACACACACACGTAAATATTTTATTATATCTTTTCATGTGACAACACTGAAGAAATGACACTCTGCTACAATGTAAAGTAGTAAGTGTACAGCCTGTATAACATTGTAAATTTGCTGTCCCCTCAAAATAACTCAACAAACAGCCATTAATGTCTAAACCGTTGGCAACAAAAGTGAGTACACCCCTAAGTGGGAATGTCCAAATTGGGCCCAATATTTTGGGTAGTCACCTTTATTTTCCAGCACTGCCTTAACCTTCATGGGCATGGAGTTCACCAGAGCTTCATAGGTTGCCACTGGAAGCCTCCACTCCTCCATGACGACATCACTGGTGGATGTTAGAGACCTTGCGCTCCCCCACCTCCCATTTGAGGACGTCCCACAGATGCTAAATAGGGTTTAGATCTGGAGGCATACTTTACCAGTCCATCAGCTTTACCTTCAGTTTCTTAGCAAGGCAGCTAAGTCTTGGAGGTGTGCTTAGGATCGTTATCATGTTGGAATACTGCCCTGCGGCCCAGTCTCCGAAGGGAGGGGATCATGCTCTGCTTCAGTATATCACAGTACATGTTGGCAGTCATGGTTCCCTCAATGAACCGTAGCTTCCCAGTCCCGGCAGCACTCATGCAGGCCACGACCAAGCTTGACTGTAGGCTAGACACACTTGTCTTTGTACTCCTCACCTCGTTGCTGCCACACACGCTTGACATCATCTGAACCAAATAAGTTTATCTTGGTCTCGTCGGACTACTGGACATGGTTCCAGTAATCCATTTCCTTAGTCTGCTTGTCTTCAGCAAACTGTTTGCGAGCTTTCTTGTGCATCATCTTTAGAAGAGGTTTCCTTCTGTGATGACAGCCATGCAGACCAATTTGATGCAGTGTGCGGCGTATGGTCTGAGCACTGACAGGCTGATCCCCCACCCTCTGCTACTTCTATTTCGCAAAGACAACCTACGCATATGACGCTGAGGCCTGTTCTGTGTGGAACCTGTCCTGTGAAACCGCTGTATGGTCTTGCTCACCGTGCTGCAGCTCAGTTTCAGGATCTTGGCAATCTTCTTATAGCCTAGGTCATCTTTAAGTAGAGCAACAATTCTTTTTTTCAGATCCTCAGAGAGTTCATTGCCATGTTGAACTTCCAGGTGACCAGTATGAGAGAGTGTGAGAGCGATAACACCAAATTTAACACACCTGAGATCTTGTAACACCAACGAGTCACATGACACCGGGGAGGGAAAATGTCTAATTGGGCCCAATTTGGACATTTCCACTTAGGGGTGTACTCACTTTTGTTGCCAACGGTTTAGACATTAATGGCTGAGTTGAGTTTTTTTTAAGGGGACAGCAAATTTTCACTGTTACACAGGCTGTACACTTACTACTTTAAATTGTAGCAGTGTCTTTCTTTTCAGTTGTCACATGAAAAGATATAATAAAATATTTACAAAAATGTGAGGGGTGTACTCTCTTTTGTGAGATACTTTTGTGAGATACTGTATATATATATATATATATATATATATATATATATATATATATATATATTACAATGTTAAACAAAAATCTGCCCAAGTTGTGTTTCAAAGCTGTTGTATACAGCAAACACAGACTCAAAGAAATCCATATTTAAAATGGAATGAGGCAAAAATGTGATTCTTTGTTAAACTAATTTGCATATGCCCACCCAGAATCCTTTGCAGTAGTAACATCACTGCAGATTTGTGCTTTCTGTGGGAAAAGCAAGTCTTATGGCTTGACTGGTGTGCAGATTTTTGTTTAACATTGTATTAACTATCCACATACTTCAGGTGGAAAGGGTTTTCAATCACAATTTTCCCCCCACCATAACCTGTTTGGATTCTGCTTCCCAAGCACTACCAAGCCTCAATAAGCAAACCAGTAACCAATCTCATACTGATGATTCGCATTAACAATCAAACAGCTGTCCATGAGTGGTTTACTGGCTTTGCATCTTTTGCTAAATTGTGTTTCAAATCATTAGTAGTTAATCCAACAAAATTAAAAAAGAGGCTACATATACAGGGGGAAAAAGGTGTAAAAAGCACCAATCAAGTCAGAAAAAGTGTAATAATGTAAATGCAACATAACTAATCATCATGTGAAAGCAAAAGAATAACAAAAGCTTAAATACCTTGAAAGTTTATCAAACATATTGACCAATTTCATTGCTTCATACTCCTTCTGTTCCTCAGTCATTTCATCTAGTGGGTTAGGTGCTGGCTCTTCCACATGACCAGTAATAAGATTGATGCTGAAACACAAGATTCTAGTCATTCACATGCTCACAAAATTAAAATGAAGAAACTAAAGCTATAGATAAGTAAAGTGACATGGTTTTTGTTTTAAAGCAATCACATTAAAATACCAGCAACAGTTTCAGACACATTTTCTGTTTTTCAGTTGCACGCAACCAATAAAGAATTCACTAGAGCCCTCTCCAATCTCTGGTTATAAGCCACTTGACTATCCAACGACCCCACTTTAAGCCATGTCTTTCATTATATTCAACAAGGGAAAATGTGCAGACATGCCATATAGAGTGCAAGCTTTGTGGTTATGATTATAATTAATAAACACTTACTTTGGTTTTGCAGTTTTGTATTCTTCAGTGTCCGTATCTTCATCGTCAGAATACCAGTGGTCACCCCTGCCACCAGCTAAAAGACCTCTGGCAGCAAGAAGTCCAGCTGCATTCCCATATCCTGTGTACTTCAACAAGTTGTCCACTGCAAGGAAATATTAACATACATACAAACATACATGTACCAGGAAATAAAAAAAAAATACAACATATATCATGCATAAATAATATTTAAAGGAACACGATAGCATTAGGAACACAGACCTTCGTTCCTAATACTTTAGTGACCCTGCCCCCCCCCCCCCAATGTGCAGCAATAATTAATAAAAATTCCTACAAAAAAACATTGCTTTTTAACGCAGAAGAGCCTCTACTGGCTGTCAATATAATAGACAGTAGAGGTGGATTTAATCCTGCAATGTAAACATTGCAGTTTCTAAAAAACCACAAACCTACCATATTTTGCATTGCTGGGTTAAAAGGATGTGGTCACTACACCAGACCACTTCACAGAGATGAAGAGGCCTACATGACTATAGTGTCCCAATAAAGCAGCACCTTCTGGCTTTAATTTCATGATCATAAATTCCATGTGCATTGATCGTTTTATCAATTAGTCAGTAATGTACTGTCCAATAAGCACAGTTAAAAACGGGACCCAATATACGGTAATTTTCCAAGGAAACTGAAGTACAGTGGTTTGGTAAACAAATGACATGCATTGCTTCTTAGGGAATATATCTAGTATTTTAATGTAGTGCTCACTGTAACACTCCATTTAAGTAAAAAATGACTTGTATGGTGAGCCAAACGGTACTATATATTTTTTTTTATTTTGGAAGTGACCATAACAAATATTCTTTATCCATAGAAAGAATTAATCAAAACAGTTGGGGATTCCCAGCACCCACACCTTTTTTTTTTTTTTACAATATATAACACCATGAAGTTTCTGTGATCATCACAGCATTTACCTCTTTCCTTGCAAAGAACGAAGAGGAATTCTGCAGCAATTTGCTTCACTCCTAAATCCACATGGGTCATCAACCGTACCAGTTTGTTTCTTACTGTTGTTCCCACTTCAGGGCGACTGGAAACATCACGCAATGGAGGCAAAACCTAAGGTGAATAGAAAATAAAAATGGTCAGGTCTAAGCATTGTTTATAATGAACTGTTGTCTATGAAACTGAACAGAAATGCAGATGCAAATTATGCCAACAGACATTGCAAAAACAAACTTAATTTTGAAGCGACAATAAGTACCAAAACTACCACATCTTAAAGGAACACTGCAGTGTGAGGAATAAAAACTTGTATTCCTGACACTATAGTTTTAAAAAGTACAGTTTAGGTCCCCTGACCCCCTCTCCTTACTTTAAAAAGGAAGTTTACCAATCTTTTCTCCAGCGCCATGCTGGTCTTGCCACAGCTGGCTCTGCCCAACTTGGCTGAGATCATCAAATTTGACAATCTCAGCCAATCCAATGCTTTCCTATAGGAAAGCATTGGGAGGCTATTGTGCATGCACAGCAAAACACAGAGCTGTGCCAATCAGTATCTCCTCCTAGAGATGCATTGAAACAGAGTATCTCTATGGGGAGCGTTCATTGTCTCCATTAAGAACATGGAGACGCTGAAGATCAGTGCTGCGACCCAGGAAGCACCTCTAGTGGACGTCTGAGTGAGGGCCACTAGAGGTGTAACTAGGCAGTAATGTAAACAATACCTTTTCTCTGCGTCTGGGTGACCGTAATTCCTATGGACAAACATGTCCATAGGGCGATCATCTTGTTCGCATGAACGCAGGCAGCAGTGTTTGGGCATGAATCTCATGGAACTAAAATCGGACACAGGAACTCCCGAACACTGCTGGACTTCCATCATCACCTGTGTTCGGTTCTATACAACTTATCAGGGCACTGTTCGGTGAAATCATTCGTCTGGATGAGGGGAACAAGCTCCAGTTAAGACTATTGACTCTGTTCGGTAGTTTGTTAATTTTCAAACTACCGAACTAGACCGACCACAAGCCCTGATTCTCTGGAACTGTTTTGGGCATGAGCCCCTGAACTGATCTGGGTGATTTTTGAAAATGTTGCTAACCCAGATCAGTGCTATCAGGGGATCTAACATTTGTGGGGATATTATGTTTTTTGGGTTTTTTTTCTTCCTGGAGATAATTGAGCTAATACAGTATCTGACTCAATTATCTCCCAGGCAGAGGGGAGGGATTGTGTGCTATGTGGGAGTGTCATGCATTGTAACACTATTATTATTGGTCTGTGATTTTGTAGCGTAGTTCCCCACAAGGACCATGTGGGAGTGCCCCTTGCATGGGGATTGTCATAAAAGGCCAAGTGTGGCACCAGTTCATCTTCACCCTCTACATAGAGCCTCGTCTCATGTGTGGAGACAACAGCTATATTCACACTCTGGGGATTGCTATTACTTATACTCCCCTGGGTTCTAATCACTAGCTCTTATAAGAGCTGTTCCTGCTATACTCTCTGGAGTAGGGGAGGTAAACCCACTGGAAGCTGTATCCTGGTCTTGGGTCCAGGGTGGATGGAGGACGGTGAGACCCCAGCCAAGCTGAAGCGGCTACAGTGCTTATGGTGTCTGGTGGAGTGCTTGGAGTCCTTGGTGAGCACTAAGAGCATCGATTGATGGAGGCACCCAGTCGGGGTGCCAGGCGGTCCATCACATAAATCATCTGCTTACGAGAAGGAAAAGGGCAGGCCCATGCTCCAAAATCATTTCTAAGCACTAGTTAAAGATCATCAAGTACAAGCGGAGTATTAAAATATACTTAAAAGGACACTGCAGGAACCAAAACTGTCTCACCCCTGGAGCTTTCCTTTCATTTAGCATTAAACAATTTTTAATGTTTTAATACTAAATTCCCCAACAACCCATCATCTCTCTGCTGGGGGGGGGGGAAGAGAGGGGTTAAATTTTAAAAGTGTTAATGTGAGTGATTGTGTGTGTGTGTGTGTGTCTGACTGTGTGTGTTTGTGTCTGACTGTGTCTGTGTGTGTGTCTGACTGTGTGTGTGTGTTTGTGTCTGACTGTGCATGTGTGTTTGTGTCTGACTGTGCATGTGTGTGTGTGTTTGTGTCCGACTGTGTTTGTGTCTGACTGTGTGTGTGTGTGTGTGTGTGTGTGTGTGTCTGACTGTGTTTGTGTGTCTGACTGTGTATGTGTGTGTGTGTCTGACTGTGTGTGTATTTAGAAGGTGGGGTGGGGGAAAGGGTTGGGTGAGGGTGGCGCGGGGGTTGGGGGGTGCCCGAGTTTTGTCCTGCCTAGGGCGGCACAAAACCAGGATACACCACTGCATATACATATACATATCAATATCACATACATAGTTTGTCTTGGATAGGATATAACAAGTATTACATATGTCAATACATTAACATTCAGTAGTACGTTATGCTTGTTCTTCCGGTACAGTGGCCCCACCGCATTACCTTAGCATATACAGATGATACTCGAAAAATTAGAATATTGTGCAAAAGTTCATTTATTTCAGAAATGCAACATAAAAGGGGAAACTAATATATGAGACAGACGCATTACATGCAAAGCAAGATAGTTCAGATAGATATTAGATAGCTATTTACTCATTACACATTTGTCATGAGTAAATAAATAAAACAAGGAATATAAGCATGCATATGGACTCAGTACTTGGTTTGGGCCCCTTTTGCAGCAATTACTGCTTCAATGCAGCGTGGCATGGAAGCTATCAGCCTGTGCCACTGCTGAGGTGTTATGGAAAACCAGGATGCTTCAATAGCGGCCTTCAGCAATTCTGCAATGTTCGGTCTCATGTCTCTCATCTTTCTCTTGGTAATGACCCATAGATTCTCTATGAGGTTCAGGTCAGGCGAGTTTGCTGGCCAATCAAGCACGGTAATCCCACGGTCGTTGAACCAGGTTTTGGTGCTTTTGGAAAATGAAGTCAGCATCCCAATAAAGCTCGTCTGCGGAAGCAAGCATGAAGTGCTCCAAAATCTCCTGGTAGACGGCTGCGTTGACCCTGGATTTAATGAAGCATAATGGACCAACACCAGCAGATGGCATGGCTCCCCAAATCAACACAGACTGTGGAAACTTCACACTGGACTTCAAGCATCTTGCAGTGTGTGCCTCTCCATTCTTCCTCCAGACTCTGGGTCCTTGGTTTCCAAATGAGATGCAAAAGTTGCTCTCATCAGAAAAGAGGACTTTGGACCACTGAGCAACAGACCAGGTCTGATTTTCTTTAGCCCAGGTAAGACGCTTCTGACGTTGTTTGTTGTTCAGGAGCGGCTTGACAAGAGGAATATGACATCTGAAGCCCATGTCCAGGATCCGCCTGTGTGTGGTGGCTCTTGATGCACTGACTCCAGGCTCAGTCCACTCCTTGTGAAAGTCCCAAAACTTTTGAATGTCCTTTTCCTGACAATCCTCTCCAGACTGCAGTCATCCCTGCTGTTTGTGCATCTTTTTCTTCCACATAACTTTCTATTAATGTGCTTTGATACAGCACTTTGGGAACAACCAACTTCCTTCGCAATTACCTTTTGAGGCTTTCCCTCCTTATGGAGGGTGTCAATTATGGTTTTCTGCACAAATGTCAGGTCAGCAGTCTTCCCCATGATTGTGATTCTTACTGAACCAGACAGAGACCATTTAAAGGCTCAGAAACCCTTTGGAGCTGTTATGGATTAGAGTGGGACACTGTGAGCCTAGAATATTGCACCTTTTCACAATATTCTAATTTACTGAGATTGTGGATTTTGGGTTTTCATGAGCTGTAAGCCATAATCATCGCACTTATGACAAATCACGGCTTGAACTATCTTGCTTTGCATGTAATGCGTCTCTCTCATATATTAGTTTCCCCTTTTACGTTGCATTACTGAAATAAATGAACTTTTGCACGATATTCTAATTTTTCGAGTATCACCTGTATATCTAACTGGAAGCCAATGCAGGGACTGACAGAACGGGGAGGCGTGGGAGGTGCGAGGGGACAGGAAAATGAGCCTCGCTGCCGCATTCATTATAGTTTGCAGCGGTGCAATCTGGGAACACATAAGACCACTGAGAAGGGGATTGCAGTAGTCAAGGCGAGAGAAAACAACAGCATAGACCAGCACCTTAGCCACATCCAGCATAAATAGGGGCAGATGCTATGTTTTTGAGATGGAAGCGACAGGATTTGGCGATTGATTGGACATGAGGGGTGAAGGAGAGTTTGGAGTCAAAACGAAGACCCAGGCAGCAAGCCTGCGAGGTAGAGGTGATGGTAGCGCCGTTGACTTGGAGGGAGACAGACACGGGAGTAGCAACACTTGAGGGAGGAAAGATCAGAAGTTCTGTTTTGGACAGGTTGAGTTTAAGGAAGTGAGCAGCCATCCAGTTGGAAATCGCAGAGAGGCAGTCAGCGACACGAGTCAAGATGGGCTGAGAGAGATCAGGAGAGGACAGGTAGATTTGTGTGTCATCCGCACAGAAATGATAACAGAAGCCAAAAGAGCTGATGAGTTTACCAAGGGAGGCAGTAGAGATAGAGAACAGTAGGGGACCAAGGAGAGAACATTGGGGGACGCCGACAGAGAGTGGTTGGGGGTAAGAGGCAGAGTCAGAGAAACACTCACTGAAAGAGTGCTGGGAGAGGCATGAGGAGCACCAGGAGAGAGCAGTATCCCATAGAACAAAATTATGGAGAATGCAAAGAAGCTGTTGATGATCAACAGTGTCAAAGGCAGCAGAAAGATCAAGGTGAATTAGGATAAAGTAATGGTCGCAAGATTTAGCAGCAATTAAATCGTTGGATACTTTGGTCACAGCCGTTTCGACAGAATGACAGGTGGAATCCAGACTGAAGGGGGTCAAGCTGATAGTTGGATTTGAGAAAGTAAGTCAGTCAATCTGGTGTACACAACTCTCTCGAGGAGCTTGGCAGTAGCGAGATGGGGCGGTAGTTGGATGGCGAGTTGGGGTCAAGGTTGTGCTTTTTCAGAATAGGGGTTACAGTTGCATGTTTGAAGGATGAGGGAAATGTGCCAGAGGTAAGGGAGAGATTGAAAGTTTTAGTGAGAGGAAGAGCAAGAGAGGGAGACAAAGTACGGATGAGATAGGAGGGAATAGGATCAAGGAAACAGGTGGTGGGGTGGGAGGACCAGAGCAGAGCAGAAACCTTTTCTGGTGTAGTAGGCGCGAATGAGTGTAGAGTGGTGCAGGTAGTGGGCTTGGGTGATGTATTGGTAGGAGAAGAATTAGAGATCTCTTCTCTGATTGTAGAGATCTGCTCAGATGCAAAGTTTGTGGCAGACAAGGTGGTAGAAGGAGGGGGAGTAAAAGGGCGAAGAAGAGCATCAAAGGTGTAAAATAGGTGTTTGGGTTGATGTGACAGTGTACTTATGAGGGTGTTAAAGTAATTTACTTTTGCAGAAGAAAGAGCCAGGCTGTAGGAGCATAGCATAAATTTATAGTGGAGGAATTCAGATGCAAAGTAAGACTTTCTCCAGCAGCGTTCAGCAGTTCTGGAACATTTTTGGAGGTAACGGGTCAGCTTGCTGTGCCAGGATTGTAATTGTGGGTGCTTGCTGCGTTTAATTGTAGGAGGTGCCATGATGTCAAGTTGAGAGGAGAGTGTTGAGTTGTAGAATGAGGTTGCAGAGTTAGGGTAAATTCAATTTGAGATGGGTAAAAGGAGAGTTTGGAGTTTGGTGGAGAAAAGCTGGAGATCAAGGCAGTTGAGGTTTCTGTGAGATTGGAGAGTTGAGGGTGGAGAAATTTGGGTACGGGGTATGCTGATGTTAAAGGTTAGCAGATTGTGGTCAGACAAAGGAAATGGAACAGTGGAGAGATTAGAGGTGGTACCGAGATTGGTGAAGATGAGGTCAAGAGTGTTTCCTGCTGTAAGAGTTGCTGACGTAGACAACTGCGTGAGGCCAAAGGAGGAGGTTACAGAGAGCAGACAGGAGGCATCAGGGCAGTTGAGGTTGTTGATTGGGATGTTAAAGTCCCCAAGTATGAGGGAGGGAGTTCAAGGGGAGAGAAAGTGGGGTAGCCAGGAAGAAAAGTGTTCAATGAATAGTCTAGGATGACCAGGGGGCGATAGATGATGGCAATTCTTAAAGGAGTGGGCTTTAAAAGGTGAACAGTGTGAACTTCAAAGGAAGTAAAGGAAAGGGCAGGGGCAGGGAGGATAGGTTGAAAGGTACATTGAGGAGAGAGAAGGATGCCTACACCGCCTCCTTTATAGTTGAGTCTTGGAGTGTTGGAGAATTGTAGTCCAACGAAACATAAAGAGGTGGGAGTAGCGTATCAGAGGGGGAAAGCCAGGTCTCAGTGAGTGCCAATATCGTGAGTGAGTTAGAGATGATGAGGTCATGTATAGCTGTTGATTTAATATTACTACAGATGGAACGGGCGTTCCGGAGTGCACACTGAATGGTAGTATATTAGGATAAACTGCAGGGTATTTGGATGAGGTTTGTGTGGTTTCTGGTTGTCTTAGTGTGAGCATATGAGGTAAAGGGCCCCGGGTTGGGTGAGACATCACCAGCTGCTAGAAGTAGGAGGAGAGATAGTGACAGGAAGTGTAAATGGGTTTCATATGGGCGGGGTCTAGGATGAGATTGGGTTAGAGTAGGAGAGAGAGAAATTAGTGCAGGGCTTGAGATGAGAGAAGGGGGGAGTGTAGAAGAGAGGGATTAATGTAAATGTGATTGTGTTGTTGAGGGAAGTGGGTGTAAGGAGATATTTTGATGCTGACGGAGATGAGAGAAAAGGAGAAGATAGAACATTGTTCCTATGAGTAGGCACTTTGAGGAAAGCAGAATGAACAGAAGTAAGGAGAGTTAGGACTGAGTATTAGGGGTTAAGGAAATGAGTGTGCGAATTACTGGCAATGTTTGCATATGTCATTTCTAATCATCTAAAGTTGTGTGTGAGATTCTATCTATAAATGTAGTAAGGAGCTGGGGGCGAGGTGGCATCTGAGCATGTTCTGGTTTGCGGCAGGTGACTTTTTAAAACTCAGACTGACTCAGAGTTTTGATAGGGTAGAAAAAGGCCTGCAATAAAACTATGGACTGGAGATGCACAGAGGAGGTGAGGATTGGTCAAGCAAGACCATTCAGGTGGGTATCAATAAAATAAGGGGAGTGGGGGGAAATTACAGAAACAAAAGAGAAAGTCTTTAGAGATAAGCAGATTGTTGAATAACATTTAAGTTAGCAAACCAACAATGATGAGTAGGGCAGGAACAACTAGCTTTAGCCTGCAGAACAAGACAAACTACAAAATATATGTATGAATAAGCACGTACACATTTTATTTATTTGTAAAATATTTTACCAGGATGGATACATTGAGATTTCTCTCGTTTTCAAGTATGTCCTGGGTCTTTGTCCACAAAACATTGCATTGTTACAATAGGATATAATATATATATATATAAAAATATATATATATATATATATATATATATATATATATATATATATATAAATTTAATACATAACAGGTAATAAATATATTCAACCATGACAGGTGCATTCCGTGCTGAGGTATATTGCCATAGATCTCTTAAAAGATTTTAGATTGAATGAAAATTTGACAGTGTCCCTGAGGTTTTTCCATAATTGCGGTGCTCAGTAAGAAAAGGAGGAGCAAGCCACTTTGTTTTTGTATTGCGGTGTGCTAAATATCGTGCCAATACTGGATCGGAGGTTATAGGAGGTGGGAACAGCCAGGGAGAGCATTCTACTCCGGCAGGGTGGGAGCTTCCCAGAAATGCTCTTATGAACAAGGCTGGAAAGATGAAGAGTGCGTCGGGATTCCAGCGACAGCCAGTTTAGCTCTTAACATGTCACAGTGGTGGGTAAAGTAATTACATTCTAGTACAAAACGGCAGAATGAATTATATAACATATTAAGTTTATTAAGGTGTGTAACGACCGGGTACCTTCCGTTGATGGATGCTCCAAGGACTTCCCGAGAACTCCAAGCACTCCGCCAGACACCATAACCACTGTAGACTCCCACAAACCGCCGCAGCTTGGTTGGGGTCTCGCCGTCTCCACCCACTCTGGACCCAAGACCAGGGTCCAGCTTCCAGTAGGTCGACCTCTCCGAATTCCAGAGAGCAGGAACAGGAACAAGCTCTTAGCAGAGCTTAGTTTTTATACTCTGGGGAGTAAAGTGATTATAGCAATCCCCAGAGTGTAGTTCTCCAATCCCCCAAACATGAGCCGAAACTTCATGAAGGTACAAGATGATCTGTTTAATCAGCACCAAAGGTCTTTCTTTTATGCAATTTTTCAGGCCAGAGGCACACCTCCTGGACCTCGTGGTAAACTGTGACAAAAGGGACACATACCAATGGGAACACTAATTAACAAAATAACACTCCCACATACACAGTAAAATCCCTCCCCTCTATCCTGGAGATAATTGGCTTAAGGAACTGCAGTAAACTCAATTATCTCCAGGTACAGAAAATATCTCCATCTTACACAAACCGTAAAATACATAAAAATACATAATTCCTATTATATCACACAGAACCCCCACATTTAACCTATGCCTAGATAGCTCGGATCTGAACGCCCAATATAGGTGAACAGCACTCAGATTCCACGAATAGAGTAAATTTGCCATGGGGTTAAAGTTTTGCAAGGGCTGATGAGAGACTGAGGAGGGACAAAGCAGCCAGTTTAAACTGGTCTGGCAGTGTCCCTGGGACAACGCCCTGCTGGAGAATGTTATGGGCAAATGCAAATATTACAAGTTTTAGAATGCAATGTTGTATTTCTTAAACTGTGTACTTTGTCTTTACGAGATATTGCAAACTGACAAGGTGTTAGAAATGGAACATATTGTTTTTCATAACTGTTTCTTTAAGCAATAACCTCAGTGCATAATATGTTTGCGCCATTTTGTCCCAGACGAATTACAATATCAATAATGCATAAACAAGTTTCAAGGCTATGCTACGACTCTTTCAGTACACAATATACTGTGGTAACCTTAAGTAGATAAGGATGTCCAGACTTTAAGATGCCATCTTGAACTAAGTCAGGAAAATTTCCATGACATATTATTATTATTATTGCCATTTATATAGCGCCAACGGATTCCGTAGCGCTTTACAATATTATGCACCCTTTAGTTATGGCCTTGTATGTTTGCCAAATTTAAGGGAGGTCCTAAAATGAATAAAGTAAAAGAAGTGTTACTTTTTCATATTTGAACTACGGTAACCCTAAAATGGAGACACCTAAGGTATAAATAGGTGTACTTTTAAATGACACAGAGGAGAGACTTGGAGACAGACGCTGCTCCATCTTAAAATGACAGAGAGGCTGACATGATGACATGTTCAGAAGGGTATGTTAAACTATTAATGATATTTGCAAGCATTTAGTTTAATCTTATAAACTCTGCTATAATGGATTTTATATTTATATTTTTATATAATAAATATCCAAAAAGACAAAAACTATTGCTTCCAAGACAATCCTTATTTTATATTGTATTCTCAATTATTTATATATGTTAAATAGAGGATCTCTTACTAACTATATAAAATTATGGCTAAGATATCTGTATGGTTAGCCCTACTAAGTTCTATGCTTTAAGACATTACAGTAGTAAATAAGGGAACCACCTGCGGTTACAAGAACAAAGGGATAGGTATTAAATGGGGATGGGAAGTGGCACAGTCTCCCATGGAATCAAAGGGGCAGAAAAGGTCTTTTAAAAGTGCACTATCTGTTTCCTTACTGTAGAGCTTAGGCAGGATTTGTTAATGTACAGAGCACCGAGTTTTGGGTAAGGTTTTGAAGAGATTTTTTTCAATGTGAAGGCCAAAAGATAGATTGGGGTCTAGATATTTAAAAGAGCAAACTGTTGTCAGTGTGCTATATGACTTTGTTCTGATACACAATTGCTGATTTTATAGTTTACGTAATTTAGGTACAGTTCCAAAGATCATTGTAACGGTTTTGTCAGTGTTTAGGAAGAGTTTGTTATCAGCTATCCACTTTTCTACCTCTGTGAATTGGTTTTGGCGCACAGCCTCAAGCTGCAGATATATATATATATATATGTATACACATACATATACAAATACACACACACACGCACACACAAACATATACACACATATAATAAAGAACAAGCACGCCCAGGTATTTCACAATGACAAAGAAATAGTGGTTAAAGATACATTGTTTAAAAAATATACAATAAAATGATAGTGTCCTGTATTAAGGGTTGATAGTGTCCTCCTTGCATAAGGCACTGCTCCATCTGTACTTGATCTGAGCAATGTTCTGGTTTGCAGTAGGGAACTTTTTAAAACTCAGACTTGCATAAAGCACGGTCCAGCTGTACTTGATCTGCGCAATATGTGCTATGGTCATTGCTGCCACCCATGAGTAATGGGAGTTTTAGAGCAGGACTTGTTTTTTTTATATTTGTATTCACTTTTGTAACACACAGCTATGTTACAATGCTGCTGCCCATCCCGTGTGTTCCTATTAAGGGGTAACACGCATGTAGGGATGTATATAAAAAATACCCCTTTCTGTCTCATTAGAGATATCTTTGCCAGAAGCTCAAGGAAGCAAGGTGAATGGTTAGAGTTAGGACCCAACTAAGAGGTCTGCCTTGACGTGGCAGGTGTGCATACCCTCTCATGGCCATTGGAGGTAACTAAAAACCTCCATTTGTTTATATATACACAGGGATTTGGGAAAGAGCGCAGATAACTTTTTTCTTTTATTTTTCTTTCTTACTGTATGTATTTGGGCTGATGTGTACTATGGTCGTTGCTGCTGCCCAGGAGTAATGGGCGTTTGAGCGCAGGACTTTTTTTTATATTTGATCTGAGCAATGTTCTGGTTTGCAGCAGGGAACTTTTTAAAATGGATTATGCCCAATGAGTGACCCTGTTGCATGCCTTTTAGATGTTCTATAGTGCTACATAAGAGAAAGGAAAGGGGGCAGTCACTTTACAGGGTTCTTGCTATAGAATGTTTTTAGTTTACTGCCCCTTTAAAAAAATATATCGTGGCTGATGTAAAATAATGCAGTCTCACCTCTGCCTTAATGAATTTTCGGATGTCCCTGTGTGCTCTGGAGCATGCTGTGAGCAAACTGAGAACTGGAGTCAGCCCCTCCCGGTAACTGCAGCCCTAAAACACAGGACATGAAATAAAAACACAACAGCCTTCAGGCCATGTGATATTAAACAGACAAAAAATAGCACAGCAAATGAAAATTAAATCAATTTAGGAGTAATCCAATGAGCAAAAACAAAATTATTTATACCTTGGTTGGAGATAATTGGTACTCTATTTCAGTCACAGTGCATTTTACTGTAGAGTCACAAACACTGTTTCTGGAAATCCGATATTTATTACATTTTGATGGAAATACATTTCAGAACTATAGCATTCAAAACAAATTCAAAATGGTTTACACACTGACTGCTTTTACTTACACGATGCAATAAGGAGTGCAATTATACATTACAATTTTAACTCACAAGAAAGATTTTTGAACAAGCCTAATGGCTAGATTATTGGAATAAAACTGCCTATAAAGCGTATCCGTTTCTTTGAATGGATACACTTTATAGGCAGTTTTATTCCAATAATCCTTTTAATCGGTTTTCATTGATTACACTACCACTGTTAAAGACTTATACAAAGCAAACAAATATTAGTTGGAATACTAGAAACAATATCTATAGTATGCATTGAACATATTGTATGACCTGATTTAATTTCACTATTAGGCACATATTTCTCAATAATTGGCCTAATTTGATTCAGTAACTGAAATTTGTTGATAAGTGCTTTTTGTTTACTATTTACCCACTAGCAGCACGCAGGCAAATAGTTTTAAAAAGCCCATGTGGGTCAATATGACCACCACATTAGTATAATAGAGTTTTAACACCTTCCATATGCATCCACTCTCCATGCTACATGAGGGGGCATGCCTACTAAACAGTGAGCAGCCAATCACAGTACTGGAACAAGTATCAACTGGGTACCTGTTGATACCCAGTCATCAATAAAATACAGGGGGGGATCTGGCACAGGTGATTTAAAATTAAATAATGGGGGGCGGACCAGTCACAGTCCACCCCTTTGCCCCGCCCATGTCCAGCTGGTGGGGACTCTACCAAATGTAAATATGGGGGAAGCATCCTTGTGTCCTCTCCAGCCCCACCCATGAGTGGTGGGTGGGGTCTATGAGATAATAAATGAAGATGCAGAGGGTATCCACCCAGCCCCTGAGAGAAGCAGCAGGACAATAGTATGTTCACCCCATTATCAGCAGACTTCATCACTAAGAAGGCTGATAAAAGTACTTTCAATGCACATTTATTTAGCAGCTTCATTTTAAGCAGCAAAACCATTTATCGAGTACAACTGCTTAATGTTAGGTATAAAATGTTTCAACAGTTTAAAAGTCTTATCAGTAGTTCTTATCTTGTTTAAGTAAACGCTTTGCCTGTAGGCAAAAATAATTGTTTTTGAAAAAAAAAAAAAAAGAGATAGTCGAAGCTTGTTTTTTTTAGTCTAAATGTTGCAGTTTGGTATTAAAGGACCACTATAGTGCCAGGAAAACAAACTCGTGCCTCAGGGTCCCACTCCCGACAGGCTGAAGGGGGAGATAAACACTCACCTTTCTCCAGTGCCAGGCTCCCTAGGCGCTGGGGACTCTCCTCCCTCTTTTGATATCATCAGCTGAATGCGCAGCAAGAGCCGCGCGCACATTCAGCCAGTCCATAGGAAAGCATTCTCAATGCTTTCCTATGGACACTGGAGTCTTCTCACTATGAAAATCACAGTGAGAAGCGCGGAAGCGCCTCTAGCGGCTGTCAATGAGACAGCCACTAGAGGCTGGATTAACCCTAAACTAAAAACATAGCAGTTTCTCTGAAACTGCTATGTTTACAGCAGGCAGGGTTAGTCCTAGAAGGACCTGGCACCCAGACCACTTCATTAAGCTGAAGTGGTCTGGGTGCCTATAGTGGTCCTTTAACCCCTTAAGGACACATGACATGTGTGACATGTCATGATTCCCTTTTATTCCAGAAGTTTGGTCCTTAAGGGGTTAAGGGAGAACTCCAAGCACCATAACCACAACAGCATCCCCTCCTTTGTAAGTAGTAAAGCAGTTTAAAAATGGTTTGACTTCATACCGGTTGTCCATCTGACCTCACGTCCCACCTCCTTGCCGGCGGAAGGGAGAGCCAGAAGGTCCTGTTAATCTACCCATATGTCTCCAATATATCTAAAGCATTCAAGTAACTTATTAATTCTCATTATTCCAAATACCTTATCTATTCGCTTCTCCATGAAATTTAGCAAAACTTGAATGGTTTGCATATCTGCATCATTCTTATTTGCTGCTTCATTTTCCTTGGTGGGGTTGATGAGAACATCCAGACAGGAAACCGGTACGTTGCTCAAAAGGTTGACCGTGTTACTAGAAAAATACACAATGATACAATTACTTACATAGAGAGCAATCAAATTATCCTGCAACAGATACAAGTGCTAGTTAAATGCCAGGTAAACCTGGGAATGATTTGTATATCCTTGCATAAGAATCGCTTATAAAGAAGAGAGGTAAGATGCTTTGGACAAAAAGCAGTTGTCTTGTCCCATAAAAAGACGTGGGACTGATAAGAATGCCCTCTAAAGTAGGCAGAATTAACATTTTTATTAGAAGACCTAAAAGATTTCTCACCTGTACAGGCCCCCAAAACGGCAGACTGCATGTGTAAAAACCCTAAAAGTTTTTATTGGCTATGGATACACACAGCCAGGCTAAGTATTTTATCTCTATCCCAACCATGCAGTCAATGTGGTGCTGTCATAATTCCAAATGAAAGCAGTGCAGTTTCAGAGGCATAGCAAAGCTTACAATTTGCAATTTCCACGACTTTAGTGGCTGTTTTTTAGACAGCAACCCCAGGCCTTGGACTAAAATAAATTGAATAAAGAACTTATTTTACATCATCATGCAAAGTATGCTGACACCAGATGGTGGGTGTGCATGCCTTGCTCGTCTATGACAGAATGCATTGTATTAGCAGATTATGGCAGTAGCTGCAAATCTGCCATATGTCCTTAATTTGATTGGACAAATGTCATTAAGCTTGATGACCTCAGAACAGAAGAAGCGCTGGATAGCAGGTAAGCAACAAGTAGAGATTTTTTCTTTTTCTTTTAAATAGATAATGGAAGACAGGGGATTAAAAATGACTAGTCTGATCCTTTAAATGCACATGAAACCAGCAGAGATAATGGCTTAATGAAAATGAAAGCTATGTATAACAGACATTTTCAATGTGGAAGGCCTTATATCGGGAGAGAGGGAGGGGCAGAGTATGGGCATATCTGACGTAATTAGTGTCACTGAATCACCCCTCTACCCACAATAAGATAAGCAATTATGGAGTGCAATATGCATTAGGGTGACAGGCTGCCCTTAGACTCATTGCTGATGATGTCCATGCGTATGGGTGTAAAAGTCCTGAAATGGATTAAAAGTGTAGTGTGAGCAAGGTGATAAAACTGGCTTGTCAGGTGATCAGGAGGACAGAGGAAAAAATCTAGTGTTACATGGTACTTCTTTGTAACAGATCAGATCATGGCTGGCATCCAAATGCATGGCTAGGAACATGAACCCATGCCGTTTACAATATTAAAGCAAGTTACTAGCATTTGTTTACTCATTGTAAAAAATAGAAAAAATGTATAGGCTGAGACAGTAGTGGGTTTGGATATATTTATACTCAAACTCAGTCAGTGGCGTACACACAAACCCTGGGGCCCCTGTGCAAAACTGATCCATGGGGCCCCCACCCAAAAACTGATCCATGGGCCCCTCCACCCAAAAACTGATCCATGGGCCCCTCCACCCAAAAACTGATCCATGGGGCCTCACCGCCACCCCATAAAGACACACATAGACACATACTGCCAGACAGGCACAAACATTCATACATATAATAATGAAAGGAGGAGCACAACCAATAAAAATGCAAAAAACTTTATTGTGCAGGCTCACATATAACAGGTATCAACAAGGACAATATAGGATAACAATATACTTCAACATACAGTTGCAAGAAAAAGTATGTGAACTCTTTGGAATGATATGGATTTCCGCACAAATTGGTCATAAAATGTGATCTGATCATCATCTAAGTCACAACAATAGACAATCACAGTCTGCTTAAACTAATAACACACAAAGAATGAAATGTTGCCATGTTTTTATTTAACACACCATGTAAACATTCACAGTGCAGGTGGAAAAAGTATGTTTTTTTGATCATCAATTGTTCTTTCTTTTTTGTCTCATTTTATTTGATTTCTTTTATTTTATTATTCTGTTGGGATATATATTTCTTTTCTTAACTTTCCCTGTATTTTATTTGTTTTGGTTTGTGGTTATCTGTCTGCCCTATGTCCATTTTCTGTCCACGGGTTCATTGCACAATTTCATGACACTGTCAGTTTCACTGATGGTGATCTACATTATTTCCACTCTACTTATGGCTAATAGGGAGCTTGATCGGCTTTGTGCGCATGCCTATTTGATCCCCTTAATTTTTTTTTATTTTTTTTAAGGTCAGTATATTGTACAACATTTTCATCACTTAAGTTTGACAGGTATATGAAAGTACATGGTACAGAACATAGGTGTTACATTGGTCAGGTAATCATAAAATCATATAATTAGCAGTGCGAGATCAGATATGAAATTGTGTCTTTGCGTTGGGTATATAGGGATAGCAGTAATATTGGGGTTCCACTACCTTTTCCTACATCCCTACGGTTGCATGTGAGCCGGCTCCTATTCCCAGGGAGGAAAAGGGGGGGGGGAGGTGGGTAGAGTGTCCTCGGTCTCTAAGTGGTCTGTCGGAGGTATTGGGTCCATGGGTACCAGGTCTCTGTGTATTGTTGGTATTGATTTGATAGAGCATAACACGTTTCTTCTAGACTTCTGGTATTTTCTACTTTTTGTATCCACTCGCGTATGGTCGGGGGATTTGGTTGTTTCCATAAGGCTGGAATAAGCTGGTTCGCAGCTGTTATCAGATGTATGAGCAGGGCCGCCGTATGTTTCGGTAAGCCGTATGGGGTGAGAAGGAATATGTATGTGTCTGGGTCTAAGGGAACAGTTATCTTAAGTATGGTGTGGATCAGGCCCGCCATGCGTGTCCAAAATTTTTGTATCACTGGGCATGTCCACCAAATATGCGAGGTGGTGCCCACTGCTGAGTGGCAGCGCCAACATTGTTTGGAGGTTGCGGGGAATAGGGAGTGTAGTTTTGAGGGCGTGTAGTGCCACCTCGTTATTCTTTTATAGTTGCTTTCCTGTGTGGTTGTGTTTTTTGAGGATTTGTGTATTTGTTTAAAAACATTTTTCCATTTGTCGGGCTGTATTACTAGGTTTAACTCTTTTTCCCAAGTGGTAGTGAAGGCCGGCAATTGTTGTGGCCTTGTGGATAGAACTTGGGAGTACATTGTTGATATGTGTTTTGTTCTTATGGATTGGAGGGAACAGCATTTTTCAAAGTTAGTCTGTTCACGGCTGCCGTTGAGGGTTAGGGATTTTGATTGAATAAAGTGTGTTAGTTGCCTGTATTGATATGTTTGCATAGCCGTGGGGTCAGCTATAAATGCCTGTAAGGGCTTTGTTACTTTTGCCCCGACAGTTGTCAAGGCATTCTCTAATGTTAGATATGGCGTTGTATGGAAAGCCTGGAAAGATTTGCCGTCTACTCCCGGCTGGAATAGGGGGTTGTGTGTGAGCGGGTATAGTGGCGATGGGTAAGGAGACAACAGATTGTGCGTGCGTATGGTCGCCCACATGCGAAGGGTCGGTGTGATGGTAGGATGTGGGTTGTGGAGCATTAGTACTTGCCCTGATTTGTGCCAGGGTATCGTGTAAATAGGTACTCTGAAAAAGGTGTCTTCTAAGTTCACCCATTGTTTCCCGGATTGTGGAAGGGACCAGTCGTATATCCTGGATAGCAGTATTGCGTTGTGGTATGTTTCAACATCGGGCAGACCCAGGCCGCCCCTGTCTTTTGGTTTTGTGAGTAATGAGTACGATATTCGTGGAGGCTTGTGAGCCCAGATAAATGTGGTGAGTGTTTTTCGGACTGTAGTGAACCAGGACTTGGGAATAGTTATAGGGAGCACTTGTAGTATGTATAGTATTCTGGGTAGGACGTTCATCTTGAGGATGTTCGTCCTACAGAACCACCCAAAGTGTGGCTTGTTCCATGTGGTGAGGTCTTACGTTATGGCCCTTGTCAGTTCGGGGAAGTTGTTCTCGAATAATTGGGAAAGGTTCCTGGTGATGTTGATTCCCAAGTATTTGATACTGTGTGTTGCCCATGTGAATTTGTGATCCCTGCGCAGGGCATCTTTCTCTCGTGATTCAATGTGTATCGGGAGGATCTCACATTTGCTAATGTTTGCTTTAAAGTTGGAGAGTGTACTGTAGGCAGCCATTTCTGACATCAGGTGGGGTATTGATGCTACTGGATCTGCCAGGGTGAAAAGCACATCATCGGCAAATGCTGCTATTTTGTGCTCCTCCGTCCCCGCCCGGATGCCCTTGATGTTAGTGTTGTCCCGGATCCCCTGCAGAAAGGGTTCCAAAACAAGAACAAAGAGGAGCGGGAGAGGGGGCACCCCTGTCTGGTGCCGTTGGAGATTACTACCGGGTCAGTGAGTTGTCCATTTATACGGACATTGGCGGTTGGGCATGAATAGATCGCAGAGATCCATTTTTGCCAGTGTGGCCCAAATCCTAAGTGTTTAAGCGTCTGTAGCATCAGGGTCCAGTCTACTCTGTCAAACGCTTTCTCAGCATCAATTGACAGGAGCAGACTGGGGTGCCCGGCTCATGTGGCGTGGTGCATGAGGTTCAAGATCTTGGTGGTGTTGTGCTTGGCTTCTCTGCCCGGAATAAAACCGGATTGGTCTGCGTGTACCAATCCTGGAAGTATCGGGCGCAGTCTGTTGGCTAGGATTTTCGTGAAGATTTTTATGTCCGCATTTATTAAGGAAATGGGCCTGTAGCTGCCGCATTGGGTTAAGTCTTTGCCCGGTTTTGGGAGGAGGGTGATTGTTGCATTAAGGGCCTGGGGTGGGAGCTTGTCTGATTGTAGCAGCGAGTTGAATGCGTTTACGAAATGGGGTATGAGTGTCTTCGCGAAGGTTTTGTAATATTTTGCTGTGAACCCGTCTGGCCCTGGGCTTTTCCCATGTGGTAGATGTTTAATTACGTCTGCACATTCTTCCGTGGAGATGGGCTGTTCTAAGAATTCTTTTATGTTGTTTGGGAGGGAGTGGTGTATTCTCTTCTCTAAGAACGCCGTTATGTCCTGTGTCTGGGGGGCCGTGTGTCGGAGGTTATATAGGGTTGAGTAATAGTCGTGGAAAGCCTTTGATATGTCAGTCATTGAATGCGAGAGTTTCCCTTCTTTATTGCGTATAGCCGCTATGAATGTGTGTTCTCGTTGTTTTTTTAGGGCATGGGCTAAGAGTTTTCCACATTTTCCTCCTTGGGCATAGTAGAGGCTTTTTGTTTTAGCCAGGGCGTGTTTGGTGCGAGTGTTTAGGATGGAATTAAGTTCCGTCCTCTTTTCTAGTAGTCGCGCATATGTAGTGAGGGAGGAGTCTTGTTTGTGCGTATCTTCTAGTGTTCTAATTTCATTGGTTATTTTAGTTGCCTGTGCTTCTCTGTGTTTTTTGTGTTTAGACGCCAGTTGGATGATCGTTCCCCTAATGGAGCTTTTGTGAGCTTCCCACACAATTGGACAAGGAGTTCCGCGTTGTGTGTTTTGGTTAAAGTAGTGAGACAGTCCTTCCCTGATTTGAGTTTGTATCTCCGGTTTGTTTAAGAGGATATCATTTAATTTCTATTGAGATCTATTAGGGTGCAGCGATGGGATGGCGATGCTCATTGATATCGGGGCATGGTCAGACCAGGTAATTGTGGCGTACTCGCATGTGTGGACTAGGTGTAGGAACCGGTGAGGGATGAGAAACATGTCAATTCTAGAATAAGTGCCTGATGAATGAGAGTAATACGAGTAGTCGCGTTTTGCTGGGTTGGTGATACGCCAGCTATCATATAATTGGTGCGAGTCTAGGAGTGGCTGGATGCGGGTTCTAGATGAGGCTTGGTATGTTTGAGCCTGGGAGGTGGTATCTAGTGTCCCATCTAAGGAGATGTTAAAGTCGCCTCCTACTATCAATAGGCCCTCCTTAAAGGTATCTAGCTTGTTCAGTATTTTGCATAGGGTGGGGGTTTGCTTCCTATTAGGGAGATAAATGTTCACCAAGGTGACTGTTGTATTTCCTATCAGTCCTTTAAGAAAGAGGAACCTGCCATTGTCATCTGCGAGTTGGTCTATGTATATGAATGGTAGGTGGGAGGATAGTAGAATCGCTACACCCTTTGATTTGGCTTCCACAAAATTGCTAAAGTAGCCTTTGGAATAGGTTCTGGATTTAAGGGAAGGGGCGGAGTTCTTACGAAAATGTGTCTCCTGTATAAATACCACATCTGCCTTGTGTCTATGATAGTCTGATAGTGCCATGTGTCGTTTTTCTGCTGTGTTAAGACCCCTAGCATTGTGGGAGGTGACCGTGATAGTGACTGGAGCCCCGGGTGCTCCTACCCCTGGAGGATTTGTAGACCTGCTCTGTAGGTGCTTATGTTCCATGGTATCTTGAGCCCTTTGTAACAATGGATGATGTATACACTGTGCAAAGTATAGTGCCGTTCAGTACACAAATAAAATAAAATAAAATAAAATCACATAAACAGTGGTAACGTTAACAATTTTAAACTATATACAATTTGCCAGGTCTAATCCTAGCACGGAAGATGGGTACCGTTGTACAACTGTACGTGCAGTCGCTTATGTGCGACTATGGTGACTGGTGTCGGCCTCTGAGATGTCCCTGAGTCTGCAGAAGGCCAGCTTGTCGTGACACCGTTAGTTATATTGAGTTCAGCGTAGGGTGGGGTGAGTGGGTACAGTATTTAAGAGTGGTATCTGGTTCGTTGTGGTGTTTAGATATTTGTCGTAGTGTACTTTGTAAGCTGTGAGGCTGAAAACTTATAAACTTATACTAGTGTAGTGGAGTATAGGTGTTGTGTAGTGGGGCCTATGGGGGGGGACGGGTACCGTGGCCTTTGTCCCAGAGGACGGTCTAAGTGGTTGGAAGTATTGACTTACATTTTTTTTTTTTTTTCTCTTTCTTTCCTTTACTCTGGTGTGGGTTGTCTCAACAGTTTCCCTATTTGTGTATCTCAATCTGAGGTTTAAGCTGGAAATGCTCTACCGGGTGGTCGTACTGTGAACACATGTGTGTTGTAAATGCACATTTTTTTTTTTAAACACATCATTGAGCATACGACCTGGCGCTGAGAGTCCAGCAGGGTATCCTGACTGTTGTGATTTGTCGCTCAAGGTTGCAGCGGGTGTTCACATGTCCTGCCTTGATTCATTAGTAAGTCCAATTAGTCCATTATGTCGGGGGTCGCTGTGAGTGGGTATATGAAATTACGTTCTCCCTTCTTCCGTGTGGTTCCGTATGCTGGTGTTGTCATCTTGGGATGGTGAACTTCCTGTGTTGAAGTGAGTGTTGCCGATCCATCTGGGCGTCTTATGTTCATATTAGTTAGTCGTCCATGGCTCCTCTAGGTCTTCTCTCTCGTAGGTGTTGGGGACTGGCTTGTCCAGTTCTCTGTTTTTTCGCTTGTGATTGCCTTCCCAGATCGCGTGGTTGTTTAATGTGGGAGGCTGCTGGGTCCGGCGAGTACCAGTCCATAACTTGGGTTTCGTTCAGGATTTGACCCCCTTAATGGGACTAGCGCTGCCACATCTTGGAACGCACTGTGAGTTCCACTTGCCGATCGGAGGTCTCTTTGCACTGCGCATGCGAGACTTTGTGGATCAGAGTTCTCTTTGCATTGCGCATATGCGACTCTGTGGTTCAGCCTGGTTTCCGGCGGATGGACGCCGACGTGTTTGGGGCTGTGTGACTCGATGGAACGCCCTTTTTGGTGGAGCGTTTGTGCGTTCCGCCGGGTCCTCGTTCAGTTATGCTAAACACGGAGAGGATAGTATTGTACACAATTACCAAGATAAGTTACAGGTAGTCACTATCAGGTTCTCCTGTTGCCTGATAAGATATGAGGATCATTGAGGTATGGGATAAAAGCCTTATATATGAGTAAAGAATCCATGAACATATGTTCTGTATTAATATTTTTTTCTGCATTTTTTGAGTGGATCATCTGGTTCTTCATATGTTTTATGTGATATCCTATCCATACATGCTCTTCTATTTTCTTATTTTTTTCTTTTTTGTCTAAATATGTATATTTCATATATATGATAATGTGATGAACAGGGTTTGTTTATTGGTTTCCTTACCAACCATAGTCATGTGACTGATTGTGGGAGTTCCAATCATTCATGGGTGGCCACCCATTTCACTCAGGTGTCTCTTATTGTTTTATTAAATGTTAGTATATAAAGGTTATTATGTCTCTTTTACCACATGCACCCTTAATAAAGGCGGATAGCGCCAAAACATTGGGGGCTATTTTGTGTTTGCCGTCTTCACCCTCTTCTCATGTGCCTTGATAGGGTCTGTGTTTGGGATGTATTTTCTGGTTCACTACCATATACAGGTATCATAACATTGTTTTTGTATATCAGTGGTTATCCGACTTAAAGGACCACTCTAGGCACCCAGACCACTTCAGCTTAATGAAGTGGTCTGGGTGCCAGGTCCCTCTAGGATTAACCCTTTTTTTTTAATAAACATAGCAGTTTCAGATAAACTGCTATGTTTATAATAGGGTTAATCCAGCCTCCAAAGCCTCTAGTGGCTGTCTCATTGACAGCCGCTAAAGGCGTTTGCGTGCTTCTCACTGTGAAAATCACAGTGAGAAGACGCCAGCGTCCATAGGAAAGCATTGTAAATTGTATTGTAAATGCTTTCCTATGAGACCGGCTGAAAGCGCACGCAGCTCCTGCCGCGCATGCGCATTCAGCTGAAGAGGAGGATCGGAGGCAGAGAGCTCCCCGCCCGGTGCTGGAGAAAAGGTAAGTTTAACCCCTTTCCTCTCCCCAGAGCCCGGCGGGAGTGGGACCCTGAGAGTGGGGGCACCCTCAGGGCACTATAGTGGTCCTTTCATGTGGATTATTTAGACCTGCATTTTCTTGTTTTTTTTCTTTGGTCCTAGTCATTGCTTTCATATTGGAAAATATTTTAGACACCCTCCTATTACCTACCGTTAAGGTGCAGGAGGGTGACTTCCCTGGGGTCCAGTGGCTCAGGTTGATGGCAGTCAGAGTTCCCACTCTGACTCCCTCTCCTTCCTCCCGAGCGGCTCCCGGTGGTTGCAGGGAGGAGTGACCGGGGCAGTCACTTCCTCCCAGCACTGACATTATCAGAGGGGGCCTGGTCGCGCTGTTACCGGGCCCACTCTGATGATGATATTCATTTCCATCGGGTGGCCCTAACAGCATAGGCCACCCGATGGACTCCTTCACACTCGGCCCTGGCAATTATACCACGCGGCTGGGGCCGCAACACATGGCGGCAGGCACCCGGTCGCAGTGGTCCGCAGGGTGGCCGTGGCCCCTAGAGTGACGGGCCTGGTCACAGCTGCGACCCCTGCAACCGCGGTATGTACGCCACTGAACTCAGTAATGTCATTTCACCAATATCAGTGCAGCTGCAGAGGGGCGATATATGGGTACCATCAGGGCTACATTTCCCATTAGACAGAGTAAGCACTGGCCACTAAGAGGGCCAGCTTCAGCACTTATGATGTGACTTTTTGAACTGAAATAGGCTGGTAGCAGGAGCTTTGGACAATTTTAGATGGTGGAAAACGCATAACTGTCCCAACTGCTCCATGTCAATGTGTGTGGACGGACAGGAATAGGAAGAGATCACTTCCCATCTGCAGACTAGTAATAACTCACACAGGAAATGCCTTGCAGGAGTAGTAGGGTAAATGGAGTGATGCACACTGTATAACCACTCCTGCAGCTTTAATAAAAATCTGAGGAGTCTGACTGATCTACACAAGACATAGAAGAGTGAGTACTTTACAAATAACCCTTCAAATTCCAGAACTTAAAGCCCAAATTTGAAAATAAACACTTCACCGTAATCCTATATTTAACTCCTCTTAAAAACGAAATACTTCATGTACCCCAATACTAGATCTACCAAACTCAGTATTCCTAAACAGCCTTTATACTGCAACTGGTACCCCTCTCAAGCTATTAATCTTCTTAGCACTAAACACCTTATGTAATCCAACTCTGACATTAACGCATCTCTAACTTTGAAGCACCCTTTACCATAACCACTTCAGTCTTTTACCTTGCAAGCATACAGCTGCATACAGTCAATACTGTAAAGCGCTACAGAATCTGCTGGCGCTATATATATGGTAATAATAATACACTCACATTCAAACACAATACATTACAAGCAGAACAGAAATATACATATACATACATTTACACATTGCGGTTGTCAAATATAAATGTTTTGAGATGTATTCAGACCTGCAATGTCCAGTTAATAAAATCATTATACTTCCTTTATCGGCTTTATTTCTGCTTGGGGAGCAGGCGGCGCCTTAGAATATTGTGCCAACAGACACATGACTTGTAAATCCTGCCAAGAGCATCCTCGAGGGACCACAATTTATTCACGCCACTCTAAAGCAGTTTGACAAAAAGCATGAGACGACACCCAAAAACTCTTATGATTATAACCACTACAATGTGCTACAGACAAAAAGAAGGTTTCTACCCGGAAATATGAACCTGCATTATTTACATAATTATCCACCTTTGGACAGAATGATATTGTGCTCAGCCAATCACTGCCATCCAATCCTCAAAAGATATGTGCACAAAATAGCATAACCTATAGTTTTACTCACCAAAAGCTTGAAGGGACATTATAGGCACCCAGACCACTTCAGCTCATTAAAAAGTGGTCAGGGTGCAGTGTCCCTATTGCACTTTACATTGCAGCTCTAAGTCTGCATCCACTGACTGTCTACCAGATAGCCACTGGAGGCGCCTCCATTATCCTAACGGAACTTTGGTCTGGTATCCAACGCTGGACGCCTTCACACTCTGAATGAGGACATTCAGCGTCAGACTTTTCCCTTGCTTTCCTATGGGAATGTCTAATCTGTGCATGGCATTTGCCACACATGCGCATTAGCACCCACTCATCGCGGGACGACAGAAGAGGCAGAGCCAGGACCCAGCACTGAGGAACATCGGCCCTGAGATAAGGTAAGTACACAGTTTTTAACCCTTTATTCACAGGGGAGGTGTTTTATTCCTGGTACTTATAGTGTCCGTTTAATTGTAAAGAACTGAAAAACAAGTTACAAAATTTAGGCAACAACAGCTGTTACAGATTTGTTTTCACATTTAAAGTTGGAAGCTATATTAGCTTTTATCACAACTTTTAGTTTGCTTTTGGGCTAAAAAAACAAGTTCTTCATAAAAAAAATCCCTCATAAATACAGATGTACAAATGATAACACAGTGAACTGCAGCAAAGACATATTGGAAATTATGTTCTTAAAAATAGAAGATTTGGGTTACAGATCAGTTAACATTTCTTCTTTGTAGAGTTTTCTATATTAATACTATGTTCCCAGCCTTTATGATGCCATTTTAAAATCCCATCCCTTCTCAAGTAACAATATTCCATTTTCTGCATCACTGTGCCCAAGTAATTCTTTTCATAGTAAGCAGCCTTTGGCTTCTGATCTTTGTCAGCGCTCTGACAGTTTTATTTGTCACATACAAGTGTATAAAACACTCTTAGTACCAGTTACCCAGGTCTCTGTGCAAGGTTATTTTCAATAGTCTTTGCATTCCTGCACCAGGGGGTAGAATAATAGTATTTTACATTGCCTCCCTATTTTCCTTCCCCAGGGATCATTAATCACTCCGACAGGACACCAACCCCCTCAGCTCCCAACCCCCTCCAGAAAAGAGAGCTCCTGCAAAGAACTTTAGAATATCTTCAATTAAGGCCAACTGTAGGGGTCTGAAAAGATGTTACAAGATTCGGTATATAAGTATGTACACAACTAGTAATATACATAGGGAGCAATGAATGTGTGTCGTTATAGGCAATATTTTTGTTTGCTTGTGATATTTCAGCTGATTTATTCATACTAAACCGACCGACATTAATAAGGCAACAATGTTTTAAAAAGTTCTAAAAACCATAATAACTACAGCTTAATGTAGTGGTTATGGTGAAAAGAGCCTTAGGTTTTTCAAATGGTTTCAAGCAATAGGACAAAAATTTTACTCTCTCAGCGCCTAAAAGGTTACCAACACCTCCCAGAAGCACTGCAGCTGTATTACTGGCTCTGTATTCTGATTCACACAGGTGGACAATTCTTCAAAATTATTCAAAACTTTTTTTTGTATGCATATAGCTCAGACCTTAAAAGGACACTATTTGTATGCATACAGCTCGGACCTTAAAGGGACTCCTCCCCCCTCCCCAGTTACATATGACAAAGACCCATTTTATGCAGTTAGCCCCATGCCATGAGGCAGATTGTGAGGTAAACATTTCTCTGTGGGTCCTTTTTCTCTGCTTTGCAACACCTCTGACAAATTTAAGGCTGGGCCTGTAGTGGTGGGAGGGGCTTGGGTACCCTTTATTAGAGCATCCAATCCTCTCCCACTTTACAGTGGTTGGTCTGGCGAGTTGGACTTACCTGTATCCTCGTGGTCTGGTCTCCTGGCTTGCTGCCTGTTTTTCTTCACGTTTGCTGACCGCTGAACTTTACCTCACGTGGTTTTCCTGTACCATCGCTTCACGGAGGTCATGCTGCTGCCGGGCGCCTCTCTGTTCCACGAGGTCTGATTGCTAGACAGTCAGTTTGCCTGATTGGTGCTTCTCAGTTAGCCATCTGGACCAGGGGTGCTTCCGGCTCACCGGGTTCCCCCCAGCACCCCGGCTGCGCCTGTCGCCAGCTGCTGAGACTCCCCACACGCACTGGCAGTAAGTACCCACCTAGCCAGGGGCCGAGCATGGCACACCGCTGGCACGCCGGCTGCTGTCGCCTGCAGCTCCCTGGGTCCACTAATTGCCATGGCTGACCTCTGGCACCCCTGCTGGGACATCTACCACTTACGTGATGCTCAGCCAGCTGGTATGTGGTCTACCTCTCTCATGGTGCTCGGCCTGCTGGTATGGTGTATGCCTCTCTCTTGGTGCTTAGGCAGCTGGTATGGTGTATGCCTCTCTCTTGGTGCTCAGCCAGCTGGTCTGGTATCTGCCACTCTCATGGTGCACAGCCAGCTGGTCTGGTGTCTGCCACTCTCATGGTGCACAGCCAGCTGGTCTGGTGTCTGCCACTCTCATGGTGCTCAGCCAGCTGGTCTGGTGTCTGCCACTCTCATGGTGCTCAGCCAGCTGGTCTGGTATCTGCCACTCTCATGGTGCACAGCCAGCTGGTCTGGTGTCTGCCACTCTCATGGTGCTCAGCCAGCTGGTCTGGTGTCTGCCACTCTCTTGGTGCTCAGCCAGCTGATCTGGTGTCTGCCACTCTTATGGTGCTCAGCCAGCTGGTCTGGTGTCTGCCACTCTCTTGGTGCTCAGCCAGCTGGTGTGGTGTCTGCCACTCTCATGGTGCTCTGCTAGCTGGTCTGGTGTCTGCCACTCTCATGGTGCTCGGCCAGCTGGTCTGGTGTCTGCCACTCTCATGGTGCTCGGTCAGCTGGTTTGGTGTCTACCACTCAAATGGTACTCAGCCAGCTGGTATGGGGTTTGCCACTCACATGGTACTCAGCCAGCTGGTATGGGTTCTAACACTCGCATGGAGCGAAGCTGTTACGGGATCTAGCACTCTCGGTGCTCAGCCAGCTGGTAGGCTTGCCATTACCAGTCTGTTTATTGGTCTAACCTCTAGGGAGTTTGATAAGTCATGCAGCCAGGGAATTGTGAACACTTTAGTTCTGTGTGCGTGATATATTCCCAAATGGTGTGTAATTGTTAATCCCCCCATAGTTTGTTTTCTATTTTGATACATGAAGTGTGTATTTTAAAAAAAGTCATTGTTTGGTTTTGCATGTTGTATGTTCCAAGTGCATTATTTTCACTTCTGGTTATGTCATGGGTGCATATTTCTTACACATGTTGAATTATTACAGTATGTCACTTACTATACTAATAGCTGGTTGTCATTGTTTTGTGGGTACCTGTGACGCAGCTACAGGTATTTTGCTAATTTAGTGTCGCTCGGCATGGTTTAATTGATTGTTCTGATTCTGTGTTGAGTTTTGCTGTCTGGTGCGCCCCTGCTCACTCGTCTGGTGTTTGTTTATCCCTTTCTCTTGTTTGACATTTTCGGCGTTGTGGTGCGCTCTATTGCACCGCACACTTACTCACTGGTGTACTTTTGTCTCTGTCCCTTGACCTGGATCACCGGTTGGTTCTGAACCTTTTCTGGGTTGGTCACGGTTTTATAGTTTTGTTTTGCCATGATCCTATACCCTCCTCAGTTTCCCTCCTATATGGTTTAGGCCCAGGTTTTGCTTATCTTGGTGGCGTGCTTTGTCCAACCGTTGTCCTGCCGGGGAGCTCGTCCTTCGTGGCAGCGTTTGCCTTCCTTGTCCACCTGTGGTGTAGGTCACTTTCACTTATTCCGGTCCACACTGTAGCATACGTTCTCAGTCACCATTACAAATGGGTCCACAATCTGGCCCTCGCAGAGGAATACGTTCTCCGTCGCTATTCTAAATGGATCCACTATCTGGCCACACAGAGGCATAAGTTCTCAGACTCCAGTCTAATTGGGTTCTCGGACTCCATTCTACATGGGTCCACGCTGAGGTTCCCTACTAGCAGATAGTATTGGTTGTTAGGGATCTAGGTGCCCACTATGGTAGGTTTCTGGCCTCTATGTCATAGTCTGAGGGTCCTGCGAAACCAACACCCATCCTTATACTCGGCGGACGACGCCATCGGCCCAATGCATAGTTATTCGCCTCACATTGTTGCATAGGGAGGGCCTCACCTGTCACTCCCATTCTATCTTATGCTTTAGTAGTCACCGAGAGGCCATTACCCCGCCACCCGTGTTTCGGTGGCCTCTACCTCCCCTCGGGCCAACGCATAGATAGAGCCTCTCATGCCGCTTGGCAACCAGCAGGGCATCACCTGTCACCCTCATTAGTTGAATTCTTCACCACTTGGCAATAGCTAGCCCGCCGGTACGTTATATGGATCAAACTAATGGTGGCTTTGTATAGTCATATGTCTCTAGTTTCCAAGTTACTGGGGAACGGTCTCTACCCAACACCTTATCCACTTATACATTACATATACCAGAACCGGTTAGGAATTTGTCAGGCATTGGGGACTTATCCAAGTAATTTTGAGGTATGGTAGAAGAAATATATTTTGTATGGTACACTTCTTTTTGTTACAGGCCTACTGCCTTGTCGGTTCAGGCACACCACCTGAACTATGATGTTTAATACTAATTAATACTAATTATATGTTATCTAACCATTACGGCAATATTGCCCCAACCAAAACTATTTGTGTAATCTCTGTAACTAAGAGTCACAAGTTACAATACATACTACATAGTAAAAACAAAGAGAACGTTACCTGCGCTCTGGCCTAAATCCCCTTAGCTTGTATATTCAAATGGCCATTGGAATAAAACTAAAGAGCCTCCATTTTGTTTAAATGTACATGGGGATTTAGGCCAGAGCGCAGGTAACGTTCTCTTTGTTTTTACTATGTATTTGAAGCTATTGGATACCAAGCTACTGCTGATGTAAGCGCGGTGCTTTATCTTTGTGTTTGTATATGAATTTTGTATCACACAGCTATGTTACATTGCTGCCAGCCTCCCCATGTTTGTCTTATTAAGAGTTTATAAGTATGTAGGGGCAGCACCCCTTCCTGTCTCATCAGAGTAATTTGCCTTTTAGCTAATACCAGCAAGGTGATTTGTAAGTTATAGCCCTATTTAGGGTTAAGTATGTAGGGGTTTATAAAACACCCCTTCGTGTCTCATTAGAGATGTTTACACTTTGTCTGATACCAGCAAAGTTTATTGTATGTGTAGAAGCCCTATAAAGGGTTAAATGTGAAAAAGTTTATAAAATACCCCTTCCTGTCTTACTGGAGATTCTTGGCTGATATCAGCATATCTAATGGCTAGTGTAGGAACTCACCTATTGAGGCTTGCCTTGACGTGGCAGATGAGCTTATATATTCAAATGGCCATTGGAATAAAACTAAAGAGCCTCCATTTTGTTTAAATGTACATGGGGATTTAGGCCAGAGCACAGGCAACATTCTCTTTGTTTTTACTATGTATTTTAAGCTGTTGGATACTAAGCTACTGCTGATGTAAGCGCTGTGCTTTATCTTTGTGTTTGTACAATAAATACTACAACCTAAGAAAATCAAAGCTCAACTTACAGAAATGGCTTACACAATGAAACATCCAACGGGTCACACATTTGTCAAACATGCCATTTTATTTAAAGGAATACAAACATGTATTCCTGACCCTATTGTGTTAAAATTACCATCTAGCCCCACTACCTAAATATAGTAAAATCATATTCAAGTCTGCAGCTGCTGCCTCTGCTTGCTTGGCTGACATCATCAGAAGTGATTCCCTGAGCCAATCACAATGCTTCCTTAGAGGATTGGCTGAGACTGTCAAGGAGACAGATCAGGGGCAGAGCCAGCACAAGCCAAACACAGCCCTGGCCAATCAGCATCTCGTCACAGAGATGCATTGAATCAATGCAGCTCTAAGAGGACAGTTCAGTGTCTTCATGCACAGTGTACAGCACTGCCCCAGGAAGCACCTCTAGCAGCCATCTTAGGAGTGGCCAGTTAAGTTATCACTAGGCTGTAATGTAAAAACTGCATTTTCTCTGAAAAGATAGTGTTTACAGCAAAAAGCCTGAAGTGTATGTGGAAAATAGTTTGACATCAAAAATGTTATTCTATTATGGGATTATCTGAACAAGGTATTGTTATGTATACTAGAAATGGTTATAGTCGTTGGAATTTAAGTTGGGGGGAAAAAGCGATTGTTGATGGGTACACTCAACCTTCCCCTTTTTTTCCCTTCTTCCTTTTCCCCCTCCCAATTTTTTATATTTTGTTTTACTTATTAATTTCATTCATACCAATAAGTTATCACATATTGCTTGTTGACTATAAAGTGCCTGTTCGATACTTTCATCATTGATTTACATATGGACTGGATACATTGATATTTACTCTTTTTATATATAACATTTATGGTATTTTCTTTTTCATTGTAAAAGTTATTGTAACAATATCTCTTTAATAAAATATATATTTTTTAAAAAAAGCCCGACCTGCAGGGATGCTGGACAGCCTGTCCATATCCCCAACTACCCTCGCAAGCATACCAGGAGGAGGGGGTAAGTACTATTTCCCCTCCCAAGCCAAGGCCTAATCAAGCTGCCCAAGCAGAAGCGCTGACGCCGGGGCAGAGTGCAGCTGGCCTCTGCCCCCCAAGTACCTGTTTGTTGTGGGGGGGCTCCTCTTGTACTTGGTTATTGTGGGTGGGTTGTCAGACTAGCTCAGGCACCGACCGACAGAAGGTCAGGTACCTAGTTAGTCTACCCTTCAAAGCGGAGATATGTGGCGAAAGGGACCTCGCCACTAGTTTTTGGAGGGGACTGATTGCCAGCCTCATGCCTTGGGACTATGGCCCCTGGGAGATTGGGCACTTTAAAAACAGTATTGGGGCTTATGGACTTGTATTGGTGTTTAAAAGACTGTTCTGCCCCTTTAATTTGAACTGGCTGCTTTGTCTCTCCTCAATCTCTATATCAGCCCTTGCTAAACTTAAAACGATTTGACTGAGTTCGTGGTATCTGAGCGCTGTTCGAACATATTGATCGATCAGATCCAAGCTATCTGGGGATAGGTTGAATGGGGGGGGTTCTGTTCAGTATGATAGGAATTATGTATTTTTGCTGTTGTTGTGAATAGAGAGATTTTCTGTATGCTGGAGATAATTAGCTTACCACACCCAAGCCATGCTTGCAATCAGTCAGATAGGACTTCCATCTAACTTTTGAACCACTGGACAAATTTGTATGATTTGCCATATGTCTGTATTTGGAGTATACCGATTCTGAAAATGTGATGTATACTTTTAAAGTTATGAATATTGTGTAAAACTGTGTATTTTCCTGCCCGTGATAATTACGTTAGCCCATTGTGTTCCGTAATTATATCACAGGCAGAGGGGAGGATTTTGTGGGAAGAAATGGTAGTGTTTTACTATATATTACGTGTTTGATTGGTTGTTCTTCAAAACCCTGTGGGCGGTACTAGGTTTGTAAAATGCGCATTAAAGCAGAGTGTTTCATTAAAACTTCAGTTCTACTTCACCCTCAATTTGGAGTGCCGTCTCTTATTGGGGGAACCTGCTACAAAGGATTGCTATGCTAGTCATACTCTCTTGCTATATCACTACCAAGCTCTTGTAAGAGCTTGTTCCTGTCTTGCTCTTTAACGAAGTATACGGTGTCGGCTGGAGTGCTCGGAGCCCTCAGGAAGCGCTGGAAGCATCCTTCAACAGAGGTACCCAGTCGGGGTGCCAGGTAACCCGTTACAATCACTATAGTGTCAGGAAAACAAAGCGGGTTTCCTAACATTATAGTGCCCTGAGTGTGCCCTCCCGTGGCGTTGAAGGGGTTAAAACCCCTTCAGCAGCTTACCTTTATGCAGCGCCAGGCTCCCTCGGCGCTGGTGACCTCTCCTCCCCGTCCAAAGTCAGCTCCCTAATGGAGCGAAATGACCATGCGCGGTGCCGAGCACGCATTCAAAGAGTCCATAGGAAAGCATTTCTCAATGCTTTCCTATGGACGCTCTGCGCGATGGATGCGAAATTCGCATCCAGCGTCGCAGATGTGCTTCTAGTGGCTGTCCGAAAGACATCCACTAGAGGCTGGATTAACCCCAAATGTAAACATAGCAGTTTCTCTGAAACTGCTATGTTTGTATCTGAAGGGTTAAAACCTGAGGGAACTGCACCCAGACCAGTTAATTGAGCTGAAGTTATCTAGGTGACAATAGTGTCCCTTTAAGGTAAAGGAGATGCTCCGGTGAAGAGAACAAACCGGAAACAGACCAGGGATACAATTAGGGAAAGGATAGCGATACTTTTGAGATATTTAGAAAACAGAGACTGAAAGACTTTTAGAGAGAGACAGAGGTTTAGGGAAAGAAAGACACACGGCCCAATATAAACACACTCATCCAGTATATAACTCCATACACACAAGCTGCCCAATACCTACATCCACATGCGCACACTGACAACAGACAGGGGCAGCCCAGCAGGAAAACTTTAAGTTGGCAACCCAGGGGAATGCCTTACTTGATGAAAAGGTAGCACCATCCATGAGTACACACACTTGTTAGTTTCCAATTCCCTTTTCCTTCTCTCTGCATATACTTTCCTTACTACTCTAATACTAGTCTAATACCATCCTTAACTTTTGTGTCACTTTACCACACTCCTTCTAGCATGTAAGCTCATTGAGCAGGGTCCTCAACCCCTCTGTTCCTGTGTGTCCAACTTCTCTGGTTACAACTACATGTTTGTTCGTCCACACATTGTAAAGCTCTGCGGAATTTGTTGGCGCTATATAAATAGTAACATAATAATAATACTCCAGTAAAGCCTAGTGGCACAATAATAATACAGGGCACAGAGTTACAACACCATACATGGCATCATAACACTGATCACTATACAGAGCAGTGAATCAATATAAGACACAACAGAATGCATGGAAGCACTGAGATGTGTGCAGAGAATAATGCATGTATCTCCGGATAGCTGTATTGCATATCAACAAGATGGCAGCCACTGAAAATGGGTGGCATGTCAATTTGAGTAGCAACTTACAGGTTAGTGCTTCTTTATAGACTAAAAGCTTGTGTGAGCAGGGCATTCATCATTTCTTCTTCCTGTATTTCAAACCTGCTTTGTTACAATTACTTGGATGAGTACTTTACCCTGTGTACAGTGCTGCAGAATATGTTGGAGCTTTAAGAATCATGAAATGCTGATTATTCAAATTTAACCCCTTCAGGGCCGGACTGTTTTTGCGATGTTTGTACGTTAAGGACCAGAGCTATTTTAACACTTTTGTGGTGTTTGTGTTTAGCTGTAATTTTTCACTCTCTCATTTACTGTTCCGATACAAATTATATATTGTTTTTTTCCATGACAAAAAGGGCTTTCTTTACATATTATTTTTATCATGCCATATAATTTAATTTTATAAAAAAATAATAAAATATGGTGATAAATTAAAAAACACGTTTTTTGACTTCTACTTAAATCTTTTACTGATCTACAAAATCGAATGAAACAAACTGCTAAATAGATTCAAAATTTTGTCCTGAGTTTAAAAACACCCAGTTTATGTGTTTTTTGCTTTTATTTGCAAGTTATAGGGCTATAAGTACAAGTAGGAAATTGCTGTTTCAAAATTTACATTTTTCAAATGTATCAATAGTGACAATGTAACACTGTTATGTCATAAATCTCCCCAAAACACCCCACATGTATATATTTTTCTTAAACTAGATAACCCAGGGTATTCATCTAAGAATATTTTGATACTTTCTATGCAGCAATTTTACCACAAACCTTTGCCAAACTTTGCATAGATAGTTTATTTTTTTCACATACATTGCAATTCAGGTATAAATTCACAGATTCTGTTAGGTGTCACTGCCAAACAACACCCCAATATGTGTTCAGCAACATCTCCCGAGTACAGGGATACCCCCCCCCCATGTATAGGTGTGTCGGGTTGTTGGGGGGACTAAAAGGCCACATTTTGCAGGTGCGCATATCAGTTTCCCAGCTTGGAATTTTGACATGTAGTCAACCTGCATGCATGTCCTAATTGGGACATTTTTGAAGTCGGCCAATGTATTTTACCCCCATCAAACCATATATTTTTGAAAAGTAGACATCCTAGGGTATTTCACATGGTGGTATTTTAACACTTTCCATGCACTAATTCTACCACCAGGCTTTGTCAAACATTGAGTTAGTAAAAAAATTTCTGGAGTTTTTTTTTTCCTAGCAGTTGGCAGTAACTTAAAAATAAAATGCCTGGACTCAGCTTGCACCGTTGTTGAAACTCCATAAATCGTTAAAGAAATTATTTTCAACTGAAATTGGAGTAAGGTGGTTTTCCCTGGATTTTTTTTTTTTTAAAAAGCAAAAATGAGTTGTGGGTTGCTATTTGCATCAAATAGATAGCCACTTTTTTTATACCATGCTTTGGTTTTTCGTAAAATAAGCTATGGCTGCATCAGCTGATCAGCCAAATCAACCCCCCCATGTTCTTATTATACGCCCTGATGCAAACCGGTTTGAAATCTACTCTGCCCCGGACAGAGACGTCTGACATGCGTACGTCATGGATGGTGGTTAGCATGTTGACATCCTTCCTGTCCCTAAATTTTAGTGCAAGCACTTCAGCTTTGCGAAGTGCTTTACATTCGCCTTTTTTAATTTTGCCTCTATGAGAGATCGTGGAAAGTATATGGAATTTTTTCTGGCAGTGCCGCAGGCCAGTGTCTATAAACCATAAAGTGTTTTAAACAGACGGACACTACTATAAAAATTATCCACATAAAGGTGGTAACCTTTATTAAACAAGGGGTTTAGTAGGTCCCATACAAGTTTCCCACTTGTCCCCAGGGAGTCAGGACAGCCAGGAGGGTCCAGTTGACCATCTTTCCCCTCATATACACGAAAGGCAAACGTGGATCCACTTTCGCTCTCGCACAGTTTGTACAGTTTTATGCCATACCTAGAGCGCTTTGAGGGGATGTATTGTCTGAACCCTAATCTCCCTTTGTATTTAATTAGTGATTAATCTATGGATACATTTTGTTGGGGGGTACAAACATCTGAAAATTTGTCCTGAAAATGGTCTAGCAGTGGGCGTATTTTATGAAGCCTATCATATTGGGGGTGATCTCTAGGGTGACAGAGGGTATTGTCACTGAAATGTAAAAATCTCAGCAGTAACTCGTATCCGGCTCTAGGCATGGTTTGGGAGAATACTGGACGAGACATTATTGGGTTGGTGCTCCAGTATGAGCGAATCGATGGCTTCTTTATAATCCCCATGAGCATTGTAAGAGCCCAGAATTTTTTAAGCTCTGGGACATCTGTGGGATGCCAGTCATGCTCCCTGACTCTATAGCTACCTGGATTGTTATCAATAAATTGGGTAGCATACAAGTTAGTCTGGGAAGCAATCTCCTCCCAGATGGTATCCCCTAAAAATAGTTCTACATACTGCATTGGGGAGAAGCCATCCACATTAACACTCACATTGGCACTAAAAGACGGGGAAGTTGGGCTCGGCTAACTGTGGAGGTACCCAGTCCTCCTCCACATTCGGCGTAGCAGATGAAGCACAGCTTCTTTCTTCAGCCGGCTCACACACAGATGACATGTCGTCTTGACTAGACGTGTCAGAAAACTGACCTGGGTCAAAATCTGACGCAGTGTCAGTGGCGTCAGAGTCTGACGCCAAGAAGGCATATGCCTCCTGCAATTTATACATACGCTGCATGTTTTACACACGACTAAAACGAATTACAAACACCCAAAAAAAATTTTATACTTTTTTTAAATTTATTTTATTTTTACTAAAACAGACTAAACAGCAATCCCTAAACTAACTCCTGTCACAAAAATCTAATGGAGATTTCGCGGAAGGAAACTGACTGACTAAGACAGACCAAGACACAGATTTTTAAAACAAATTTAACCCTTTAACCCCTTAAGGACCAAACTTCTGGAATAAAAGGGAATCATGACATGTCTCACATGCCATGTGTCCTTAAGGGGTTAAGGGCAAATAAAAAAAAATACAGACAGTACAAATGCACTGCTGTAACAGATCTGGCAGGGAAGGGGTTGAAAGATGATTTTTTAAAAATAAAATACTTCTACTTTATGATGGTCACTGAACACTGCTGCAACAAACTATCACGATCTCTCTCGCCTCACAAAACGCTACAGAGGAAAGAGGGGCAGAGATCATTTTGGTCACTTTGACGGCAGCCAAATGTACACACCGCAATTGGCTGTTCCTATCTGCCTGGGATGTCTGGCAGATAGTTACAGTGTTATACCGGCGGGAGCGATCTTTGATCGCTTCCCGCAAGCCTGTTTTTCGCAAAATGGGCCCTAAAGACATGAATAAAAAGGCGAACTAGACTGAGCTCAGAAGAAGTAGAGGGAAGAGTGCCCAACATGCAAAGTATGGGTTGTGTGTGTAAAGGATGTAAACTGTCTGCATGTGATGGCTGTGAAACATACTTTTATCTCCCATTTTAATTATGAGCTATATGTTAATGTGTTTTAAAAAGAAAAATAATTACTAAACTTACATAAAGTGTTTTTCAAGCATTAAACAGGGTTATATTTTGGTGATAATTGGTGTTTAATGTATGGGAGCCCAAAACAAATAAACAAACCTTTGCAGTTCCTCTGTTTTATCTTCTGATGGCCCACGGCATAATAAAATGTGGCGGAGAATGGCAGTCAGGTGTCGAAACTGGTGTGAATCACTCTGTTCAATACAAATTGTGAAAGAAAATGACACATATATTTTGATAAATACCAACAAAGAATCTTTAAACTAGACTCGGGAAGCAAGTGGAGTTTCAAATTAAAAATGTACCTCACATCTGGTCCCATGGAAATTGAAAACTCACCTTTTTTGGATATGTTCCGAAAAAAAACTTTATGACTGATCTGAGAAACTGCCTGGTGAGGAAAAGACGTCCTTGTGACGTCTCTGGCTGTCATGGACCCAGATGTCAAGTACAGATCTATTTTTGTTTGTTTTTTACATCAGCAGAGCTATACATTTGCTGATTAGGCTGGCATAATGTATGGATTAAATTATTTTAGCTAGTTCGACACAAAAGGACATCATTTAAATTTAAACAAGATCGAGGCACAAAAGGTGCAGAAAAATGCAAGCTGTGATATAAAAATGGTTTCAGAAAAGGTGCTAAAATGGTAATTTAAGAAATGCCTACAAAAATGACTAGTCTGCACTTTACATGTATTCCTGACACTACAGGTTTAAAAACCCATTTTAGGTCCCTGGCACCTCTTAAAAAGTGAAAGAACTCTATTTCCAGCGCATCACAGGTCTAGTTACGGCTCGCTCCGCCCCTGCTCCGTGGCTGAGATCATCAAATTTTATCATCGCAGCCAATCCAATGGCTTCCTATAGGAAAGCATTAGGAGGCTATTGCGCATGTATGGTAAAATGCTTTACTGCGCCAATTAGCATCTCCTCAGAGATGCACTGAATCAATGCATCTCTATAAGGAAAGTTTAGCACCTCCATACAAAGCATGGAGATGCTGAACGTCAGTGCGGCACATTATGCAGTACTGACCGAGGAAGAAGCTCTAGTGGCCGTCCAAGTGACATTAGAAGTGCTCCTAGGCAATAATGTAAACATTAACTTTTCTCATTAAGCTGTAGTTGTTCTGGTGACTATAGCATCCCTTTAACTGCATTAGAGTATTGCAAAAATCATGCTGTCAGGTGCATGGCTTTCTCTATTACAAAATGAAGTGGTGAGAATTGGCTACTTGGCAATAATTATAATTTATTTGTATGGTGCCAACAGATTCTGCAACACTAGGTAATATAAGAAAAGGGTAAAGAATTAGTTTGCCATACAGTAAAGTATAACAAAAACATAAACAAATGGATAGAGTATGCATTGTTCTCAAGCATGAAACAACGGTTTTGTCTTCTAACTAGACATGATCTATATGATGACAAAGTGAGCAGACATCTCCCAAATCTTTCCATCAAACACACAAAATAATCCAGTATGATGTGATTCCCCAACAGCTGGACAGTAACACACAGTTGCCCCACTACTGCACAGACCAATAATAAAAAAATAAAAAAAATACAACAAACACATTAGGAGGCAAGTATTAACCCCTTAAGGACACATGACTGAAATATTCTGTCATGATTCCCTTTTATTTCAGAAGCTGTGTCCTTAATGGGTTAAAAAGATGGTGGGTGAGGAATGTTGTAGTCAAAAGCTTCTGAACAAACACAATTATACATACAGTCAACAGTCATAATAACAGATATGTAATCCTAACACTACAGTGCCCTAGTTACCATGTAAGTGACCAGGCCAGCGCCGCCAGGGATAAAAAGATCCTGCAGAACTGCAATGTTTTAGCCAAGTTGGGGAAAGAAAATCTTCAAGTCACGTTTTCAGTTTGATTATTTTTGCCTAAGCTTTGAAATTCACTTTGAATACCTTTCAATTCATATTTTAATGACCAACCTTGCACTGCGCTAACAAGTAGGGCAAGTTTCACTTTTTCCTCTCAACTCCTATTGGAATTTTTCCCTATGTAGGAATAGAGATAAACTGCTTTCTGGCAGATCAATCGTTCTATAAAGAGGATTCAGGAAGTTAAGTATGGTAGAACATACTAGAACAATGTAGATACCATCTGTGACTGGGAGACAATTAGATCAACCACCTCTAATTTAATTAACCTCTAGACAACAGGGCTCCTTAACAGAATATCATCAAAAACATACTTTTAGACACCAGTAAACTTCACATAGGGTATCCCCAGACAGGTCATCCCTAGCATCCTAACTGGTAAAATTCCAAGTGAGGAATAGTTCCATGCGGTAGGTTTCCTTGGAGCATGTAAGCTGCACAGTTTTGTCAGATTTCAGGGCACTTGGTCTGGTAGAGTCTCCTAAGAGAAGGCAAGAGCCATATTAGGGTGATTATCATTCCTTTCTGTTAAGATTGCACAGTCTTGTAACATGGCTCCCCCTTTGATCAATAGTCCAACAGACACAGTCAGATCCAGAGTGGTCGGCTTGGGGATATCTGGGAATAGTTTGCTGGGACAATACATCACCACTATTGTTCTGTTTGCCTGGCCAATATTGCATTGTGAAGTTATATGACTGAAGGCTACCGGATGCTCTCTCCCATAATCCCTAACCCGTCTCAGCACTGCTCTCAATCCAAATATGGAGGCATCTATATTGAAGAAAGCTTTGGTAGGGCCAGATGCAACCAACCCTGGGGCATTGGTTAGGTCCATCTTTAAGTGTTGGAAGGATCCCTCCGGGGACCACCGGACCTGTGGGGAAAGTTTTTGGATTGTTTTTGTCAGGTCAGTCAGAGGTTTGGTGATGGAGCTATAGACCTTTAGTAACCGATTGCATCCAGGAAGGCCTGGAGCCTGGTATTGTAGAAATGTTGGAATTGAGGTGTTCCAAGTGGGACCTCAGTTGGCAGATCCTTTATAACCCCCACTTCCAAATAATGACATCCGGTACCCCAGTCAAGATAGGTACTGGGCAGTAGGGAGCCTATGTATAGTTCCTACGTCCACCCTTACTGCTGCAGTAAGACTAGTTCATTCTAATTTATAAATCCTGTGAGGCTGTACCAGAGTCTGAGTGTCTCTCAGACCCTGGGCATCCCGACCATTAACCTTGACCAGATGCCAGTGATTATGTCTGTTGTCTCTGGCAGCTTGCACAGGGTCAGTCACACGGAGGACAGTCCATCTTTCCGAAGGGTATTCTATCTCTATCCTTCGAGAGATATCAGAGGTGCCCCAGGACGGGTCCTTGTGCAGACTGATGGCAGTCTTAGGGAGGTTAATTGGTTGTTCATGCAGATCAGTTCTTTGGGGATAATTACTCTTTATTTGTCCAGACAAGAAAAGAGTCAAACTGTTATTGTTAAGAAAAAAAGATGTAATGCTAAAATATAACTTAATAAATATCAAAAAATAAATATAAAATGAAACTAAATAAACCGAAATACGTGAAAAGGGATAATTGATCATTTGTTACAGAGTCTTTAGAGTGCAGCCTTTAGTTAAGAAGTACTGATCTAAGAGGATGATAAAAACTAATTAGGCAAAACTAAACTGGTCTGAAATAGGAAGAAGAAAAATATGTGAGTCAGAGGGCACCTATTGTTAGTAGAAAGAGGACTAGATTAGCTGATTATCTAATCGAAGTTATAACTCGACTGAAAGTGTAGCGATAAATATCAATAGTATAGTTATAGCTAAGCTTGACCAAACACAGAAACATCCAATCCTAATCCAAGTTTAGCAGTCTAAGCAGGTATACAACGCCGATACCTCCAACAGCAAGACTCAACCGATACTGAAAATCTTAGACAAATATCAGGAGGGAGATCCACAGTGGCTTGAGAGTTCTGGGAGGCTTATCGGAGTGAGCCCTGATGCGTGTTTCGGTTGCAGACCATTTTTCCATTGTGAAGGTTGGTTGGGAGAGGGTTTGGCTGGAGGCATGAGGGGGCAGGTGCTGTGATGGGGTTGCTGCTAGTTCACTGCAGTGAGTGGGCTCTACTTTGTTCTGCCCTGCAGTATTTTTGATACTCGTCCGCCAGCCTGGCCACCTCTTCCACCATTAGAGGTCGTCTGTCCCTCATCCAATCTCTGACCAAGGAGCAGCATGGTCGTAGAACTGCTCCAGGATGAATAATTGTAGGGCATTCACCAAGGAGATAGCCTGGCAGCCCTGAATCTAATTATGGGCCGCCTGCTACATGTGGTATGCCCATTCTGCATGGGAGTCTGTTTCCTTTTTGTAAGCCTCTACATTTTCTCCTGTAGGCCTCGGGGGTTATGGCGTATCGTGCTAGGTGTTTCTCTTTAACCCTCTCGTAGTTCTTAATGTTTGTGTTTGGAACTGCACTGCACGCCTCAGCTGCCTGTCCAGTCAGTTTACTGCTCAGGATGGAAACCTAGTCTGTTACATCCAAGTCCTAAAGGGCACACTGACTCTCAATCTTGGAGTTAGCCATCAATGTCATACTCTCTATCAACAAATACCTTGAATGTGGAGTAGGACAATGTCCTCAGACTTCCTCCTATCAATCCTTGCATTAAAGCTGTATATCCCGCTGGGAATCAGCTCCGCTGTTCCCTCGCCTTCATCACCACTGTAATCTTTACCTTAACCTGTAGTACTATCACCGCTGGTTGATTTGGACTTCGCATGAATAGTCTCCATCACACATCTTTCTGGGACTCGGATTTCTCTGAGCTTCGGTGTACGAGGTGCTGGAGTTATTAAGCTCGATCTTGGTAAAGTGTGGTTTTAAAACTTGTTGCTTGGCACTCGCCCCCAAACCTCAAGCAAGTCTTTTAAAGTGCTCAGCTTCAGTAGCCAGTACTGCTACTCCATTTCCCGATTTCCTTACCAGGATGTCTGTCAAGGAGAGAGCATCCCAGTGCTGCCACTAGATTTGGCAAAGCTCCCAGACTTGACCAGAGTATCTCCGCCAAAGACTCCCTCTTCCCTGCAGAGTGTGCAGTGATATATAGCAGCCCACCCAAGCATCAGTCGAAACTTAATGAAGGGTGAAAACAGGAATACTTTACTGGGTTTAAATGCACATACACTATTTAGACAAAGTTTTGGGACACCTAACAGGAACTTTTAGGACATTACATTCATAGACATTAATATGTAGTTGGTCCCCCCTTTGCAGCTATAACTCTCTTCATTATTATTATTTTTAATTTTATTATTTATATAGCGCAATCAGATTCCGTAGCACAAAATGTTGGAGGAGTGTTTCTGAGGGCATCTTTGCCCATTCATTCAGTAGAGCATTGTTGAGGTCAGGCACTGATGTTGGACAAGAAGGCCTGGTTCACAATCACGGTTTCATTATTGTTTCATCCCAGAGGTGTTCAATGGTGTTGAAATCAGGGCTCTATGTGGGCCAATCAAGTTCTTCTACACCAAACTCATCTTCCATGTCTTTATTGACCTTGCTTTGTGCACTGGAGCACATTCATGCTGGAATAGAAAAGGGCCTTCCCCATATGGTTTCAACAAAGTTGGAAGCATAGCATTGTCCAAAATGTCTTGTTTGCTGAAGCATTGACTGCACTTCACTGGAAGGAAGGAGCCTAGCCTAACCCCTAAAAAACAGCCCCATACCATTATCCCCCTCCACCAAACTTTACAGTTGGCACAGGTAGGCAACGTTCTCTTGGCATTCGCCAACCCAGACTCGACGATCATTTTCCCAAATAGAAGCATATTTGTCACTCCACAGAACATATTTCCACTGCTCCAGAGAGAGTCTAGTGGTGGAGTGCTTTACACCACTCGATCCGATGCTTGGTGATGTGATACTTGCATGCAGCTGCTGGCCACAGAAACATAATAATGCCAGTGGAAGTTTAAAAATATTTAGCTATGGAATTATACACCATACACCTCAGCACCTCGCTCTGTAATTCTACAGGTTTTTCCGCTTTGTGGCTGAGTTGCTGCTGTTCCTAAATGCTTCTGATAACACTTACAGTTAACCGTTGAATATCTAGCAATGAAACTGACTTATTGCAAAGGTGGCATTCTATCAGTACAATGCTTGAATTCCCTTCAGTTTTTCAGAACAACCCATTTTTTCCACAAATGTTTGTAAATGCAGACTGCATAGCTAGGTGCTTGAAGTTATACACCGGTGGCAATGAGTCGGATTAAAACACCTGAAATGGATCATTAAGAGGTGTCCTAATACTTTTGTCCATATAGTGTAATTATACACAGAACTCCAGCAGAGGGTCGTTATCTAGAACAATGTAGATCCCAGCCAGGCACCTCTGTGTCTGGGAGTAGATAGATCAATCTACCCTCCAGACAACAGAGCTTCTTAACAGAATATCCCCCCAAAAAAACAATTTTAGGCACCAGTAAACCTCACATATAAGGTATCCCCCAGATAGCTTGTTCCTGAGTGCCCTAAAAGGTAAAATAGCACCCCAATACCATGCAGGATGTAGAATCGCCTCCAGGTTAAAATGTTGACCACATGGCTGGCCTGAGTTGGCAGGTTTCTTCGCATCATATACCATGCACAGATAGGCTTGGATTTGAGGGCACTTGAAATGGTAATGCCTGCTAAAAGAAGGCAAAAGCCAAAGCAGGGTGATTATCAGTCCTTTCTACCTAGTTCACACACAGTCTCGTAACTATGCTTTTTATTTATTTATTTACACTGCATGCCTGGCTGTCCTGGCACATCCAGAGCATGCCATGAAGTTTTGTAAGTGCAGTGCCATGGAAACAGCTCTTTTGAAGGAATGCCTGAGTACACATGTGCTCACACAACATTTCTCCATAAATTACCCAAATGCATAAGTGAGACTACAATATTCATGGAAGGATTGTGTTTGTCTGAACACGAGTGCAGTGCAAGTGCTTTGCTTTTGTTTTGTTATTTGTTTTTTTCCCCCATAACTCCTCTGCACTGTTTACCCTAATAAAAACTTAGGATGAAAACAAAGAGAAATTGTGTTTTCTTTGGTGTGGAAATGAGAAATTGCCATTTTCAGATCTTAAAAGGGATAATCAAATTACCATAATATATGCTCCTTACATAGGTTGTGGTACAAGGAACTACTTTGTCTCAGTCAGTCAGTTATAAAGAACCACCCGTCGTCGCCCACCCCCACCCCCCTCAAAGAAAATATCAGTTCTTTGCAATGAATTATGGCATATAAAAGACAAAAACAAACTGGGCGCAAGGAGCTGACCACATCACAAAGTGAGTATGCAATACTGACAACATAGCCCTGCTACATCCATAGTGATACTGCACTTTGACACAAAAGAAGGTTTTACTTGAGAAGCATCATTTTTTTTAATTGAATCTAGTATGTTGTTGTGTGTGGACAAAATAGAATTTTCTCTGTGAAATATTTGTCAATTTGCAAAATCTTCCAGAAAAAAAAATAACATAATTAATATCATTACATGCTTGTGAGGTCATAGTTTATTATATATACCATCCAAAAGAGAGTCGACTATGTAGTCAATGCATTAAAAATAATAATAGATAATTAACAAAATTATATTATGTTGCAAATCATACCAGTGGTAATTTTTAGCAAAAAAATAATAATAATAATAATAATAATAATAATATATAGATATCAGAAATGCAGACTTACTTTGCTGTGGACATTCCAACTATCCAGTGTTACATTAAATAGGGCTTTCAATGCCTCTATAGCACAATCTGTATCTGGAAGAGACAATAGAGGACCATTTAACTCTGTAACGGTCTGATATTTTCTTGCCCACTTAATCCCAAGAATACTTTCAAGGGTCTGTGTTAGCAGCGGCAGTCCTTGCAACTCATGTTTTAGCTGTGACCTTGTTTCTGTGTGCAAAAGTGTCAAGAGGAAAAGGAGACGCAGATCAAAACATCGAATGTCATTCACCGTGCGTTGGTCCTTGCATTTCTGCAAAAGGCCACAAAGGGAAGCAGCAAGGTTAAGTTCCAGGCTCAACTTCTGTGCTTCTGGACTATTGAACACGATGTTACACAGACATTTTAACGCTTCCACAACAACAGGGAAACTTGCTACCTCCCCTAAGGATTTCAGTTTAGGATCAAGCTTGGCCATTTTCATTAATATCTGCAAATTTTCCTTTGTTGTCACAGGAACTAAAACCTTTTTATCCCTGGAGAGGATGCGCAGGGTTTCCAAGCACATTATCTGACACGATGTGTGGGTTCCTTGATCAAGAGCTTGAAATATTGCTTTGCAAAGATTCTATAAATAACAGAGATACAGATAAGATACACTTTACTATTTTGCATTTACATAAAAATAGGTGATGTTCTCGAATGTAATTATGTAGAGGTGTACATCATGGATCTGCAGATAAAATGTGTATTTCTATGACTTAGTATATAAATTACCACTACCCACTGACACCTAGAGCCTGGTAGTGCTAGACTGTGGTGCAGTGATTAAAAATATCTAAATATTATAAGATGTAACTGGAGTAAATCAGGGGTGTCCAAACGAGGAACCTCTGTAGTTATTGGACTATATGTCAAACATGTAAACTGGAATAGTATAAAATGGAATTATTATTTAAGAAACGCTAGAGGGACACCCATGACCTAGAACCGTAAAGGTTCACTCTAACCACGTAAAGCATGTTAGCTTGTTGAAGTGCTTTGTGTGTGAAGAGTATGTTCTCACATTAAAAAAAAATAATTATATATTTTTTTTACAAAAAAGTGCAGACTTCATTTGAAACTGGCACTTTTAGAAATTAACCATGTTACATCCCCTGGCTGTCAATCAGGCAGCTGGTCTTATTATTTTCTGTTTTTTATTTAGCTCATTGAAGCTAAACTCAAGAGGCAGGTAATTGTCCAGAGCACCTGCCTTACAAAGTCTTCTCATTGAGCTGCATTAGGGAATCTGCGATTGGACAGCCATAGAAAGTCTGGGCATGGTTAGAAGGGGAGGGCTTGCAAAGGCTTAACATAAAAGCTTTTGTAAGCTATTTTTAGATATACCCCCAATTAAAAATGCATAATTGAATGCATGCATGCATGTTTTCAGTGAACAGTGTCCCTCTAAAAATGTCATATAACAATGTTATGGTAAAGTAGACTTGCCCAGCTCTACTAAGGCTCAAAGGTGTTTAGTAATTTACTACATAAACTTTACTAAACAAAGTCACCTTTACCTTTTCATCAGCATCATTTGTTGTATTTGTCTTGGCCCCCGTTTTGTAAGAATATGTACCATAAATGGAGATGCACATTTTTGAATACCGTGTCACTATAATGCCATTAACCACGGTGTTGGTAGGTATATTAACACTTAGGAAGTAAATAATCTTGGCTTAATTTAAATTGTAATTATAATATGCATATACAGTCAGTATAAAATGCAAAGATGAATTTCAAGATTTAAAGAGGAGTTTCAAGTCGTACCTTTCTCTTCTCTTCATCTGATGGATCAAATGTAAACATGGTACGATTCTGTTTGGAGAAAACAACAGAGTAAGTTATCCATCGATTGTAAACACATATCTTCCAACACTGACTAAAGAAATTGGGTAGAGAGTGTGTTTTGAGCTTGGTGCCCATGCCAATACATAGCTGCTTTTTATCCGACCACCTTATAACAAAATACAGCAGAAACTCTTGAAGTCCTGGTCATTTTATGGAACATAACTCTTCATGGGCTTATTAGACATCCAACTAGCTGCTGATCCCATTATTTTTTGGCTTAAACAGAAAGCCAACATCTCAACTCAAACACATCAAGAACTATTTATCACTTATTATATGGAGATCACTAAATCCCTTAAAGGGATTCTAAAGTGCCAGGAAAACAAACCCGCTCCTGCAGTGCCCCCCTCCCTCGGTGCTGAAGGTGTTAAAACCCCTTCCATCACTTACCTGAATCCAGAGCCGATGTTCCACAGTGCTGCGTCAGGCTTAGCCCCCGCTCCACATCCGATGTCAGACAGCAGGGGAAACCTAGTGCGCTTGCGTGAGCAATGGCAGTGCTTGCATTAGAATTTCCCCATAGGAAAAATCTGATGCTGGAGCACCCCATGGAGAGTGTGAGGATATCCAGCGTCAGATAACGGACCTTCCGTTTTCAATTCCGGAAGTCTCCCCTGGTTGCTGTCTTCTAAGAAACTGCAATAATTACCACTGTAGGGTTAAGGGACATGGGATATTGAACCCAGACCACTTCAATGAACTGAAGTGGTCTGGGTATCTACAGTGTACCTTTAAACCAGGGCTCGACAAATCCCAGGACAAAATTTCTAGTCGCCATGGCGATTTGGTCCTGGCAGCTCTTTAGTGAAGGCCGGCCCACCCATACAGGGCAGACTGGTAGGGGGCTTGCCAACGGCACAGGGCAGTCTGGAAGCTGGCCACCAGCCTGGGGTAGCGTGGGAGGTGGAGCTCAAGGGAGCAGTAATCCTCCTGCAGTTCCTCTCAGCTCCCTTGCGCTGTTTATTAATGCCAGGAGCCAGAATATGATGTCACTCCGGTCCCGGCATCACTACAGAGAGCACGCAAGAGAGCAGAGAGAAACTGCAGAAAGATTAGAGCACAGGCCACTGGACCTCAGGGAAAGATCCACTCAGCTCTCACACAGGTAGAGAGGCTGGGTGGACATAAATGAAAAGTAAAATGTTAATTTGTGAGTTTATGAGCAAATGTGTGTGTCATTGTGTCTGTCTGTCCGACAGTGAGTGTCTGTTTAGGTACCTGCCCCCCTTCAATCACATGGAAGAGGTGTTTTTACTCACTTTTTTTCCCACGCTGTACCGGTTTCAGAGTTAGTTTAAAAAAGACTGGCTCCTAACTTTTTTTAGCTGGCTCCTAGATTCCAAACCAATTTGTCAAGCCCTGACTGTAACGAACACTAGAACAACCCAGACCACTTCATCTCATTAAAGTGGTCTGGCTGCAGTGTCCCTGTCCTTTTAGCCCTGCAATATAACAACAATGCAGTTCTTTTAGAAAATGAGTTGTTTACATTGTAAGTCCATTATGTTTGGGATGACAGCCACTAGAGGCCCTTCCACGGCACTGACCAAGTAAAATTCAATGCTTCCTATGAGGAAATGTAAATGTGAGTGAGGCACTCGCTGCTAATGTGCATTAGGTCTCCGATGTATTGGACATCGGTGAAGGAGGCCACGTCGTGGAGCAGCGCAGACGAAGCCTCGTTAAAGTAAAAGGGTAAGTAGAACGTTTTACTTTTTTTTTTTTTTTTATCTAAAAGTCATTGATGAGGCTGTTATGAGTCAGGACATCACAGTGACCATTGGTTAATTTTTAAGAGGCACAGAAATGTTGTGAGCTCACATAAATGTTATGTAAGCAGATACTTTTTTCACTTTCTAAACTAATAAAACAAAACAAAGAGGGGACATCTGGTAACCCCTAAAGCCCCATCATAAAAGGTTTATTCAAAGCACCATGATCACTTCCATGTTTTGTAGCAGTCATTGGGCATGTACAGAACGAGAGTAAAATACCATAGTATGCAGTCTCACATCTCACACTCTTACAGAAAGCAACTAATAAAAAATAGTGAGTTCATTAAACAATCACCTAAAATTAGTGGGAGGGAGCAGGTGTTTTAATTTTTTTAAAGGGATACTATAGACCAGGGGTTCCCAATTATTTTTTCCCGTGGAACCCTTTGACATAGTAAACCAACATCGTGGAACCCCAAAAATAAAATTTGCGCCATAGCACAAACCTTTTAATGAGTGGCTTTTTCATTATCATTTTTAAATATTGTGCTCATAAACCGTTTAGTCTTATGATACTCCTGAAGCTTTCGCTTAAAAAGCTGTCGTCATATTTTCTTTTCTTTGTTTGAGAAGAAGATTGAATAACAGTGTGTGCTTGTCTTTTTTTCGTTGACTTGTCACTTGTCTCTGCTATTTGAGGAACAGTAGATTCAACTATTTCGGACCGGTTTTCTTGATTTGTTGTTGTATCATTTTTCACAGTTTCTATAAGTGTCGAAGAGTTAGAAATAGTAATTTTTCTCTTGATAATTCCTTGTTTTAAAGCGGCACTATCATGGTCTAATCCCGTTTATTTTTTTTTTTATTTTTTTTAACCCCCCTCCCGCCTCCACTACATCTAACTGACCCCCTAGTCACCTCCAAATGCCCCTAAGCCCCCCATATTACCTATTTTTTAATCTTGATTTTCTACCCCGATCTATATTCAGGGCACCGCCATCTTTGTGTGGGTAGAGGAAGTCCCTGTGGGACACGTCATCTGCCCACACTAGATAGCACTGTGAGATTCCCGCACATGCCCAGTTCAACACTTGGACATGCAAACGGGAACTTCACCTATTCATTCATTCATCAGAAAGCCGAATGAATGGATAGCATTGTCAGACGAACAAACAAACACTGAGTATCAGTGTTCATTTGTTCGTGCAGTTCATTACAAGGAGGGAGCTACTGGCACACAGCTCCCTCCTTGTAATATGTAAAGATAGAAATGGCAGGGAGCAGTGCTCCCCGCCACTTCATAAGCCCCCCAGGTCCCCCCTCACTCTATGGGGGGTCAATATGACCCCCATAATAGCATTAGGGAGATTACAATCTCCCCAATGCCCCTACTCGCTATACTGCGAGTAGGGACATGTCCACTAAACAGTGAGCAGAGCAGTGCTCTGTGTCATTTTACACAGTGTGGGAATATTCCAAAGAACTTTCCCACGCTGTGTAAAATGACAAAGAGCACTCTGATTGGTGGGCTTGGTAGGTCCCTCCCCCCTTATTGTTTTTTAGGGCTCCCACCCACCGCTCAGGGGTGGGGGCCAGGGGGGAGAACAGTAGGTCCCCCCCTCCTTATTTTTATTTAGAAGGTTTTTTTTAAACAGTGAGCAGCCACAGGCTTGTTTATGATTACATTTATGATGTGATTTTATGATTACATTTAGGATTTGATTTTATGATTACATTTTATGATTTTAGGATTTGTTTTTTTGATGTGAGGTCAGTGAAGGCTATGTACAGTTACACAGCAGAATGCTATGTACAGTCGCACACAAGAATGCTATGTACTGTTACACTGAACAGCGTTATGTACAGTTACACAGAAGAATGCATCTTCTCCGAAGAGTGAAATATACAATTATTTGGAACAATGAAACCCCTGTTGGGCCTGACTTGTCTGTGCCCCAGGATTTGGCCGGCTTGGTCCGAGCCGTATTGATTGGCCTGCTTTGTCTGTGCCCCATTGATTGGCCTGCTTTGTCTGTGCCCCATTGATCTGGCCTGCTTTGTTTGTGCCAGAATGTCTGCATACCAAGCCTTGCTGCTACATACTCACGCTTGGACATTGCATGCGCTGCCAAACTGGCCTCTGTCACTATATGCCCCGATGCTTCTGCCGGTGACATTTGTCCGTTATACCCCTAGAGGTCACCTTGCCAAGGACCGCTCCACCGACAACCCTTTGTTCGGGGGAATGAGCACAGGCGATGTCTAATGCGGCAGCGACCACCTTCTAAAGAAGGCAGGAGACTTGAATGAGTCAGACTCTTCTGATGAGGGCAGGCAAGTGCACATAAGCGCTACTGGAAGGGTGAAGGCCCTGAACCAGACGCCCGGAAAGATAAACTCTGGAGAAGCATCTAACCCAGATGCATTCGGCTGCGACGGCCTAATGCCACTGCCTATATGGCGCGAGGGAGGCGGTGTCCACTGGACGCGGCAGTGACCACCTTTTTAAGAAGAAGACAGACTACTTGATTGAGTCAGACTCTCCTAGAGGAGAGCAGCCAAGTGCGCATAAACGCTACTGGAAGGGTGAAGGCCCTGAACCAGGCGCCTGGAAAGACTAGACTCCAGACTACACTGCCTAGGTGGAGCAGGGGTGAAAGTCCCCATAAGCCACCCCCCCTACCATGGCCGCAGAGGCATATCTAATGCTCCAACCTGTACCGGTTATAGAGGATTAGACCCTTGGCCTCAGAGTTTCACATTTACCTCCACCTTCGGATGACATACCAGACGGGATTAAGTGAGCGGAGCCCTTTGGAGCCCCCGCACGGGACTACGCTTGAACGCATATCCATTAGTTACTTTGAATTGGATGCGGCCCTCAGGGAACTTCTAAGGACCGTGGGGTCCTTTCCTGGTAAGGCGGGCTCAATTTTCTCCCTGGCGAGATAAGAATCTGGGGCATCATTCATTGGGACGATACTACAGCCTGGCTGGCAGGTTTGGATGAATTTAGGACATTCGGGAATACCAGAACTATATGAGAACCCTTCTCCTTTGTTCCACGTGGACGTTTAGCTGTACGCTCTACCCGGACGGGCTTGCGGGATCCTCTGCGAGTTCCCTACCAGACCGAAGGGTCAGACGCTCTCTGCATTTTCCCTTGTTCGGGTCCCTGGATTTTGTGTTCAACCGAGGAAATATCGACCCCCTCTACAGGAGTAGAGTCCTAGAGGGTGGATTGGACACAAGGGGGTGCCTCCTACTTTTTCCCCTACCCGAGTTCTCGTACATTTGGAATAGCTTTTCTAGGAGGTCCCGGCGTCAAGACTTTAATCCACGGAGGAGGACCCATCAGGCCCCGACCAGTTTCAGCTGGCATACAGACCCGTTTCCTCAGTGATGGACGCTTCCCTACAGGGGGTGTTCGACACAGAGATGCTGACTAGTCTCCTCCGTTTGTTTGGTTCCAGGACCTTACTACAGGTGTCTCGGTCTGCTGGTGCCTTAGTTTTATGGCCTCCGCTTCGGCCGAGTCGAAACTAGTGCCCTGGATCACCTTGACCTGTCCCACTTGATCTGAGGCTCACAGATGAGTGATATGCAGCTCTTCAAGTGAGAGCTGCACATAGCCCTTTAAATTGATTTGCATACTATGGCTGATTGAAAATTACCACAGCTGAGCACAATTGCAATGTGGGAGACCACCAGGGTCTGAAAAGACCCTGATGAGGTCTTCCTGCTTAACCCTGCAAAATAATTAGGGCTGGGCTCTGCTAACTGTCCAGCACCAATCATTGTTTCTAAAGTTGCAGCATGACAGGAAGATCTCTCTTATGCTCTAATCACACAGTTCAGAATGCTCACAGAGCCTTCTGTACGTGTGAGCAATGAAATCCCTGGGATTAGGAGCAAGATTAGGGGTTGGATTAAGAAAAAACAAAAAGATGTATACATGTGGGGTACCACTGTAATCGTAAACAGCAGCAGAACGCAAATATGGAGTTATTGCAGTAAATGTGAGGTATGTAAATTTCCCCAAAATAAAAACACAAAGAATTAGATACTTTGACCTAGGTTTGTGATAAATTGGGTAAATGAAAAGTGTCAAAATGCTCTTCCTTACATAGCCTGGTACTTTCTACAAATATATACTTTTGTGTAGTGGTTCTGGTTCTATGATTACTATAAAAGTTGTAATCTCAGCATGACAACATTTGCAAAGTTATAGCTTTAAAAATCATAATTCACTCCTTCACTTCATTTCCTAAACTGCACGTGGTCTGTACAAATTATGAAATGTAAAACAGAGAAAAATGTGTTTCCTAGGTGTTCAATCCTATTTAATATTGTGCTATGTATACATATGGTGTATATAAAAAAAAAAATAAAAATAAAAATTATAAATAATATGTATGAGTGCACTTTCACAGAAAGGCTGAAATTGTGGTAGAATGAATACATTGTAAAAGTGTACAAAGGCCTTGGTCACAAACGTGTCGCTTCTCAAAAGAGTGCCAAAGTCTTGGTCATTAAGGGATTTAATATTAGATTTCTATTTACATGAAACGTGTAGGGAGAATATAGGTCACAGATAGGGAGGTATGGTTAGGGCTGCGTGATTTAACTCTTAAATAGCAGATAATTGAGCAGTGAGACTGCTGGGACATGATCTGTATAAAAAAAATCTGCTTCATTAAACATTGTTTTTTTTGCCTATAGTACCACCTTTACCTTTAATCTATATCAAGTTGCATCTGTCCTTCTGTATTGTCTGGTGTATCCCTTTAAGAACACCCAAAGGACTGGGATGCCAAGTGGAGATATTTTTGTTTGCATATAGGAAATGTTTGATGTATGTCGAATGACGTCCTAAGTGATCTTTATAAACTCAGAACAAGCTGAGCTACGCTGCATGAGGCATATGGACAATCAATTCAATCTGTGTTTTGATTTTTTTTCTTTCCTTCTTCCACCTCACCCAGTATTATATTGTTCATATAGCATTTAACATGAGCAGGTATTTTTTGCTTTGTAATAATACCCTTGGGCACTAAATGTGCAATAGTCGTTCAGCTATGAATTGTGTCATCTTACAGGAAAAAAATGTAATAAAATACACAATTACATAATATCTCTCTCTCAACCTTCAGCACTTGTGTACCAAATTCCCCATAATGCTGGCAAACTATCGGTATCAAAGGTTGTCTACCCCTGCCTTAATGCATGGTCAAATTGTCTTCCATGTCCCCTGTTTATATCACTATGGGCACTTTTGCATTGATTTGGCATGATTTATTTTAAAGGACCAGTAAAATCACCAAGGCCACTACATCTCAAACTGCAAAAATTTCCACCTCTAGTGGCTGTCACCCTGACAACCACTAGAAACTTTACGTGGCAGTGAGTAAAACTCAGTTACATGATAGGGAAGCCCCAATTGGAGAGCATTATTTAAATGCTTTCTTAAGGGGAAACTTGGATGTGCTTGCGGCTCATATACATTAGGTGCCCAATGCTCTTCTCATTGGATTAGACCATAAGGGAAAATGCCATGCCATGCCTCCAAGATATCACCAGAGGCTGACAGGTAAGCAACAAGGACAGGGACACTAAATCGTTAGAAATACAAACCTGTATTTCTAACGCTTTAGTTTTCCTTTAAAGACTTGTCATGACAACATACTTTGTCACTAGAGCAAAATAAATATTTTGTAACTTTAGCCTGGCAAAGTAGGTAGATGAGCTAACCTTTGCAGTATAGGCCTCCCAGGACAGTCCAATTTAGTTTCCTTGTGTCCTTCATCCTGGGACACCAGGGAATTCTCCTCTGGCTGCACAGCTCACGCACATTACTACAGTATTCATTACGCTTCAGCAGCACTCTCTGCATGGTTCTATATGGTTGGGACCAGCCAGACATCCACTTTCTGGGCAGGCCCACTCATTTTAGGCATCATCAGTAATGCAAGTTGCTACATTGGCAAAACTCTGTAAAAGCCTACCCACCCAGTTCCAAATCCATACCTTCCAATGTGTTTTTTAACTTACCTCCACTGTGTTAATCACCCCAGGAAATGCTGCAATGCAATTTACTAGGGTGACGGAATAAGGCACTGTTCTCAGTATGTAACAGTTTCGCTGTAAGTGAAGAATACATTTTAATTTTATGTGGGTGCGTCCAAGTGCAATGTGCTCTGCATGTCTCTTTTTTCCCAGGGATTAAAGGTTTTTCCGTTTTATCTACTGCATTAAATTCTAAACTACAGTATAGCAACTTCAGGGACCACGCTTGCATCTGTCGTCTCCAGCAAGGCAGAACATGGTTGTGTTCTCGGTAATGTGAGTTGCTGGGCTCTGCATTGTGACAGAGTGTAATGCACAATAACCAACACAGTACTATATCAAAACAGCAAATAAAAGATTTAATCTCCTTATTTGTGGGGAATTTTACTAGCACAATACATAGATTGCATTTTATAATTTTCCTGGAGCTGACCTTGATGTCCTACAATTTTTGATCGCTAGCCTGACTTCGATAGGCTAAAACAGAATAAAGGGTAGATGTTGCAGGAATCACTGAAACAATATATTGTTTAGAAAGTTCTAAGATTAACTAATGAGCACAGCAGGGAGTATCCCTTTATAAATAAATAAGAAGATACTATATCAGCTTTCACAAATAATGAGATCTGCCAGTTTCCTGAAGTATCCAAAGACAATTGAATGAATCATGTATTTTCTTGTAAACAATTATTTCAGTGCACCATATATGTAAATATGCCACAGTTACTCTTGGTGGAGGATAATCTGCGATTTGTATTGTGCTAGCAAAATGTATTCCCCCCCCCTCTGCCCCCCTTGACCACCAAATTTGAACAACCTCCCAGTGCCTAAAGAACTTTTGTCTTTTTTCCCCTTATCTTTTAATGTCCCAAAATTTTCGCTGTGGCTTTACCCATAGACAAGCCCACTGCTTTGCTTCTCCCTATATGTAACCTCCTGTTTTGACAATTCACTTGACCATCCCTATAACATATTGCTGTGGCAGCTCCTCTAATTTCTAATCACTTAAATTCCTCTTCTGACCTCAATCTTTAAGCCTACAATCTCTTTTTTGTCACTGCATCTATCATCAATTCTTTCAGAAAAATTTACATAAATTTCTAGGCCTTAAAAAAACACTCCAACATATAAATAAATAAAAATTGAAATGTTTTAATGTTTGTTTGAGCCCCTAGACGTCAGGTGAATCCCCAATAAATGGAGATTTTTTTTTCTGCTATCATCTTTTTCCCTATTTTCCCCTTTCACCTCTTCCGAATGTCTGCAAACACATGCCAACCTCTGACATACTATGAATGGAATTAAGGATACTGGCCCATTAGCCTCACAGCTTGCTGCTCAGCTAGTTACCTATTTTGCCTATGCTATACACAGCTATCTGTTCTATTTAAACCTAATATTACATCTTATAATCTGACTTACTTTGGGCTTATAACTTTTAATCATGTAATTCATTTGGGGGGGTGGAGGGTGTGTGTGGTCCATTAGCATTACAAGACAACATTTTGCAGCAAATAAAGTAGACATATGTTGTAGGAAAGAAAAATCAAAACTATAAATCTGTACAAATTTTGTAGTATAAGTAGACATGCTAAAGAAGTATTAAGCGTCAATGTAGAGAGAAGAAGAACAGAAAGACAAAACACTAAAGATAAGAACCTATACCAAGACACTTATCAATAAAATTATTTTAAAGCACAGTTGAGCGCTCGGCTGAGAACCACAGCTGCAGAAACCATCCCAAACCGCACACACTATCGGGAGACTTGCTGATAGGCCAGCGGAGGCCGTGGGCGGGTATCCGGGCGCGACACAGACACGCTCACTCACCCAAAGGCTGGATGAAGTGTTTGCTGGCTTTGCATCACTGAGAGACAGAAAAGCTCTCCCACCCACGCTGCCAACAACAGCTGTACCGCAGGGTCAGAACGCTGAGCAAGGACCCTCTCCGCCAGGAAACAGAGATTCCAGCACCAAGCACGATACACCTGCCATGACGTCAGCCCAACACTCACCCTACATCCATCCCGCACTCCTGCGGCCCAGGAGAACACAGCAGGGAATAATGGTAAGCGACAAGCCTTGCTGTACTCTGACCGGATCCCTGCATCGACAGACACTAGCCCCCTGCTGCACAAACATGGCAGATCCCATCTTGGATCGCTGCGGCCCAGAGGAAACCAGCATAAAGACGAACAGGAAGCCTTCCTGGACTGTGCTCAGATTCCTACATCGGTGGACACTCACTGCCTGAAGCTTCGACAAGGCAGATCCGGCATCGGTTAAACACAAGCCTGCTTCATCCTATGAGGTCTCGCGCCGGCCATAGGGATGGCTCCTGCATCTGGACTCGGTTCCTATATAGCCAATAGACTAATGTTATACAGTTGCAAGAAAAAGTATGTGAACCCTTTGGAATGATATGGATTTCTGCACAAATTGGTCATAAAATGTGATCTGATCATCATCATCCAAGTCACAACAATAGACAATCACAGTCTGCTTAAACTAATAACACACAAAGAATGAAATGTTGCAATGTTTTTATTGAACACACTATGTAAACATTCACAGTGCAGGTGGAAAAAGTATGTGAACCCTTGGATTTCATAACTGGTTGAACCTCCTTTGGCAGCAATAAGTTCAACCAAACGTTTCCTGTAGTTGCAGATCAGACGTGCACAACGGTCAGGAGTAATTCTTGACCATTCCTCTTTACAGAACTGTTTCAGTTCAGCAATATTCTTGGGATGTCTGGTGTGAATTGCTTTCTTGAGGTCATGCCACAGCATCTCAATCAGGTTGAGGTCAGGACTCTGACTAGGCCACTTCAGAAGGCGTATTTTCTTCTGTTTAAGCCATTCTGTTGTTGATTTACTTCTATGCTTTGGGTCATTGTCCTGTTGCAACATCCATCTTCTGTTGAGCTTCAGCTGGTAAACAGATGGCCTTAAGTTCTCCTGCAAAATGTCTTGATAAACTTGGGAATTCATTTTTCCTTCAATGATAGCAATCCGTCCAGGCCCTAACGCAGCAAAGCAGCCCCAGACCATGATGCCCCCATCACCATATTTCACAGTTGGGATGAGGTTTTGATGTTGGTGTGCTGTGCCTTTTTTTGCCACACATTGTGTTGTGTGTTTCTTCCAAACAACTCAACTTTGGTTTCATCTGTCCACAGAATATTTTGCCAGTGCTGCTGTGGAACATCCAGGTGCTCTTGTGCAAACTGTAAACGTGCAGCAATGTTTTGTTTGAACAGCAGTGGCTTCCTCTGTGGTATCCTCCCATGAAATCCATTCTTGTTTAGTGTTTTACGTATTGTAGATTCGCTAACAGGGATGTTAGCATTTTCCAGTGACTTTTGTAAGTCTTTAGCTGACACTCTAGGATTCTTCTTCACCTCATTGAGCAGTCTGCACTGTGCTCTTGCAGTCATCTTTACAGGACGGCCACTCCTAGGGAGAGTAGCAGCAGTGCTGAACTTTCTCCATTTATAGACAATTTGTCTTACCGTGGACTGATGAACAGCAAGGCTTTTGGAGATACTTTTATAACCCTTTCCAGCTTTATGCAAGTCAACAATTCTTAATCTTAGGTCTTCTGAGGGCTCTTTTGTGCGAGGCATCATTCACATCAGGCAATGCTTCTTGTGAAAAGCAAACCCAGAACTGGTGTGTGCTTTTTTATAGTGCAGGGCAGCTGTAACCAATACCTCCAATCTCATCTCATTGATTGGACTCCAGTTGGCTGACATGTCATTCCAATTAGCTCTTGGAGATGTCATTAGTCTAGGGGTTCACATACTTTTTCCACCTGCACTGTGAATGTTTACATGGTGTGTTCAATAAAAACATGGCAACATTTCATTCTTTGTGTATTATTAGTTTAAGCAGACTGTGATTGTCTATTGTTGTGACTTAGATGACGATCAGATCACATTTTATGACCAATTTGTGCAGAAATCCATATCATTCCAAAGGGTTCACATACTTTTTCTTGCAACTGTATAACATCCCTAAAACACTCCTCAGATCCAGCATTTTTAGTTGCGTTTTTCTTCATAACTCTAGATATTATGACACCAAACTAACAGTTAGGCATGTTTATAGATAGCCTGTAACCTTACAACTCAATCTGATAAAAGCAATTACCTGACAATCTATTGGTTATATTCCTTTCTTATCTCATACTCCTGTCCTATAAGCTTGTTTTACAATTAATTATATAATGTGTTACTCAGGTGCTATCTGTGGCGATATACTTTACTGTATTCCTCATCAAAACGTGTCCCCAATTAATACCTATCGTTTATCAGCAACACAAGCATCTAGTCATGTTTGCTTAGCCTGTTTACGTCCTAGTTTAAAAAACAAAAAATGTGCAGAATTATAACGTGCCTAGTTCAGGACTATTATTTTGTGTTTCACGCTTGACTCTGATGTCGTGGCAATGCAAGTATAACTGTCTATCTTTACTACACTTAAACTTTAAAAAAAATGTGCCTTTATCTCAATGCCACATGTGTGTAAATCTGTGACATTACTGTGATTACGTATGCTGTTGTGGCACCGTATGTCAACTTGCTAAACTGAGCACACAAACCCCCCCCCCAAAAAAAAACCAACAACAAGTATAATAGTGATAACCTAAAGTACCACCAACACACTTGTTAACACTTGAGCACCATAAAAAAAAGACAACAGAATATTGGAGATAGATATATATATATATATATATATATATATATATATATATATATATATATATATATATATATATATATATATATATATATAAAATTGTGTGGGAGGAAAGGATCATATATCCAAAAAACAGAACAGTGTTGTAAATACAAGAAGTATATTCAAACACCCCAATTATAGATCACCAAATGAAAAAAACATGCCCATAAAAATGGAATACTATATGGATCAGTAAGTGCTTTTATAAATCAATCTTCACAGTCTTTAATCACTTAAAAATATACATAATGTAAAACCGTAACACAAATATATACAGCTTGAAATGCTATACACTTACTAACAGACAACGCTGCAGATAAAACAGCACAGAAAAGCCACAAAATGATCCTGGGGACCCACTCCAATGATCACCATGTCCAATATCCTGTCCCAAAGTAGACTCTGGATCCCTGGTGTCGAAGGAGAGGTATCTTTTGTAGCATGGCCCCTTATCCCCAGTCGGTGTTTGGGTAGCTCCTACCTGTTTTGTCAATATATACTTTGTCAAGGAGAGCTTGAATCCATTTCTAACTCTCTGCCAATAAATATGCCTCCAATCAGTCTTGATCTACTCTCCAGTGCACACATGGACTTGCACAGAATCCACAAACGGGATCCATATCAGCGACCAAAAAGGTAGTGTATGTGCAAGTAAAGGCAAAAAATCTCACATGATCCAGAGAAATAGTTATTTCCCACACGGAAATGGGATACAATTTGTTACAAGCATACAACTCATTACAAATATACAAAATAGAAAAAGTAATTGCTGGATCCCCAAATAATAAAACAAAATGGGATAGACTACAAATCATATTGCTGCATTAAAACCACACCACATATTTTTTATAAATGATACAAAAATAATGAAAAAAGTTCACGAATTTTAAACCTAAATATAATTATGTTCAAGATAATGGGGAATGTTTACAGCTTTTTACAGATGTGATTTACGAGAGTTTGAGATAATTAAACATAAAAAAATGTGAGAGTATAATTTTAATCAGGATGAAAGGATGGCCTTTAAAAGACTGTGTCAGAGACTGGACATTGTTTTTAAGGCAGCGGCTAAAGAGGGGGCAGCAGTGGTCATATATCGAGAGAACTATATTGAGGAAGCTTTGAGACTCCTACATATTGCAATTTACATAAAGATCCCATCAATGAATTTAAAAATAAATTACTGAACCTAGTGAGAAAGAATCGGGATCTAAAGATTCTAAATAAGGCAGTTTAATTTTTTGTTTAAAAGAGCACCTTAGGTTTGCTATTTTTACTATTTGCCAAAAGTACATATATCCTTAGAAAAAACCCAGGCATGCTGATTCCAAGTGGACTTGGTATTCTTCCAGCAAATTTGTTCCAGTATGTGGACTTTTATCTGCAAAAATATGTTCCGTTAACTAAATCATATATAGAAGCATACTGGAGTTGGCATAAAGAATGGACCTTAGGAAAAGCTTTCATTCCATTACGCTGCAAGAAACATATTTGAAATAAGTCCATAGATGGTATTTAGTTCCCTCCCGTATCGCCAAGTTCGATAGAAATGTATCGGACCAATGCTGGAGATGTAACCTAGAGAGAGGTACCGTTCTTCATGTTTGGTAGGAGTGCACAAAACTGCAGGAATTTAAACATGAAAGAAATACATTGTTTACAATTATTTTTTTTTTTTTAATATTTCTTTAAACCCAAGTATCAGGCACTTTCACTTAGGACTTTCTAAAGAAAATAAAAGCACCATTATTCTAGTTATCAATATACTGCTTACTGTTAAATTAAATATTGCAAGAGCATGGCGAAAACCTAATTTCCCTTCATGGGCAGAGTTCATCTGCCAAATCTCCTATCAAGGCAAAATGGAAAGATATTTTTATATGATGAATAAACATATGCCACTGTAAAATAAGATATGGACCCCTGTTTAATTTTATCTCCAAAGAAGGACCCCCTATGGGATAGTGCCAAAAACAAATCGATTTGTTCCATCCATGCTGCTCTTATACTTCAAAATGCAAGTTTGTTTGTAGTATTTGTGTGTAGTTTGTAAATGAGATTGATTATACCAGTTTTTACAACAATGTAATGCAGGGCTTGACAAATCCCAGGCGCCAGGTCGCCATGGCGACCCAGAAATTTGTCCTGGCACCTGGGATTTGTGAGCCTGTTCAGCCCCAGAGGTGACCGGCTGCCTGAGAGCAGTCGGATCACAGAGGGCTGAGGCAGGCTGCTGATGGATATAGGCGGCCGGCCTTGCGGCCTGCTCATTGACAAGTAAGGGAGGTAGACTGGCTCATGGAGAGCTGTGAGAGGGTGGAAGGCAGGCGGCTGACAGAGGGAGTGGGGCGGCCGGCTCATGTATTGCTGAGGGAGGGGGGCGGCTAGCCTATGGAGAGCTGAGGGAGGCTGACGGTTGATGGAGGGGGCATCCGGGTAATGGAATGCAGAGGGAGGCGGGCGGCCAGACGACTTAATGCCGCAGCGAGGGAGCTGTAATCTCCCTACTCACCTCCCTCGCGCTGCTTGCAGTGATGCCGGGAGTCAGGTTATGACGTCACTCCGGCCCACTAAACAGTGCGCTAGAGGGAGCTGAGTAGAAAGATGACAGCAGACCCACTGGACCTCAGGGAATACCTATCCACTCCAGCTCTCCAGAAGTAAGGAGGCTGGGTGGATTTAAAGAAGTAACTACTTGAGAGTAAGTGTGTCTGTATCTCAGTAAATGTATGTTTGTGTTTGTCTGTGAGTGTTTTTACTCACCTTTTTTCCCCACGCCGTGCTGATGACGCTGCAGCTGGCCCCACCTCCATGGCTGAGATTATCAATCTTGACGATCTCAGCCAATCCAATGCATCCCCATAGGAAAGCATTGGAAGACTATTGCGCATGCACGGCCAAATGCCACTGCGCCAATTTAACTTCTCATAGAGGTGCATTGAATCAATGCATCTCTATAGGGAACATTATTGTAGGTGCTGCACATTGTGAGGCACTGACCCAGGAAGCACCTCTAGAGGCCATCGGAGTGACTGTCGCTAGAGGTTTTACCAGGCAGCAATGTAAACACTGCCTTATGTCTGAAAAGTCAATGTTTACATTGAAACGCATTCAGGGACAGGATATAGACTTCAGAACAATTCTTCAAGCCCTGATGTAATTAATAACTTAATGTTTTATAATATATGATTGTTATTACTTCGTTTGTAATGTTTGTATATTTGTATAATTTGCACACAAATTTTTTTTTAATATATTATTAAAAAATAATAATAAAAATAAAGGATACTGGTCATATACTTAATATGATCATGGACATATAATGGAAAGATACAAAACTCTTGGAGGTGGAGCCAGCATGATGTGTTTTCCTTGTTTACATTCATAGGCCATGGAAAAGGAATATGTGCAAGATAGTACGTAATAGAAATGCACATCTGGATGGCCATCAGGCAGCTTTTATTTTGGACTGCATTTCTTTTATTCTCACTCATAGTTATTTTTAATTCCATAACAATTTTATTTGCAGACGTGTTACAGCTATGGGAACTGGATTTGCCCCTCAGTTATGCTAACCTATTTAAAGGCAATATGAGAAGCCAACCACATTTGGGTTAAGCATGGGTGGAGTACAAATCTGGTTCTCTGGAAAAGCTTCTTCAATGACATCATCATCATTTGGGATGGACCAAAGGCAAGCATATCTAAATTTTTAGTATTCATTAACAACAACGATTTTGGACTTAAGTTTGTCCCTGAGATGCAGGACACATGTACAGAAAGGGAAATATCTAGAAAATGAATGCAAGATGGGCAACGTTTAGGTAAAACCTATTTTAACCCCACAGATAAAAATTGTTATATTCATTTTAATAGCAGTCACCATAGAAGCTGGCTTAAAAACATCCCTAAAAGTTAATTTGCCAAAATTGGCAGGAACTGTTTTAGAAATGAAATTCTTAGGAGGATAGACTTATTGAAAAAGACTACCAGTGAGATATAATATGGGAAACTAGTCATCTGATTTTAAATCAGAGGAAACGACAAGAAGTTTAGGATGGTATAATTAATTATGCAAATAAGGTTGATTTTAATTTTGCCTTTAGAACACAAAGAAATAAATTTTATTAGTTTGAGAAAGCACTCCAGAAATGTTGGCCAGTCTTGCTACAAAATAAAATACTACGGACTGTTTTACCAAAGAGACTTAAAGTTATTTATAATAAAGCAAGGAATTTTAAGCCATATTTAGCTCCCAGTCTTTAACCTTCCACAAGTGAGCAGCGCCATTATATTAATATTGTTTGTAGACTAAATGGATTTGGATGTATTTTAAAAAGCAGTAAAATACATCCAAACGCGTTTCGACTACAGGCTTTTCAATAGAGTAAAAAGCCTGTAGGCGAAACGCGTTTGGATGTATTTTACTGCTTTTTTAATCCTTAATAAAATAGATTTTGGTTATTTTATTCCACTTGTACCGTCATCTTTTATTATTCAACCTTTTAACTACCACCTGGCACCAACTACTATTTCTGCATTCTCTAAAGAATCCCAGGTGGGGATCATATCACCGATGTTGTTGTCATAGAGCAGTGAGCCTGCTCTATCCTTTATGAGTATATTTTATCACATTTTATTGATTACAAATATTTTATTGAGAGCACTATTGCTTTTTTTTTTTTTTAATGGTTTTCTTTTTGGGTTCCTGACACCACCATCTTTAAGAACACTCACCATATATCCCATAAGTGAGGATTGTACCGCTGAACGCTTATCACACCAGAGCTGGCTTAAGCTCTACTCAATGTGAGTGTAACCCTTATATTTTATTGTTTTAAATTATCCACTGTGGAACATACTGCACCATTTATCTGTTTCCATTTCTTATCGACCCTTATTTGGGTCCCTGATATCACAACTTGCAAAAAGACACTCACCATATAGCCCATAAGCAGGGATTATACCGCTGTATGCCATACATAACAGAGCTGACTTATGATCTGTTAAATTTCAGTGTAACCTTACTACTTTACAAATATGCCTGCACTTTGAGGAACATATTGCACCGTTCTCTCACCTTTTATCGCCCTTTTCTATCTATATGGATATTTGAGAAGTGCAACAACCACCATTCCCTAACTTCAGACATTTCCACTGGACTCCAGTTCTACATAACTAGACTTTGTCCTTATAGGGTCTTACCCGAGCTAAGACTTTTCTTTTTATTCTTATATTGTTATCTATAATTAGGATGTTTGAATATAATATTCACTATTGTTGTACTTACAATATTAAATATTAGAATTGTAAGGTGTCATATATCCAAAAACAGAAAAATGTTGTAATGGTCCCCCTTATGCTGTCCTTCCATTCAGTTTTAAACTATTTTTAATATTTTAATGCTAGGTCCTCAGCAGCCCATCCTCTCTGTGGAAGCATTAGCCTGAGCAACAATATAAGGCTGTCATCGGTTAAGTGTGTTAGCTGATGGATTTAAGCCTGACATAACACCCATTCTTGATATGAATTTGTATGGCTAGAAGGAAGTGTGTATTCTCTGTCTTAGCTATACCTGCAGTAGGGGACTAGCTGTGGTTGGTCATGGACCGTTATTTAGTTTTACATTGTTTGAAAATGGATTTATATGGAATGGAAAGACAGTGCTAGGGGTCTCCACATACTATAACCAATTAAATGAGATTAAATCATAGTGCCTACAGTGTCCCTTTAAAGAACAAGATAAATTCTAAATTAAGGATATTGTTTAATAAAGGAAACTCGAAAATGTTACAGGAAGCGTTTAGGGAGGCTGTGAGAGTCTCAGCCAGGGGAGGTGGGGCTAGGGCTGCATAAACAAAATAAATTAACATCTGTATGACAGGAAATTTATCAGTGAGACTGCAGGGGTGAGATCTATACACCAAAACCACTTAATAAAGCAAATTTTGTTTCAGTGATTAGAGTGTCCCTTTAAAGAATCATTTCAGTGTAACCTTAGAAGCACCATGTGTTCTACATCCCAATCCTTCTATATGAAAACCATTCTTTTGACAAAAAGATCATCAGTAAGTATAATCTTCCCGATGTTAAATAGAGCTGTGAAGGATACTTTTCCACTGGATTACAGGTAAGTTACCTTTTCATTTACAGGTATAAGGGAGGGGCAAAGAGAGCCTCAAAACAACAGCATTATAAATACAGTTGTAATCAAAATTATTTATATTTATCCCCCTCCCCCCTTGAAAATCAGGTTTTACCTGTAGAGGCAGGTTTACATCTCTAAGCAAAATCACATCTTTTATGGATTGCCAAAAACTCTTAGGTCAAGATTGCCATTTTTAATATTGTCCCCACTTCTTGTAGGAAATAGAAGGCCGAAAAAATGCCTTAGCCTAAACATTGGTTTAATTCTATTTTTATTATATTTAAAGGAACACTATAGGGTCAGGAACAAAAACCATGTATTCCTAACCCTATAGTGTTAAAACCACCATCTAACCCCCCTGGCCCTGCCTTGCCTCCTTAAATATAGTAAAATGTTACTTTTATTCCAGCCTGGAGACGCTGCCTCTGACATCATCAGAAGTGGTGGTCTGAGTCAATCACAATGCGTCCCCATAGGGAGGCAGATCAAGGCAGAGGAGGCAGATCAGTGGCAGAGGCAGCACTAGCCAAACACAAACCTTGCCAATCAGCATCTCCTCATAGAGATGAATTGAATTAATGCATCTCTATGAGGAAAGTTCAGTGTCTGCATGCAGAGGGTGGAGACACTGTATGTTGTGATGCACAGTAGGCAAGACTGCCCAAGGAATCACCTCTAGCAGCCATTTGAGGAGTGGCCAGTGGAGTTATCACTAGGCTGTAATGTAAACACTGCTTTTTCTCTGAAAAGACAGTGTTTACAGCAAAAAGCCGGAAGGGAATGATTCTACTCACCAGAACAAATACAATAAGCTGTAGTTGTTCTGGTGACTATAGTGTCCCTTTAATTATATGAACTTTTTTTTTTTTTGGAAGTCCTGGAAGCCTGTAAAACGGATTACTACATTATCCTTTTGATACTTCTGGAATCTTAGAATATGTATTAAATTAGTGTGTGTATATATACATATACAGCCGCTAGAGGAATTGGAGGAAGGATTAACCCATTTATAAACATAGCAGTTTCTCTGAAACTGCTAAGTTTATTAAAAAAAAATGGGTTAACCCTAGCTGGACCTGGCACCCAGACCACTTAATTAAGCTGAAGTGGTCTGGGTGCCTAGAGTGGTCCTTTAAGGGGTTAAGGTGGCAGAACAAGTGCAGGCTTCCTACTACACTAGCCAGGAGACTAGCACTAAGAGTGATCGGACAGCTCTTATGGTAAGACATGCATAAACACACTCTCTCCCCCACTCCAAATCCATAATTGTAAAATGTAATAAAACGGCCTTTCATTACATGATAATTAATTCAATCCTACTTCTATTTTTAACAGCCAGTCTTGCCACCTTTGGGTGAATGCCACAGGGTGGCTGCTGGGTGCAAGTGAAATGGGAAGAGATAACACGTCATATCATGCAAATATGAAACTACATAATACAGCTAAAAAAATAAAAAAAATAAAAAAAAATGAAAGGTGCCAGATCGTCATGGTGACAGAGAACTGATTCCTGGCAGAGATCATTTGATTCCATGATAGACAAGATCTAAATATCTCCCTGACCAGTAAACAGGCTACAACACAGCAGGTTGACTGTGTGCTGTGATATAGGAGACAGATTTTACAGGTCATATGACATTCCACAAAAGCCTAACCCAGAGGAATGGGAGGATACAGAGTATAACACTTTAGGCACAAGGGAGCCTTTACTTAAACCATCTTTGTTAGAACAGCACACAAACAAAGCCTGCTACACTACTAGATGCCAGAACAGTGATGCAAACAAACACATTTTCCTCGGTAGAGTACTCTCCTAATCATCAATGGACACGATGGACATCAATGTAGTGCAGCAGCAGTCTTAAGGCCACATGGATTTCGAGCCTTGTGGGAAGCAGACAGGATCAGCATCCACCATTTGGCAAATTTCTGTCTGGGGTTAAATCTAGTGTGGTCGCGCCTATCTGGCACTGTGAAGTCTATATAGCATTCCATTCTCCCTGATCACCGGAGTCTGTGTGGATGCACAAGGAAGCTAAGGATGGGTCAGCCCTAACAAACTGTCTAAAGTCAAAGCATTGAGGCCAAGTCAGTGGAGGGGAATCCTCGCTTACATCTCTTAATGCCTCAGGTGCAAAACCAATTGGCAAAGATGGGACCTCTGAAACTGGATGGTTGGTGTCTGATGGTCAGGTGCCACCAACCTATGGTTGGAGAGTCTGGCAGCGAGCCATCAGGGATACTTCCTTGAGTAGATACTGGCTGGAGAGTGTCCCAAGGTGGTTACCTAAGAGTAACTCGTCTGGAATCTGGTCCATTTTCCCAACTTCATAGTAACCCTGGTCTTTGCCCCAATCAAAGTGTACCTTGGCCATTGGTAACGCATGTTGCAGTTTTCCTTACACCTGGCAGTTGTTTGTTTTTATCTAAGAGGGGATTGAGGCGCACACAACGAGACTTCACAAGGGTAAGGGTAGCTTCAGAGTCTCTAAGGCCTTGCACAGTATGCCCATTAATGTTTACATCCTGGCAGTGCCGCCATCTATTATACTGGTGGGCCTACGTACAGTGACCACTCCATATGCCTTTTCTGTATCCTATTCATGAAAGTAAATGCATTTCTGTGCTAATTTTGTTTGGGTAGTAGAAAAAGTGATGTTCTCTGTAGTCATGGGGCGATCAAGGCAATGGAACTGCTTGGGCAGGGGTCAATACCGGTAACAGTTGTCTGCAATGTACCCTAACGGCACAAATAACAAAGACGGTCTTTTTTTGTGCGAGAGCGAAAGTGGCTACACATTTGCCTTTCGTGTATATGAGGGGAAAGATGGTCAACTGAACCCTCCTGGCTGTCCTGACTCTCTGGGGACAAGTGGGAAACTTGTTTGGGACCTACTGATCCCCTTGTTCAATAAGGGTTACCACCTATATGTGGACAATTTTTACAGCATGTCCACTTGTTTAAAATTCTTTATCATTTGCAGACACTGGCCTGCCAAGGATTTCCCCAGACCTCACATTGAGGCCAAATTAAAAAAAGGTGAATGCAAAGCTCTGCGCAAAGCTGAACTGCTTGCGCTAAAATTTAAGGACAGGAAGGATGTTCACATGCTAACAACCATCCATGACGAAAGCATGTCAGACGTGACTGTCCGAGGCAGGGTACAGACCAAACCTGTTTGCATCAGGGCTTCTAACAGCCACATGGGGGTTTTGATTTGGCTGATCAGCTGATGCAGCCATATCTTATCTTAAGAAAGACAAAAGCCTGGTATAAAAAGGTGGCTACCTGTTGCAAGTAGCAACACATAATTCATTTTTACTCTTTAAAAAATCCAAAAAGAACCACCTTTCTCCAATTTCAGTTCAAGCTGATTTCCACAATAATTTATGGAGATTCTCAAGTTCCAACAACTATTTTTAAGTTACCACCAACTGCAAAAAAAAACACAAATCCCCTGAAACGTTGCCGGGTCTGTTATAAAAAAGGGAAAAGGACATATACCCCTTTGCACTGTTTTTTTTTTCTTTTGAAAGCAGCTAATTTTAGTCAGTCAGTTTCCTTCCCCCAAATCTCCAGTTAGATTTTTTTTTTGCAGGAGTTAGTTTAAAGAATGCTGCTAAAGGTGCATTTGATACCTGCACATTTGGTTAAAATAGTTTTATGGCAGTAACATATAACTTGCTGGCCAAAACCAGATGACATGTGCATAAAAAGCAGAATTCAAAAATTACCACCATGCACGTTCTCTGAAATTTGTTTAGCACAATGGTTAGGGGAAGGATGTGAATATAAACTTTCATGATGATAACATTAACTGGAGATGCAAAAATATACCAAACTGATAGGCCAAGCATACATATATATCAAAATACTAAAAATGTTGTCAGCGCTTAGATGATAATCCAATTAAATTATAACAAGGGTGCATATATATACAGGGAGTGCAGAATTATTAGGCAAATGAGTATTTTGACCACATCATCCTCTTTATGCATGTTGTCTTACTCCAAGCTGTATAGGCTCGAAAGCCTACTACCAATTAAGCATATTAGGTGATGTGCATCTCTGTAATGAGAAGGGGTGTGGTCTAATGACATCAACACCCTATATCAGGTGTGCATAATTATTAGGCAACTTCCTTTCCTTTGGCAAAATGGGTCAAAAGAAGGACTTGACAGGCTCAGAAAAGTCAAAAATAGTGAGATATCTTGCAGAGGGATGCAGTACTCTTAAAATTGCAAAGCTTCTGAAGCGTGATCATCGAACAATCAAGCGTTTCATTCAAAATAGTCAACAGGGTCGCAAGAAGCGTGTGGAAAAACCAAGGCGCAAAATAACTGCCCATGAACTGAGAAAAGTCAAGCGTGCAGCTGCCACGATGCCACTTGCCACCAGTTTGGCCATATTTCAGAGCTGCAACATCACTGGAGTGCCCAAAAGCACAAGGTGTGCAATACTCAGAGACATGGCCAAGGTAAGAAAGGCTGAAAGACGACCACCACTGAACAAGACACACAAGCTGAAACGTCAAGACTGGGCCAAGAAATATCTCAAGACTGATTTTTCTAAGGTTTTATGGACTGATGAAATGAGAGTGAGTCTTGATGGGCCAGATGGATGGGCCCGTGGCTGGATTGGTAAAGGGCAGAGAGCTCCAGTCCGACTCAGACGCCAGCAAGGTGGAGGTGGAGTACTGGTTTGGGCTGGTATCATCAAAGATGAGCTTGTGGGGCCTTTTCGGGTTGAGGATGGAGTCAAGCTCAACTCCCAGTCCTACTGCCAGTTCCTGGAAGACACCTTCTTCAAGCAGTGGTACAGGAAGAAGTCTGCATCCTTCAAGAAAAACATGATTTTCATGCAGGACAATGCTCCATCACACGCGTCCAAGTACTCCACAGCGTGGCTGGCAAGAAAGGGTATAAAAGAAGAAAATCTAATGACATGGCCTCCTTGTTCACCTGATCTGAACCCCATTGAGAACCTGTGGTCCATCATCAAATGTGAGATTTACAAGGAGGGAAAACAGTACACCTCTCTGAACAGTGTCTGGGAGGCTGTGGTTGCTGCTGCACGCAATGTTGATGGTGAACAGATCAAAACACTGACAGAATCCATGGATGGCAGGCTTTTGAGTGTCCTTGCAAAGAAAGGTGGCTATATTGGTCACTGATTTGTTTTTGTTTTGTTTTTGAATGTCAGAAATGTATATTTGTGAATGTTGAGATGTTATATTGGTTTCACTGGTAATAATAAATAATTGAAATGGGTATATATTTGTTTTTTGTTAAGTTGCCTAATAATTATGCACAGTAATAGTCACCTGCACACACAGATATCCCCCTAACATAGCTATAACTAAAAACAAACTAAAAACTACTTCCAAAAATATTCAGCTTTGATATTAATGAGTTTTTTGGGTTCATTGAGAACATGGTTGTTGTTCAATAATAAAATTAATCCTCAAAAATACAACTTGCCTAATAATTCTGCACTCCCTGTATAAAAATAATGTAGCGATAAAAATCTAAATTCTACATCAAAGAGCTATAGTAAGAGACTAAAAATACAGATAAAAATGTATGAAAATATGTCTCTGAAAAGTCCAAAAGTCATGTAAGATCCTATGGGGGAGAGTCCAAAATCTGTAATGGTAAATGGAAACCCAGAAGGGTATTTGAAGATTCCTAAGGCAAAAAAAAAGAAAGAGATATAGTGTAACTCTACAACATTTATTACCCCAGTGTAACAAAAAAATCCCCCCCAAATAGGAATTCTCACAATGTAAAAGAAATGGTACTTATTCCTAAGGACCATGTGGGAGAATCTTTGCGGCTGCTGGTTCTTGTAGTCCCGACAGATTGTCCGGTTTCCCAAAGCAGACAGCATCCACCTCGTGCACTCAGGTGAGTTGTCCGAAGATGTTTCTGTGGGGAACTGCTGTAGATAAAAACGGCTTCTTCCTCGAGCTTAATCCACAGGGGATATGCAGCAAAGTCCCCCTAGCACCTCATCAACGCGTTTCGTCCTACTAGTGAGGACTTTTTCAAGATAGGTGCTATGTCCATTGCTGGCGGTTTTATACTTTACCGGGCAAACGGATTCAAAATCTTTAAAGGCATACACTTTCAATTTCAACATGTGTGCTAAATCGGTCCTCTCAACTTTGCATAACATATAGAATTATACTGAGGGCATTTCAACCCAAATGTCCAAAATTGTTGCACAATATCGTAAAGTGTAATCCAAAATATATTAAAATGTATAAGAATGACATAAAAGTTTGACATCAAAGTTTTAAATATTTCCTATATTTCCCCCTCCCCCCCCTCCCAAAAAAAACCCCCCACAAAAAATGACTACCTAAAAGTTTGACAAAGAGAGTCTGGTGGTAGAATTAGTGCATGGAAAGTGTACCCTAGGGCAGGGCTAGTCAACCTTTTAGCAGCACTGTGCCGATATAGGATTGTGATGTCCCGTAGCGTGCCGGTCCTATTTTTTTTTTTTTTTTAATTGAGGTGTGTATGTTGTCGTATTCTGCTTGTGTTATTTTTACTGCAGTTGCTTTGTTTCATTGTATTTGTGCATATATGAGCTGTTATATTGTACATGTTCAGGAGTAGTTTGTGGTATCATGTATGATACATATGAATGTGGGCTGTGTATGGGGGCTGCTTGTGGAATTGTCAGTGTGGATGGATGTGTCATATGTGTGTTTGGTAGTGTGTGTATGTGTGGGGGCTGTTTGGGGTATTGCATGTGAGAGGCTGCATGTGGGGTTGTGTGCATGTATGTGGATTGTGAGCGGGTTACGTTTGTGCAGATTGTGTGTGGGCTGTTCGTATTATTTGTATGAGGGGAGGGTTATTGTGCATTTCTGTGTATATCTAGCAATGTGGGTGGCTTCCCTGGGTTCCAGTGGGGGCCAGGCACAGGTCAAGGGAAGGAGCTACAACAGCAGCTGCCTGCTGCTCTACTACTGTGTGGATTCCCATTTACAAGAGCTGGGAGGAAGTGATATGAGATTGTTATTTGAGATCACTTCCTCTACATGCTGCAATGCATAAATTGAGGATTGTCCTTCACCACCTTTTCGAATTAGCAGATATCTGAAGTATAACTGGGACTCCTGATAGGCCTGAGCCTGTTTGGCTCTAGCTGCCTTGAGTGCCGTGCAAAGACACCTTAAGTGCCGTGCATGGCACTAGTGCCGTAGGTTGCCTACCCCTGCCCTAGGGTGTTTACTTTCCAAAAATATATGGTTTGGTGGGGGTAAAATACATTGGACGGCCTTACAAATGTCCCTAATAGGACATGTGCGCAGGTTGACTACATGTCAAAATTCCAAGTTGGAAAATGGATATGCCAAATGTGGCCTTTTAGTCCCCAAACAACTCGACAAGCCTATGCATGGGTGGTATCACTGTACTCGGGAGATGTTGCTGAACATATGTTAGTGTGTTTTTTGGCAGCAACACATAACAGAATCTGTGAGTTTATACCTGAATTGCAATGTAAGTGAAAAAAAATACCTATAGTTTGGCAAAGACTGGTGGTAAAATGGCTGCATAGAAAGTGTCAAAATATCCTTAGATGAATACCCTGGGTTGTCTACTTTAAAAAAAATTTATACACGTGTGGGGTGTTTTCCAGAGATATATGACAGATAATAATGTTTCAATGTCACTATTGATACATTTTAAAAATGTATGTTTTGAAACAGCAATATCCTACTTGTACTTATAGCCCTATAACTTGCAAAAACAAAAAAAAAAAAAGCAAAAAAAGCATGTAAACACTGGGTATTTTTAAACTCAGGACAAAATTTCAATTCTATTTAGCAGTTTTTTTTCATTAGCTTTTGTAGATGAGTAAAAGATTTTTCAAGTAAAAGTCAAAAAACATGTATTTTTTTCAATTTTGCATCATATTTTTTTTTTTATTAAATGAGATTATATAAATAATGGTATGTTAAGAAAGCCCTTTTTGTCCTGAAAAAAACCCAATATATAATTTGTATGTGAACAGTAAATGAGAGACTGGAAAATTACAGCTAAACACCACAAAAGTGTAAAGAGGCTTGGTCGCAAATATACATTGCAAAAACAGTCCGTTTTTTTAAAGGGACACTTCAGGCACCCAGACCACTTCTGCCCATTAGAGTGATCTGGGTTCCAACTCCCACCACCCTTAACCCTGCAAGTGTAATTATTGCAGCTTTTTTTTATAAAACTGCAATAATTACCTTGCAGAGTTAACTCCACCTCTAGTGGCTGTCTAGTAGACAGACACTAGAGGGCACTTCCTGGTCCATAGCACAGAACACCTGTGCTAGAGCGTTGCTGGACGTCCTCACGCTGTGTGAGGACCTCCAGCGTCGCTCAATTCTCCATAGGAAAGCATTGAAAATGCTTTTCAATGCTTTCCTATGGAGAGCTCTAATGCAGGATCAGTCTCGTCCACCGGCCGACGTAATGAAGAGGAGGAGCTGCGGCGACCCGAAACCACCACCGAGGGACATCGGCGGGGATCTCAGGTAAGTGACTAAGGGGTTTTCATCCCTTCAGCAACCGGGGATTGGGAGGTGGGAGGGAGAGGGAACCTGCAGTGCCAGGAAAACACTGGAGAGTCCCTTTAAGGGGTTAAACAGTTAGAACTCTGGCACATGCAAGCACCCAGCAAACAAGTCTCTCTCTCTCTGAAACTATGCTCAACATAATAAAAACAATAACAGTAAGCATTTAACATAATATAAGGAATCTGAGTTGTAACACTTAATATTTGATGTGCTGATGTCTTCTTCAGTTTTTAATTGCTTGGGGTTGCCTTTAGAGCTCCTTTGGCTACTTGAAACAAAAATAGTTTAAAAATCATTGATCAGGCCCCTCCCCTATCTGTACACATTAACAGATAACACAGACGTGTGTTTCCATTCTCAGGCATTCCTCCAGATACACACTTGCTGTACAGATGCCCACTGCCACAAATATACATAAATAAGAACTGGTAGACATATATGCCTTCAAAATTATAAATATTGGGTATATTATACCAAAATGAGCTCTGTTGTGACCACCCACCTCTTTGCCTATTTTGTCCTGGATGAGGGTAATTACCCTGGGGTTCAGTAGGATAGTACATTGCTCTGGGTCGGCTGGCTGTGCAGGGCCTCTATTCTTTCCCACACATCATCCGTCTAATGCCAGGAGGAAGTGATTTGACATCACTTACTACCAGTGGGGCAGTTCAGGAGGGGAACAGGAGCTGCCAATACAGCCTGTTAAGCGGCTGCTTTGCTTTAAATCTAGAAGGCATAGCAGGCCGCTTAGTGTGGCCCAGGTAGGGGAGATATGCAAGTCTCCCCAACTGGAACTCGCATAATATGCGGGCACCAGGGCAAATCTGGGCACCTTAAAAAGAGTACCAGCTGTCACCCTATGATGGTGGTTGTGGGGAGTTGCATGCTCATACATACTAGCAGAAGAGGTTTATTATAGTTCTGTAGGTCTAGAGGACCATGCCTAAAATGAACCATTCAATTATGGAATTTCCAGTAATTATAAACTGGATTGTATCTATTTAATGTAGTAGCTAAAACTCAACCCCAAATGGTAGCCTGATCCAATCACAGTGCTTCCCCATAGGATTGGCTGAGACTGACAAAGAGGCAGATCAGGGGCAGAGCCAGCATGATTCAAACACAGCCCTGGCCAATCAGCATTTCCTCATAGAGATGAATTTAATCAATGAATAACCTAGTCAATGAAGAAAAGTATGTGTGGACAAGAATAAGCACTAGACATAATTTCCTAAGGATGACTAGGTTTAGCATGAAACATGTATGATTGCTTATTCATGACTTGAGACCAATATCAGCAGATCACCAACGGACAGAAACAGGGCCTTTATACAGTGAAGGGAAAAAGTATTTGATCATTTGTCCACTGACAAAGAAAGGATCAGTCTAGAATTTTAATAGTAGGTGTATTTTAACAGTGAGACAGAATAACAAAACAAACAAAACAAAAAAAATTCAGAAAAATGCAAGTCAAAAAAAGTTATAAATTGATTTGCATGTCAATGAGTGAAATAAGTATTTGATCCCCTATCAAATCAGCAAGATTTCTGTCTCCCAGGTGTCTTTTATACAGGTAACAAACTGAGATTAGGAGCACTCTCTAAAAGAGAGTATTCCTAATCTCTGTTCGTTACCTGTATAAAAAGACACCTGTTCACAGAAGCAATCAACCAATCAGATCCAAACTCTCCACCATGGCCAAGACCAAAGAGCTGTCCGAGGATGTCAGGGACAAGATTGTAGATCTACACAAGGCTGGAATGGGCTACAAGACTATCACCAAGCAGCTTGGTGAGAAGGTGACAACAGCTGGTGCGATTATTCGCAAATGGAAGAAACACAAAATAACGGTCAGTCTCATCATGAGAACGGTGAGGAACAGGAGGACTTTTTTTTAATGATCCCAAGCAGCTGGAACCATAGTCACCAAGAAAACAATTGGTAACATACTACGCCGTGAAGGACTAAAATCCTGCAGCGCCCGCAAGGTCCCCCTGCTCAAGAAAGCACATGTACAGGCCCGTCTGAAGTTTGACAATTAACATCTGAATGATTCAGAGGAGAACTGGGTGAAAGTGTTGTGGTCAGATGAGACCAAAATCGAGCTCATTGGCATTAACTCAACTCACAGTGTTTGGAGGAGGAATGCTGCCTATAACATTGCCTCCCATTGTACAGTGCTATGGAATTTGCTGGCGCTATATAAATAATAAAAATAATATGACCACCAAGAACACCATCCCCCCGTCAAACATGGAGGTGGAAACATTATGCTTTGGGAGTGTTTTTTCTGCTAAGGGGGCAGGACAACTGCACTGCATCAAAGGAATGATGCATGGTGCCATTTACTGTCAAATCTTGGATGAGAACCTCCTTCCCTCATCCTGGGCATTGAAAATGGGTCATGGATGGGTATTCCAAAACACCCATCCATTCCAAAACACACAGCAAAGGCAACAAATGCGTGGCTCAAGAAGCACATTAAGGTCCTGGAGTGGCCTAGCCAGTCTCCATACCTTAATCCCATAGAAAATCTGTGGAGGGAGCTGAAGGTTTGAGTTGCCAAACTTCAGAGTGGGACAAAATCCCTCCTGAGATGTGTGCAAACCTGGTGGCCAGCTACAAGAAACGTCTGACCTCTGTGATTGCCAGCAAGGGTTTTGCCACCAAGTACTAAGTCGAAGGGGTCAATTACACATTTCACTCATTGTCATGCAAATCAATTTATAACTTTTTTGATATGCGTTTTTCTAATTTTTTTTAAATTTATTTTTGTTATTCTGTCTCTCACTGTTAAAATACGCCTGCCATTAAAATTATAGACTGACCATTTCTTTGTCAGTGAGCAAACGTTCAAAATCAGCAGGGGATCAAAAACTTTATCCCCTCACTGTGTAGCAGTTGTGTCTAATCAAGACCTAACATTTGAAATTGAACTTCAGTTATCCTACAAGCCATTACTGCTAAACATTGGCAGCAAGAAGCATAAAAAATAATGTTATAAATAATAAATTTCCTAAAAGCATACACAACAATTGTAAGTATGTAGCAGTAGATAGATGTCAGATGTACAAAGACATAAAAAACATATTTTTGAAAATCCCACTTGTGCAAGGATATACTGTTAACCTATGGTTTTAAAAACCACCAGGTACTTTTTAAAGGTTGGTCCTTTTTTAAGGATTGTGTCAAGAATGATAATAAATAGCAAGGTCAGGTAAAACATGTCACTCAAATTGTCATACAAGCATTATTGAAAGTGAAATTGTAATTTTTTTTTTATTTTTTATTTTTTTTTTTGCTGTGAGTTTTGGCAGTTCAGTGTGTCCAAAAGATAGAGCCTCATAGTAATACAGTACATTGTTAGGACAGGTGCAAAATAGAGGATGCAGATTTTGCTCAGTGAGAAGATACCTCTGCAAATGGTCCAGTCAGAGGGAGTTGTGGCAGAAAGTGTAGTTAGAGTTTTTCATGTTGAAAAGTGCATTGTCATGACAGCACAATGTAGTGAGAAAGAAGGTGCTAAGTTATAATAGCACTGTGCAAGGGACAGGTGTTACATTGTGAAAAACCCCTCTCAGATGAAAAGGAAGGGCCATGCTGTGACAGCACAGTGCAAGGAGTGTGAACAATATTGTGAAAAAACAGTGAAAGGAGGAGGTGGTATGTTGTAACAGTCCAGTGCAAAGAGAGATACTTTCTTGTGAGAGCACATTGCATTATTTGGTTTTTTTTTATGACAGCACAGTGTAGAGGTTGTGACTGTGTAGTGCAGGAGAGGGTAAAATGTGGGATATGTTGTGACAAATTGCAGTGAGCTAGTGCTATGTTGTGCCAGGGCAGTCAGAATGTGTATGTTGTGAGAGTGCACTATCATCTGTGAGAGGACACTATCATCTGTGAGAGTGCAGTGAGAGGACACTATCATCTGTGAGAGGACACTATCATCTGTGAGAGTGCAGTGAGAGGATACTATCATCTGTGAGAGTGCAGTGAGAGGACACTATCATCTGTGAGAGTGCAGTGAGAGGACACTATCATCTGTGAGAGTGCAGTGAGAGGACACTATCATCTGTGAGAGTGCAGTGAGAGGACACTATCATCTGTGAGAGTGCAGAGAGAGGACACTGTCAGAGTGTGTGTAGTGAGGGTTCAGTGATGTGACAGTGCTATATTGTGGCAGTGCAGTGGAGCAGTGCTATGTTGGGGCAGTGCAGTGGGGCAGTGCAGCCAGCTATGGTGTGATAGTGCTATGTTGGACCGTACAGTAATGTGACAGTGCTATGGTGTGACAGTGCAGTGAGGCAGTGCTATGTTGGGGCAGTGCTATGTTGTGGCAGTGCAGTGGAGCAGTGCTATGTTGGGGCAGTGCAGTTGGGGCAGTGCAGCCAGCTATGGTGTGATAGTGCTATGTTGGACCGTACAGTAATGTGACAGTGCTATGTTGTGCAGTGCAGTGCATGTTGGGGCAGTGCTATGTTGGGGCAGTGCATATGGTGTGATAGTGCTATGTTGGACCGTACAGTAATGTGACAGTGCTATGTTGTGACAGTGCAGTGAGGCAGTGCTATGTTGGGGCAGTGCAGCCAGCTATGGTGTGACAGTGCAGTGAGGCAGTGCTATGTTGAGGCAGTGCAGCCAGCTATGGTGTGGCAGTGCTATGTTGAGGCAGTGCTATGTTGGGGCAGTGCAGCCAGCTATGGTGTGACAGTGCAGTGAGGTAGTGCTATGTTGAGGCAGTGCAGCCAGCTATGGTGTGACAGTGCAGTAAGGCAGTGCTATGTTGGGGCAGTGCTATGTTGGGGCAGTGCAGCCAGCTATGGTGTGACAGTGCAGTGAGGTAGTGCTATGTTGAGGCAGTGCTATGTTGAGGCAGTGCTATGTTGGGGCAGTGCAGCCAGCTATGGTGTGACAGTGCAGTAAGGCAGTGCTATGTTGGGGCAGTGTTATGTTGGGGCAGTGCAGCCAGCTATGGTGTGATAGTGCTATGTTGTGACAGTGCAGTGAGGCAGTGCTATGTTGGGGCAGTGCAGCCAGCTATGGTGTGACAGTGCAGTGAGGCAGTGCAGCCAGCTATGGTGTGACAGTGCAGTGAGGCAGTGCTATGTTGAGGCAGTGCAGCCAGCTATGGTGTGGCAGTGCTATGTTGAGACAGTGCTATGTTGGGGCAGTGCAGCCAGCTATGGTGTGACAGTGCAGTGAGGTAGTGCTATGTTGAGGCAGTGCTATGTTGAGGCAGTGCTATGTTGGGGCAGTGCAGCCAGCTATGGTGTGACCGTGCAGTAAGGCAGTGCTATGTTGGGGCAGTGCTATGTTGGGGCAGTGCAGCCAGCTATGGTGTGATAGTGCTATGTTGGACCGTACAGTAATGTGACAGTGCTATGTTGTGACAGTGCAGTGAGGCAGTGCTATGTTGGGGCAGTGCAGCCAGCTATGGTGTGACAGTGCAGTGAGGCAGTGCAGCCAGCTATGGTGTGACAGTGCAGTGAGGCAGTGCTATGTTGAGGCAGTGCAGCCAGCTATGGTGTGGCAGTGCTATGTTGAGACAGTGCTATGTTGGGGCAGTGCAGCCAGCTATGGTGTGACCGTGCAGTAAGGCAGTGCTATGTTGGGGCAGTGCTATGTTGGGGCAGTGCAGCCAGCTATGGTGTGACAGTGTAGTAGGAGGGTGCAGTGAGAGATGTACCTCTGCATTGTAGTCTCTCAGGGCGGTTTCAATGCTATCCTGGTTGCCAGTGTTGACTCTCTCCAGCACACTATCCAGGTCCATCTCTGTATGAAAGGTGGAGGAACTTGAGCATAAACTAGAGCACCAGCCTGTTCTTTACATACTGTCCACGCATGCGCAATACGGTACGGAGCACCCTAACCTGCTAGTCCCTCACCCAGCTCTACAAAGCCTGATCCCTCATACAGCGCAGAGATCACTTCCTGGACTGATCATGCATACACAGCTCAACCTAACCTGCTCGACGGCAAAACAACCAATCAGATAACAGCACCGCTCTACCTAACTTGACTACAAGCAGGCACTGTAAACTCCATAGCTCTGTGTACAGATTGTGTGTGCCGCTCTCTTTTCCCATGTATCAACAAGCTTTATTGACAACACTGTAAATTAACATTGTAAAGTGGGTTTGTCATTCAATAGAACTGGCACCATGGTGTCTAGGGAGTTATAACATGAGTATGAAAAATTATTTAAATCTCCAAAAACAATGTTAATAATTCCAGATTTCTACAGCTAGATATGTGAAATATAAATTATGATTGATACTCATAGTGTGCCAAAATATTGGATTTTTTTCACAGCTCTGTATATACTGGCATTGTAATCCATCCCACATTTTAAATAGTGAAAAAGAACCTAATAACTGAATTTAAAAAATAATCTACTCAAATACGGTTTCACGTAAATCATTTTTAGATTAAAATCTGAGATTTACTTTGAATTTCCAACAATTTACTTTCTACAGTTAGCTGATCTCATTGTAGTGGTTATAGTTCTTGGGAGTCCCTTGACACCATCCAATGTTCCCTCTATTTTTTTCCTTAGTTAGTGTGCACACAGAGTTTCACTTGTGCAATACATAACAGTATTACTATGTGATAATGTAGTATTAGTTGTTACACAGGAGTACTACTGTAATGTCCGCCATTGAGACAGACAAGCCTCTCAGCTCATGCCCATTTTGGTCTGACAGACAGTTCATTAGAAAAAGCAATAGGGGGCAACTGCACAGACAAGGGTACACACAATTCAGAAAGAAAAAATTTCCAGCTTGTTGCCTATATTCTTTGCCACAGATCTTCAGCCCCACCTTCACCATAGTAAATAGCTATTTAATCAATAAAACAAATTGACGTTTTATTCAGCAAAAGATAATATTGGTAGTTTGTTGACAGTATTTGGGCAAGCATGTTCATTCCCCAGCTTGGGCAGAAACAGTGAATGCAGCCCAATAAAGGGTGATAGATACAGTTGTAATCAAAATTATTCAACCCCCATTGAAATTCAGGTTTGTTACAATTTACAGACAAAAACAAATGGAATAGCTATACACAGTGATTGCTTCAAGTGGTTTCCCCAATTTTAACTTAAAATGCAACTTATAATGACTTCTCCAGTCTCAAAATTATTCAGCTGATCATAGCATGCATCTTTGGTACTTAGTAGTAGAGCATCCTTTTGCTGTTATGACCTGCTGTAAATTAGACGCATAGCCAGACACTAGCTTCTGCCAGCGTTCCTGAGTAATCTTAGCCCATTGCTCATTCTTGGGTTTGCTTGCTGCCACCGCCTTCTTCAAATCCCACCAGAGATTTTCTATGGGGTTCAAGTAAGGTGACTGTGATGGCCACTGTAGAATTTTCCAAGACTTCTTCTGCAACCAAGCCTTGGTGGAATGTGAGGTATGCTTGGGATCTGTTATGTCCCAAAGTGTGGGCTTGTGCTTAAAGGGACACTATAGTCACCAGAACAACTACAGCTTATTGAATTTGTTCTGGTGAGTAGAATAATCACCTTCAGGGAAATGCAGTGTTTACATTACAGCCTAGTGATAACTTCACTGGCCACTCCTCAGATGGCTGTTACAGATCCTTCCTGGGTCATGCCTGCCTAAAATGCATCCAAACATTCCGTATCTCCTCCCTCTGCATGCAGACACTGAACTTTCCTCACAGAGATTCATTACTTCAATTCAGCTCTATGAGGAGATGTTGATTGGCCAGGGCTGTGTTTGAATCATGCTGGCTCTGCCCCTGATCTGCCTCCTTGTCAGTCTCAGCTATGGGGAAGCATTGTGACTGGATCAGGCTACCACTTCTGATGATGTCAGCAGACTGCTTGTTTTTTTTTTTAGGCAAACAGCATGCAGAGTTACAGTTTCAGGTTTGAATACAGTAAGATTTTGCTATATTTATGGAGGCATGAGGGGACAGGGGGGCTAGATGGTGGTGTTAACACTATAGGGTCAGGAATACATGTTTGTGTTCCTGAACCTACAGTGATCCTTTAAAGTGAATGTAATGCTGCGAGTGTTTACGCAATAAATTTTATACACACTGGCATGAGTTCTCAAATCCAGAAGCAGTGTATTACTTACTGTATACAGGATGAGTCAACACAAGGCTTTCTTCCTATACACATTATACAGCTTCTTAACCTATTACCATTGTCTCAGTGTCTTCCCAAGTTGGCTGAATTCAGTTAACCAGAAAGATGGCTGCTGCTTCCAGATGACCAGCACATCCTCCGTCTCCCAGCATGCACTACAGCAGGAAAAAAGGGGAGGGGCATAATGCCACTCCCAACCTGGGAGAACTCTGAGACAGACAGTGAGTCTGTCTAAACATCACACCTCATCACCTTCCTTTTAAAAAAAGATAAATAATAATAATATTAACCCCTTGTTACGCTACGTGGGAAGTGTTACCGCATGACACCCCTTAAGGACGGCGGGCATTCTATGTCGTCCATGGGGACCCTGTCCTAAATGCCGGGGGGTGGAATAGAACGCCCAAGCCGTCCTTAATACTTACCCGGTCGCCAGCGATCCCACACCTGGCGATCGCGGTGGAGGGACTCACCTGGCATCCTAGGGAGTCCTCCTGCTTCCGATCCGGCCCTCCTGGGCCATGTGATCGCGAGGTCCTTGCGAGGACCTCACAATGACATGGACGGCATAGCCGACCACAGCATTGCCAGCAGGTGGAGTGCCTGGATTGACAGGCAGTCCCCCTGCTGGCTGTAAAATGTAAAATAAAAGTTTAAAACAGTTAAAACATTTAATAGTATATGCTATATGATCTAAGTATATATATATATATATATACATTTACACACACACATACAATGTCTAAGTGTATTTTTTTTTTATAACTTGTTCTTTATTATTTTCAAATATTATGGGGTACAGAAGGCAGAAAAACGAAGTGGGGGACAATAAGGAGTTGTTCAGCATGACACAATTTGCAATTAATACATACACATACATGTATTTCTACAGTGCTTTTAGGTTGAGGGCTATATCACAATAGAAAGCGTAGGTTGTATGGAGAAAGCCCTGCGTGTAGTTTAAACGGTCAGCATTTAACTTGACAGTTTACCTTTGGGAGTCTGTTGTGTAAGTATCTCTAAGTGCACAGATTGGGAGCTGGTTTGCTTTTTATATTCTGTCTGTGGCTCCGTTTAGAGTTCTGTTTACTCAGTATCCGTTGTGTGGTTGCCTGTTTCAGATCAAACCGGTTTTGCGAGGTTAATGTGGCAATATGGTGAGCCATGGCTAGTACCTGAGTTATGCAGCTTTGCCGGGACATCCTTGTTTAGGGCGTCGTACGGGGCTTAGAGCGGTGTGTCGTATACTGCTGCAAGGTTTGTCAGTGAGGGTGAAGGTGGGGGTGAAATACTTTATGGAAAGGTGTGTTGGGTATGGTAGCAAGGGGGTATTGGGTGCGGTACCAGGTAGCGTTGTTATGTTTTTGGCAGGGTGTTGTGGTGGGATGTTAGTCATAGTCAGGGTCTAGTGCTGTCTTGAGGTGTATTTGTGTGTGGTGTGGGGGTGGGGCAGAATTCTTTAGGTCTTCGTGGGTGTTATCTTAGTTCTTGGTTATGTTAGCCTTGTGTCACATTAGGCTGTGTTGCTTTGTTTAGGTATTGTTGGTTTTTGTAGGTGGGCTCTCCACATCTCGGCAATAGCTGGGCTCAGCTTCCCTATGTTCAGTTGGTTCCACATGTGTTTTCCGCCCCAGCTAAAGCGTAAGAGGGTAGCTTGTAGTCTTGTCAAGTAGCTTTGTGGTACTTCGATTTGTAAGGATCGGAAAAGATATAGGATTTTGGGAAGTATTGTCGTTTTGATTGCTGCTATTTTCCCTAACCATGATAAAAATAAATTTTTCCAGATATGCAGTTGGTTTTCAATTTCCTTCATCAACCTTGTGTAATTCGCAGGGAATAGTTTGCTCGGTTTGCTAGTTATTCTGATGCCTAGGAATGTTAGATGGTCTACTCTCCAATCGTAGTCGTGGGCCGATTTCAGGATCTCTCCCGTGGATTGAGGGACATTGAGGCACATCGCTTGCGTTTTGGTGATGTTTAAATTATAGTATGACTGTCGGCTATATGCTTGTAATTCCAGGTGTAGGGATGGGAGTGAAATGAGTGGTTGGGTGAGTGTGAGTAGGATATCATCCGCGAAGAGGTTGAGTTTATGTTCTGTTTGGCCCACAGACACTCCTCGGATGTTACGGCTATTGCGGATGGCTATGGCTAGGGGTTCTAGCGCCAGGACGTACAGAAGGGGTGATAAAGGGCATCCCTGGTGGGTGCCGTTAGTGATCCGGAAGGGCTTTGAGCAGAAACCTGAGGACAGCACTATTGCTGTGGGGTTGCTGTATAGGGCCCGAACCACAGACAGGAAGGGCGGTGGGAAGCCGTAGAGCGACAGGGTTTCACATTGGAAGTGCCAAGTTTAGGCGATCAGACGCCTTTTCAGCGTCCAGGGAGAGCATGATCCTCTCTTGTTTAGTCTTCTTTAGGAGGTGGTATATATCAAGGACCCTCCTAGTGTTCTCCGGTCCGTGTCTACCTGTAACGAATCCTACCTGATCTGTGTCGATTAGGGAGGGCAATAATGTTTTAAGGCGATCAGCATGAATTTTAGCGTACATTTTGGCGTCTGCGTTAAGCAGTGAGATTGGTCTAAACTTTTGGCATGTAGTTGGGGGTTTGCCTGGTTTAGGAATTTTGATAACATGTGCTGACAAGAACTCAGTTGGGAAGGAACCCTGGCTAGTTGCCTCGTTGTAGAACCGGGCGAGAGGTGTAGCAAGTTCATGTTTGAATATTTTGTAGTATGAGTTGGTGTACCCGTCGGGGCCTGGTGCTTTACCCTTGGGCATTTTGTCGATATGGTGGAGGATCTCCTCC